ATTGTGATGGAGAAAGAGGCTGTTTTGTTGTTCTCACGCAGACACACACTTCCTATTCGGAAACAGTACATTTCAGTTTCAAAGCCTCAAAAGCAAAAGCTCTTGATGACTGACGTCTTTGGAAAACGTAACGCCACGTGACACGTGGGAAACCTGCGACTAATGATCCAATAAAGCATCATTTTGAGGGGTCACAAGACAAAAAGGTTGAGAATTATGAGGAGTGACCCACCCAACATGGCCGTGCTGTTCACCTTATCGGCCTTCTTGCGTTTGTCATAGAACAGTCTTTCCGACAGGAAGTCGGCCCCTCGAGTTCGGCCCGTGAAATTTACGGCCTTATTTTCACTGGAGGGGAAACGCTTATACGGTCGACTGGTGAATAGAAATGTGCGCGAGGCGACTGGCCGGTGCGTGCTGAAACCATTGCAGACAATGGAGTGTCGTAATAGGATATTATTGACCCCCGCAGTAAAATGACTTTTACCTCACTCCCTGAACACATATTAGATTATTGTATTACTAATCTAGTTGCTTGCTGCCCGGCTTCCTTTAGCAATGCAGCCTTTCATTTACTGACGAAAAGCATCGCAGCGAGCTCCTGCAGGAGTCCGGCCCCCCCCCCCCCGGCGGGAGGGAGCGCTGGTGGGTCGTTGGCGAGTTGCTCATTGAGGCAGTTTGAATAAATCTCACAGAGGCCGGTTACTATTTCTCATGACTCGGTCCGTCCCGCCCCCCCCTTTTTGTGGGAACTCTCATTTGGTCTTTCTTCCATTTCGTCCTCCAAGATGAACTCATCCCAAACCGCTGCTTAGAACAAAACAAGCTTTCATAAAAACCGCCCGTTCACATCTCACCCCCCCTAACAACTAACGTGGAAAGAAATACGCACGTATTAAAGCATGAGCTACGGTCTGTCAGCGGCCGCCGCACGGCAGCCGATGAATTGTAAATGACTGTCTCTGTGAAGCATTTGGTCACTGCGGAAGCCTCTCAAAGGTCGGCCTTTTAGGAACAAGGAGCCGTTTCGGCCTTCACAAAAGCTTGACTTCACCCAGTTTGGTTTTTTCCGACATACGATCAGGAGGATTTTCCCCTTTGATGAAGTTAAGACGTAAACATTAGAACAGCTTGAGTGTTAATCGGGTACTTTGTGAGGAAAGAATGCCTCTTCATTTGGTGACATTTGGGGGTTTATCAGAAAATGCACGACGAGGAGAGGGTAAAGGGTGGGGGGGTTAAATGTTAAACATGTGGGAATGTGGAGACGAGAGTGAACAAAACGTCTGAGAAATGAGCTCAACACGAAGGGAAACAAAGCCTCTATGAGAAGTCCGAGCTGAGGATGACGACAAACCCGAGTACATTAGCACAGCTCTTAACTGTTGATAGGAGGACATCTTGGATTTGGGGCTGGAGGGTTGCTGAGTTTGGTTTGACTTTGAGAAGCAGTCTAACTTCAGGGGGTGTTCCATTTGAAATCTAAGTACGTGCAGCCACAGATGCAGAAGCCATCACCAATAGTCCTTTAATGCCTCCCCATCCCTCCTTTCACAAAATACAAGGTGTTGATCTTCTCACATTTTCCACATTGTTAAAGCTAGAAAAACTCCTGAGGGCCTTATGAAAAATCACCACGAGCGAAAAAAGTAAATAGATAAATCAGTGCCGTGCCAGTTCACGTGACCAGACAATTGAAGTGAAATGGTACCAGTGGCTTTTGGACTAATGAGGTCGAGCACTGGCTGCCAACAAAGCAGACTCAGCCATCTTCCTTTAATAACAATTACAGAGTGGGTTTCCTCTCTTTGAAGGCCAAGAGAGCACAGCGGTCAACCCGAAACACACTTCAGCAAAACTGGTGGGATTCAATTTCGGCGAAGCACTTTGTGGATGGTGATAGGAAAATCACGAATAAGCAGAAAAGGACTAAACAATCTGCTGTTTGTAAACGGCTGCAGTCAATCGAGAAGTATGTTTACATAGAAAAGGAGGATGTTTGCATATAGACACAACTGACCTCCACGTATGCTCAACTCTAATCAAACTGGGCAGGAACAGCAGCCTCTTCCTGTGTTTATTTGTGGCAGAAATATCTCCATCTATTTTACAGTTGTCGTTTTTCCCGCCACCGAAACCTTTACTGGTGAGTTGATTTTAAAAAATGAAGGAAAATAATTGAGTGCATTTTATTGTGCAAAGGCTTTCGATAAAGGCTTTTTGGCTTTAAACAAACAAAACAAGTGTTTTCCTTGATGCCGGGTTCAGAGCAAAACAGACATTTGACGGACCCACCAGCATTTGGTATTTAAATGTCACTTTTGAGAGCCAGTAAAAAGATTGTCACTGTTAGGGTCTGAACCTAAGGTCACTGATTAGATCTGAATTTGAGTGCTGCTGGAGAAGAAAGGTGGGGACACCAAACATGCAGAGGGTGAGTTCAGCACGGCGATCTGTCCTGACAGGAATACATGGAAGGAATGGAAAAGGAACATTAACGTATGTTCTTCCCATTTCGCCTCATTAGGAGCTCGTAGCGAGGTCGCTGCCCGGCACAGCTGCACTTGAAACAGCGTGGCAGAAAAGTAACAAAAGTGCCGGCTATTTCTGGGCGTCCCATAAAGCTCTGGCAGCCACAACAGTGCTGGACGCCACATTAGAGTCCCTGTTTCCGTCTTCGTTTAGCACCGGCCTCTGGTGGGGCATATTTTTCCACTCACAGCAGGGACCCACTCTCAAAAACGATGACCCGAGGGCAACCTTCAGACTCAAGACATCAAAGATTTCCTAAATGAGGAGTGACCAGACCTTTATGTGACGTACGCTCAACACCACGGCCTAAATGTTCCTTCCTCGATGCTTTTCCTGGCTTAAGAAAGGGCCGATCTCTTGAGCTGAAGGAAAGTAGAGTCACGCCACCTGAGTCTGTATTCAAACGGCTGCAAAAGCATTAACAAGTCATTGTGAGGAGTGAATTAGAGAGGTGTGATTTCACTCCATTGTCCTCTGGGGAATAACGTTGAACAGAAAGGCCGTGTGTTTCTTCAATTGTTGGCGAGAGGTGAGAGACTCATTTTGAGGTGTGATTTTCTTTTTTTTTTTTTACTGTGAAATGAACCCAAATGGGCTCTCGTAATGTTTCCCTTGTTTCTTTACATTGGAAGCAGGGACACATGACTCGCCGGCCCCTCGTCCCCCAAAAAAGGGAAACAGTCGGTCATCGAGGGGATACTGGGCAGTCCGTGACGAAACAACAACCAGTGAATCTCCACTCGCAGTGAGGCCCGTTGCCCCGAGGGGAGGAGGCAGTGACGGGGCAGGACTCTGCTGTGGGACGACAGAGAAGACGGAGCGTTGTCGAGTCCCGCGGTCGGGTCTTTGTGTGTTAACTAACCGGAGGCTGGGGAGCCTGTCACTGTCTCTCTGCCGGGGTGGGGGTGCGGGTGGGGGTGGGTAACTGTCCGAGGCCGAGATAGAGGAGCAGTTCATCAATGGTTATCACTTTGGGTGGGCCTTCGGGGGAGGCGGAACAAAACGGGTGAGGGAGCGGGCGGACACTTAAATGGAGGACAACCCCAGACCAGCAGGTGTGGTGGTGGTGGTGGTGGTGGTGGTGGTGGTGGGAAGCTGTTGAAGCTAAATTAAGAACTACTCGGGTGAAGAAAACATCACTTTTTCAAAAACAGACCACCAGGGAAGAGCAAGCGCTCCATAAAACGACGTGGCCACATTTAGAAAAATTCCCCATTAATCACGAGCTGCAGTGGAAAAGAGTAACTTGTTAATTATGTGTGTGTTACGTTTGATTTTGTCCGCACGTCACGGCTCCGCCCCTGTGTGTCAATTTCTACCATGACCTCATCTGTGTTTTTTCTCAAGGATATCCCTCTCCTCTCTAGGCACAATGAGGCAGTTTCCTGTTTTAGAGAAGCTGCCGGTTCGGGCCTTCGCTCTCCCACCCTCACCTTACGTAATTTCCCCGTAGATTCTTCTGGCCCGCCAGCATGGAAATGCACGTTATTTTTTGCTTTTTGTTGTTGTTGTTCATTTCCTGCAGAATTCCCTTGAAAAGTGCTTTACATTTTGGTTAGAAAAGCAGCAACAAGAAGCACTAATCTAAAAGGTAAAGAAGTGGTGGGACTGGTGATAAGACTTTGGCTGGGAAGTGGATCTCTCCTCCAGCTGTGTTTGCCAATGTGATGGTGGCTTTAAGGAGATATGAACGGCGCTTAAAAACATCAGTCAATTGGTTATTTGTTTAGCACTTTTCACACCACAAATCAGTTCAGAGGGATAATGAGAATCAAGCTTTATAGTGAAAGCAAGTTACACTCAAAGGTGTCACCTTCCTGCAGTCTGAGCATGACTTTGTTCCTTGATTGTTCCTCGAGGGAGGGGGTGATTTTTGTAGTTTTTGTACACAAATGATCACTCAAAGCAGAGCGAAACCATCTCTCAAAATGCGTGGAGTGGAAAGGACCTACAAATGGCGCTGCTGCCAAGAAAGTGTTTCTTAAAAATATGAGCTGGAAGATAATTACAGACGAGGTTAGTTATGCTCTGAAATCTGGACTTTCTGACCCGCAAAGCAGATCCAGCTGCACCTTTCTTGCAAATTGCTATTTTTCCACTGACAAATGAACTTGTGGTCCATAGAGAGTTTAATTCGGAGTGTGACGTTTCTCTTCAAAGGGGGGGGGACAAGAGAGGGAGAGATTTCCACATAATCCAAACCCGAAGAGCAACATATAATTTACCTCCACAAGCCTGTTGAACACACACAAATAAAAGAAGAGCTACACTCATCTGAACAGCACCTGCGGGCAAACTGAAACATGAAAATCTAACTTTCTTCCTCTTATTGTACAGAAACAACCTGTCGTCGACCTCTAATTCCTCCTGAGGGCAAATCACTGAAATAAGAAGGGGGGGGGGGGGGGGGGTCGGGCGAAGGAGGGAGTGAAAATGGTTGCGGTTAAATAACTTCATAGACCAACCCCCTGCGTGTCGAGTCCTGCTCCGCGCTCCGCTCTGCGCACTCACATGTCGCCGTGGCGCAGTGATCCACTCCGCACCGCGTCTCCTCCCGCTGCGGGACCCCTTCTGCTGCCGCCCGGGCTTCCACGGGACATGTACGTGTATTTAAAGGTGCGTGGGAAAGTTTCTTACAAGTTTTCGTTTTAACCGTGTTGGTTAGATGCGGTGCGCAAAGAGCGGCGAAACGCGGCTGGCCCGTGCGGGATGCGGTTACAGGAACATTTCTGTGCGCAACTGGTCATTTTTAACTCTTACGTTTAGCCTGCTGTTAACATGGTACAGTACAGATACCGAGATTTTAATTTAATTGAATGCATACCAATTAAAACATGACTCCTATATAAATAATTTATGATCGGCAAAGGACAAAATTGTTAAATGAGTTAAATTAAACAATTACAACACTAACACGCATTCGTATTTACGCAGTAAATATTTTACACCTCGAAATTAGTTCCATGTTTTTGTGTCACATGGGTTAAATGTTGGAAATAAATAGTTTTGAATGTAAGAAAGCGGCTTTATGTCCAAGCTAAATAATAATTATAACTTTGTTTGGGACTTTGAACGTGTTTTTTTAATGTCCATTGTAGTCTGTGGTTATTCCGGGGAAGTTTGATACGGGATCCCAGTAATCAAAGTGGGTTTTGCTGTCGGTAATTGGGGCGTTTGTTTTTTTGTCATCACCCGGACCCCCCCCCCCCCCCCCCTGTGTCCCGTGCAGACCGGCTCTCATCGCCCCCTAGCGCGCAGCCCGGACACGACAGGAAGGGATTTTTGGAAGGAAAATTCTCAAACCACAGGAAATCCTATTTGATAGCATTAAAAGGGGAAACTCTTTCCTCTGCGTAGAGCAGCTGGGGGCCTCTGACTTTTCCCGATTTTTTAGATAAATTACCAAAGGAAGAATGCCCACCCAGAGGACTATATGACACCTTGGATTTAATCGTGACATACAATAATAAGGGAGAGAAAGGAAGAAGAACAAAACAAAATGACTACAGAGTCTTTCCATGCTGCCTATGCCGTTGTGGCCCCTTCCGCCATCACCATGTCCCCCTCCACAGGAAACCTGCTTCGCATGTTCCGCTCCTACCACAACAACACGGTCATCCTGGAACACTACAACTTCACGGGGAAGCTGGACGCCAAAGACTACAAAGAAGGCCTCAAACCCCAGGACATCGCCTTCCTGCTGGTCTGCCTGTTTATTGTCGCCGAGAACGCCGTGGTGCTTCTGGCCATCTGGAAGAACAAGAAGTTCCACCTGCCCATGTACTACTTGCTGGGCAACTTGACTCTCTCGGACCTGCTGGCAGGCTTCACCTACATGGTGAACATCCTGACGTCCGGCGCCACCACCATGCTATTGACCCCCGTGCTGTGGTTCCTGCGGGAGGGCGGCGTGTTCATCATGCTCGCCGCCTCGGTCATCAGCCTGCTGGCCATCGCCATAGAGCGCCACGTCACCATGGTGAGGATGAAGCCGTACCAGGGAGACAAGCAGGGCCGGATGTTTGCGCTGATCGGGGCCAGCTGGGTGCTGTCCGTGTTCCTGGGCGTCCTGCCCGTCCTGGGCTGGAACTGCATGGGACGCCTGGACCAGTGCTCCACGGTGCTCCCGCTCTTCTCCAAGAGCTACATCCTCTTCTGCATCACCGTGTTCAGCGCCATCCTCATGTCCATCGTGGTGCTGTACGTCCGCATCTTCCGCATCGTCAAGTTCAACACCCAGCGGCTGGCCTCGGTGCCGCAGCGCAAGGGCCTCTACCGCAAGTCCCAGAAGTACATGGCCCTGCTGAAGACGGTCACCATAGTCCTGGGGGTCTTCATCGCCTGCTGGCTGCCCCTGTTCATCCTCCTGCTGCTGGACTTCCACTGCCCGGCCAAAAGCTGCTCGGTGCTCTTCAAAGCGGACTATTTCCTGGTCATCGCCATGCTCAACTCCCTGCTCAACCCCATCATCTACACCCTGACCAGCAAGGACATGAGGAGGGCCATCCTCAGGCTGCTCTGCAGACACTGCCTGCTGACCAAGGACGGGCAGGTGAAGAAGATCGGGATACCCTTCCTGGAGTGCAGCACCAGCAAGACCGACGTGGCGTCCCACAGACTGGAGGGGCTGGAGACGACAGTGTCCTCCGGGAACTTAACGCCCTCCACAATCAAGGCCATTTACCCCAGGATGTCTAAGACATGACCGAGCGGATCGGACGTTCGGGCTGAGGCTTCCCTCTAGAGTCGTGCTCCAGGCGAGTGACAGACTTTGGTTTTGCACTCTGCCAGAGTTTGGGTTGTAAGCTGAATAAGCTGTAAGCTGTGAGCGTGATTGAAGTCAAGGTTTTGGGAGAAAGACTATAATGTAAAAAAAAAGAAACGCCAACGGCTAAATAGCAGCTTGCGGTTTCTTGTGGAAAACTAGCAGTACTTTATTTTTTAGTCAGTATTTATCAGAGGATTTTCCTTCTGGAAGACATTTCGTTTTTGTCAGTGTCAGTTTTCCCACATGAAATGAAATCAAAGGCTGGTGTGCAGACGTTCCACATGAATACCAGCCAATCAAGCTGCACATCTGACAGTCTGCGGCCAGAGCCCGGGCGGGAGGTTCACCCTTATCTCCTCTCCCCCCGCGCGGCGTGTTTAATGATACGTTGTTACGAACACGCCCAAAATCTGCTGTGCCAAACCCATGTAATTTTTGCCATGTGAGTTTTGGTCAGCAGCAGTGCCGTGTGGTGCCTCCCCCCCTCCCCTTGGCCCCAGATCAGAGGCTCGGCGCCCCTCGGGGACGTCATGCTGAGGGGCCGGGGGGGAGCTTTGGAGGTTGCCCGATCAACACATGCAGCGACACACAGCGAAGGACTAGGAGGCCATGAGGCTGAACTTGGGAGGCCCGGTGAGGACCTTCTGGGTCTCACAGTGCAGAACATGGGGCGATCTGCTGCAAACACAAACATTGCATTTTCCTCGCTGGAAAACGTCCAACCGTGATATGGATCGGTTTCTTTCGAGTTGAGATACAATCGTCTTCCACACAACAGCGATCCGTATAAGGCTGCATGGTGCCGTCTGGGGAATTCCATTGTGGTCACGTAAGATTAGAATAGATTATTTTCCGATTGTAATATTGTACATACATGTAAAGAAAAATACATCTATTTACAGATTTCTGTATAATTTGTAAATATATATATATATATATATGTATAGCCTTTTCTGAGCTTAACAGAGCTGTTTTGTATTGTAAAAACCTTACTTAAGTTAAAATGTCACTTTGGTTTTTAAATGTGCACTGAATAAAGCGTGTAAATGAAGTTTCTATGGAGCCTTGTGTATATTCTTTACTGTTAATAATTAAGCAGCCTGAACAACATCCTTCCCGTTCCTCACTGCCGATTTTAACTTGAAATACGCAGCAAGTGGTTACAAAAGCACTACAGAATAATCCAGACAGTACAAATGCTATTCAAATACATTAACTACATATATTCTACACATTCAGACAGCTTTCCTCTATTTTTGTTGTGTGACATGTAACACAAACCTGGCTGCATGAAACAAAATGCTTTGCAAATACCAAGAGCAACTATTAAGAGATTTTAATCTGTTTTACTGTTTTCTAATATAAATGAATATATTGCCTGAAACCAATATAGACACGTTCTAGTTTATATATATATATATATATATATATATAATATATATATATAATATATATATATATATATTATATATATATATATAAACAGCGGCACTAGTCTGTCGTTAAGATGCGCGGTGTGTGTTGCTGAGGTGGAGATGAGCGGAAACCAGGCACGGTCCACGCCAACGCGTACAAATGCTATTCAAATACATTAACTACATATATTCTACACATTCAGACAGATTTCCTCTATTTTTGTTGTGTGACATGTAACACAAACCTGGCTGCATGAAACAAAATGCTTTGCAAATACCAAGAGCAACTATTACTGTTTTCTAATATAAATGAATATATTGCCTGAAACCAATATAGACACGTTCTAGTTTATATATATTATATATATATATATTATATATATATATATATATATATACACATACACACACATTTATAAACTATATTATTAAATAAATGTAATATATATATATATATAAACAGCGGCACTAGTCTGTCGTTAAGATGCGCGGTGTGTGTTGCTGAGGTGGAGATGAGCGGAAACCAGGCGCGGTCCACGCCAACGCGTGGGCGTCAACGCCCCCCCCCCCAACCCAACGCCGAAGGTGTGAGGGGGTCGCGAAAGAACGAGGTGGGCCTGTGGGAAATGACACCGCGGGCCGGGGTTTCTCTTGAGTGCTGCAGAGAAGAAGAGACGTCAGCGCCTCTCATCGTGCCACTTCACTACATTTTCACTAACTCACCACTGTCATGCACGGGACAAAAATACACAAGTCAAATGAGGTAACATTTGTGTGTTTACTTCAGTACACACAGTATATAATAAGCAGTGTGCCGCCCATCATTCTGTCCCTGAACACAACACACCGCTTACACGCAGGCCGACGAGTTCAAAGAGACAAGGGGTTTTCTAGTTAAATGTAAGGATAGCTTCCGGTGGGATGAGTGCAAAGGCAAACTGAACCTAAACAATGACATTTGACATCCGCCTTCATGTATTTAGATGGGTTAAACTAACAGTTTTAGACATTAATGACAAGAACAGTTGGAGCATGACAGGTGGTGTTGATGGAGGGGTACTCGAGCTCACATGACAAATGACAAAACCAGTCTGACCAATCCACCCAAAAAGCCTCTAACGCTTTAAATAGCATCTTAGGGTCCCTAAGCACACAGACTTTATATGGAACCAGCGCTCTATTTTAAAAACTAAAAAAAAAAGTTTCTTTGCAAAACCATGTAGGTGTAAATAGACTGCAGCGACATCTAGTGGCCAACTCCGTCCTCCGGGACTCCTAACCGCTCTGATGAGTCCACATTGAACAAAAACATTTGAGAAAAAAAACCCCACAAAAGATATTTTATTTTGAAAACAGTATCAGCGGCGTACAGAACGGCCAAAAACACAGACATCTACGGACAAACAACAATAACGCAACGATCCCGTGTGATAACGCGGCTACCACTCAGTGCTGACAAAGCCCCACAGCTGGTCGCTCACGTCGCTCCGAGGCCGCGTGGAGGTGTCGATGTCGATGGGAGTCGCCAGGTCTGCGCCGTAGTGCACTGCGGGACGAGAAGACAGACTGAGGACATGTAGAGCGGCCTCAGGCAAAGAGAAAAAGAGAAAAGCAATCCGTACCTCCTTTTAGGACGTTGGGCTGCGTGTCATATTCCCACTTGATCTTGGTTACGAGGTAGTACACCTGAGCCACGTATCTGTTGACGGAGAAGGAAAAAAACTACTTGCAACTGCTGTATAAAGTAATATCTCCCTGCAGAAAAAAAAGAAACTAGAAGCAAACTACGATGTGCAGAGGGAAACATAACACGTTTCAAGTCTATGTGGGCCAGATTTACATTCTCTGTCTGAAGGAAGCAACGGCAGTGGGACAACGCCTTTGACAAGAGATTTCCATTACTTATTATCTGAGACTCACATTGCTGAAGGGATGACCTCGGTCGTGTCTTCGTCCACCTCGCTCTGAAGAGTCACCAGCTCGTGCTCCGTGTTTTTCAGGCTCTCAAACTCTCTCTGCAGAAATCTGGATGAAGGATTAAGGAAGCCAACAAAGTAACAGAAGTAAAAACATAAATAAAGCACAGCTGCAAATAAAAGTCCATAACATGGATTCCCGTGTCCGGAAGTACATCTGAATCAATCAAAGCAAGAGAGGAGTCAAAGGGACTTTCATTGAATTCTCCACAAGGTATGACAAGATACTGTAGTTCTGAGTCGGTCATCTGGCTCTTGGCGGCGGCTTGTCTCAGCTGCTCCCCCAGGCTCTGCAGCTCCCTCTCCCTTCTGGTCTTCTCCTCCTCCATGTCCAGCAGCATCTGCCCCGCCCTCTCCTCAATCTCTCCCACATCTGGGGGACGGGAGACAGACAGAGAGAGAGAAAACGGCGGAGGAAAAGACAGAGCATTTTAGATGAAAGTAAGAACGACTGGATCCAGTCGAAACTATTTTTTATTTGAAGGTAAATGAATCTACACAATCTTTCACGGAGAGCACGGAGACAGCTGAGTCACAATAGAGAATATCAGACCACTTGCCTTTTAAAATCTGCGCGACAATCTTTTTGGTTTTCATGTGGTTGTCAAAAAGAGCCTGATGTTCATCTTTGACCTGTCTCAGCTTCTCCGGTTGGCTGCTGTTGATGAAGGCCACCAACCCCTCCGCCGTCTCCACCAAGTCATTGAATTTATGACATTGAGCCATTGTGGCAGCTAGGAAGCCCATAAGAGAAAAGGTTAAACCTAAAGATAAACACTTAAGGATAATAAGTGTTGACTTCTTCATTGACATTTAACACAACGCCTCGTAATTTGAACTGACAAAAAAAAGGTACAGTAACATCTTGAGTATATTAAATAAATAAATTGATAAATCAACTACTTTAAATCGAACAAGATTGCACAGAACTGCACTTGAAAGTTTCTAAAGCTAAATTAATAGAACTTTTAAACTACGCATTAACTTAAGATCGACCAGGAAAAGCAACACTCACAATAACAGTGATTACTTGTTTGCCTTGTTTACAACAGGATCGTTAGCTACGCAGCTAAAGTTAGCTTAACTACGATAAAATGCTGCAGACTCATTAAACGAATTGCACACAACAGCATCGACTGTAAAAAGTAAAAAGTGAGCACATTGTCCGTGAGGCAAAGATGACGTTAATACGGTTATTACGTTAAAGTCAGACAGAAAACGAACCTACAGCTCTTCAGTGCGATGATTCAAATCCTCCCCGTGAGCGCGCCTCTTCTTCTTCTGCTGCCACCGCCTCTTCTTCTGTGGTCATTGGCGGACCGTCATAGCGCCCGCTGCCGTACAAGAAGAAAAGCGCCACGCTGCATGTCGCTTGTTGCCAAAGTCAGTATCACGGATGATTAATTACATCCAACCCTTCAATGAGATTTGGCGTGAAGTGAAAAATATTTCCACATTGTAAAACGCATTCGTTTTTGTTAACATAATGCTAAATGTAGCAGGCTAGCCCCCCCAGTGGGAATTGGGTCTCATCAGTTAAGGTGCACTACCCTTTTATGACGTTTTGCTTCCAATCTGGAAGCTTCACACAGATTCTGGTTCATGAAGCAGCTCTTCCAGGTAGCACTCAGAACTTACAGGTTCAGGGCAAAGGTACAACTTTTAAGCTGACGTGTTGATCATGCCAGCGTGTTTTCCATAGGAAATCGAATGGAACAGACAGCAGAGGACAGAACCTCTGCATTATACTAAAGTGTGGTTCCAGTTTGCTTTCACCCACATGAACGGCTTAATAACACATCTGCTTTAAACAGCTGTGAAAGGATTAAGACAGCCAGAGCGTTAATGTGAGTCAACATTACATTTGGAAAGTTGAGAAAACAATTTTCACTACTAACATCTGTTATCAAAGTGAGTGAAATGTAAACACAATATGAATGTAGCAAGATAAAACGTTTAATTGTAATAATCTTTATTATTGTGTAGTTAAAGCGTACACTGGGTATAACAGAAAATGATTGAAACCTTAAAAAAAAAAAAAAAAAGAGGCTCTAATTTAAACAAAAAGGGAATTTATAATTCGACAATGTGTTATATTCTCAGACATCTATGATTGTACAGTTAACTAAGATGGTGGCTCACGCCTGTTTTTTCTCCTCCAGCTTCTTCGGTTCTTTTCGTTTCTGCCTGCCGAGCTGTCTGAAGAACAGTCTCTTGGGGTTCAGACCGTAGGCCTTCAGTCTCTGCTTACTGAACTCGCAGCCGCCAATCTTCACCCTGCTGGTTCCCGATCTGAGGCGTCCAACGGGGTGCGTTTGCTTCTTCGTGGACCATTTGGGCCTTTCAGTCCGGTTTCTCACCTCTGCAGCTTTGTCCGCTTTCTCCACGGCGGAGACCGCTGTCTGGGCTTCCTCCTGGAGTTTCATTTTCTTGGGAATCAGAAGCTCTTCCGCTTCCTCTCCGAGAGCTTGGCCTGGCGTCTCCTCTGCAGAGTCCACCATGTACCCTGCAGCTCGGTCCTGCTTCTCTGTGTCCTTTGGATGATCGCGTCGCTGCTTCCCCGGCTTGGTCTTATCTTCCAGCGGTTTGTCTTCCCTGTAGATTAAAGCAAGATGAAAAAACGCTCTGCATTACTCCACTAATGGTGGATCATGAGGGGGGAGGAGCTGACTGCATTATACTCACTCAGAATACACAGAGCGCAGGATCGCCTGCTTCCTCTTCACATTCTGCGCCATTATCTGATAGTTCCTCAAGTCACACGACTCTGCTCTGTCGGACCTGGGAAGACAAAGGCCTCTTAGTGTTGGAAAAGGACCCGACAGAGCAGAAAGGCCACGTTGACCTTCGGGCCGGAGCCGGTACCTGAACATGCAGGTCTTCTTCAGAGTGCACCACTGGTTCAGCTCCTTATCGTTGGCAGTTAAAATCTGAGGAAAGAACCAGAGCATTGAATTACTCAAACTGCTGCTACACATGCTTGGAGTCCTGTAGAGTTCATCTGGGTCATAAAGTTTCCTTTTAGCCGCTGGGTGGTCTGCTCAGAGAGAAGATTAAGTCGAGATCATTCCCTGGTCAGAGCTCTCCCCAAGAAAGGAAAAAGCAATACCAGATCAGTCACTTAAGGCTCATCACTGCAGCGCTCCCAACCAACAGCAACATCCATCGTTAGGCCAAGTTTATCTTTAATAAATCTTCTATTCTCTAGAGCCCGCCCACACAAAGCAGTTTGTCCAATTATGACTCGGCAGCAGTATCTACGCCCAAGCAGGACCTTCGAGCACGTTGATCTGATGAGCGTATGAGGCTGCAGGAGGATAGTGGATATATTTTTCCAACTGGTTAAAACCAACCTCAGCAGCGCCGTCCTGCTCCTCGGGAAGTTTATACTCCTAATCCCCAAAAGACAGTCATGAGCGGTCAGAGACAACCGCATTCCCTCTCAACACTAAAACATGGTTGGTGAATTCCCATCTTCAAGCAGCCATAAGCAGAATCTGAGATCTTACCTGCCTCATGAAATGCTGAAACTATCCAGCAACTACCCACATATCAATCGTCTATCGCTCTGCCAGCGGCACCATCGTACGTGGAACGTGTGAGCGCCGAGAGCTCGACCAACAGCCAATCACTCGGCAGGCGCAGGCGGCGCCGCGCTCACCTCGTCGGTGCTCAGGCCGAAGTCGTTGGCGAGCACCTGCCTGTAGCGGAAGCGGCACGGGAGGTCGTCGATGATGTCCTCGTAGTCCAGCTTGTAGTACTCGTCCAGGTACTGCTCAAAGCTTTTCTCCTCTGAAACAAAAAAACACCTGCGGTTACACAAACGTCCGTTGGAGGACCCCGTTGCTTTTATCAGGAGGAGCCTGAGTGACACCTACGCGGGTCAAACACGGGCTTCTTTTGGGTGAGGACTTCTGCAAAGTGAGACTTTTTGCTCTTTTTGCCCATTAGTGGCAAATCCTCCTTCTTCAACTTCTTTCGTTCCTTTTGCTTCTTTCTCTTGGAGGCCGGCTGCTGGTTGGGGTCGTAGTCTGCATCCATCTGTTTCAAAGGGGGGGGGGGGGGGGGGGGCTTTAGGTGAACTTTTCTTCCCAGAAAAAGAAACCCTCTCACAGGTGACTGACCTCGACCTCTCACCCTGAGGTCATAAAGCGGAGCGTACTCACAATGAAGTTCTGATCCTCGCAGTGGGGCCCAGAGGCATCATTCTCACTGCAGTGCTCCTCTTGAGCTTCGCCCGTCCACCTGTCCCAGTTCCACGACTCTGAGACACACACACACACGAGTTGAATCTTCTGTGATGCGTTAGTGCAATAAACATTTTGTTTCTCAGCAGGATTCCTTTCAGAGCTCAGGGAGGAGTCAAAGTGCGACGTGGAGGCCTCGATGCACTCAAATAAAACACGCCAGTTCCAGCATCAGGCAACATACAGAATACACCGCAGGCTTACCCTCATCTTCGTCTTCATCATCAAAGTGAGGCTTCTCGCCTTCTTCTCCTTTGTAGTAGTCATTCCCGAAGAATTTCTGGATTCAAACGAAGAAAGGACAAAAGTTGCAGAGGAGTTTACACGGGACACATGCACCTCCTTCGCCTGGAAACCACTAAATGAAGAGGAAGCTACAACCCCACCCCCACCCCACCGAGGACAAGCCCAATCAGCCAGACGCAGCACACCTGGGTGAGCGTGGTCGCCTCGTGAAAGCAGAGAATTGTGTTCAACCAAACTGCTTATTATTTTGCCATTTCAGTTTTGAAACAAAAGAACCCCCTCAAAACTCCTCAAATACAGCTGCAGACACACAGCTTCAACGTGCGTATTAATCCAAAGCTGAACAGTTACAATTGCTGAGCTTATGATTGGACGATCCCTGTGAGGCCTTCGGCTATTGGTCGGTTGAGTGAGCGCACAAGAAACAACGTTTGTGGCACAACGTGTGTGTGTGTGTGTGTGTTTCTGCACCCACCTGCATTAGCTGGTCGTGTTGCTGTGGATCAAACTCCCCCTCCAGGTCGGCCTGGCTGAAGGCGAGCTCCTCGTTGCCCGTCAGCTCCTTGAGCCTCTTCAGCTTCTCCACGATCTCGTTTCGCTTCAGGTTCTTGAGCTGCTTCAGCTGCTCCCGCTTCTGCTCTTTCTCCTGAAACGGTTGTTGGGGAAGGGAAGCGGAGGAGAAGCAGGGAGAGACGTTGGTATTATCTCATCAGCGAAGGCTTTTCGTACTTCGAGGCGGAGCGAGAGAAGTGTATTACCATGTTGAAGGGCCTGGTTAGATTTTAGATGAAATATTTATATTCATAACCATGAATCTAACCTTTTCCTTCCTTTCTTTCACTTCGTCCCTTTTGCGCTTCCTGCTGTCGTCTTTGGAGCGCACGGACGTGGCAATGCTGCGGGGATACGTCTTGATCTTCTGAGCGTCGGGCTCCTCGAAGCGGAAGTTGTAGCTCCTCTCAAAGTCCTCCTGCCGCTCCAAGAAAGTCTCCCCCTCCTCCTCGGAGTCCTCCACGTCGTCCTGGACCACCTCGTCGTAGGTCGGGATCCTTCAGCCATCGGGAGAGTTTTTGCTGGTTAGGCCTCCCTCACCGGGGAAAACAGAGTCGAGGTGCACGCGGGCGGCAACGTACCGTTTGCTGTCAGCGTCGTCCTCGTCGATGTAGCCCTTGTTGAGGACGTAGTCCCTCAGGAAACGCTCCTTCTCGTCCAACTTCGGGTCGTTCCAGTAGTCCCTTAAGTATTTCTGTCCCAACGCACACACAGTCTCATAACTGAGAAACACCCAAGTTCCTACACTCTCCCCGCTGTGCTTTCACACGCTCACTCACCATGTCCTTCACCTCCTCCGGGCCCTCCAGGTCCGCCTGGCCCTTCAGCCACTCCATATAGTCGGCCTCCTCGTTGTCCTACAGACAGACACGGGGTCAGAGAAAGTTTGATCCTGTTGTGTGACTCTTTCCTCTCCGTTCCTGCGATTGGGAAGTAAGAGCTTCGGACCTTCTCCGCCTGCGTTTTCATCCTCCTGGTGAGAAACTCTGATTTCTTCCCGGCATCGCTGTCATCGTCGCTGTCCTGGATGAATTTACGGAAGCTGGGGAAGGGTTTAGGTTTATGTTAAAAGTGATATGGTTATACAGCCAGACTACTACACATCTGACGTCTGAGACGTACCTGTTTTTCAGCTCCCGCTGCTCCTGAATGTAGCTCGGAGAGGCGGCTCTCTTTGGAATAAAACAATGATTAATAAAAACACCCGTCTCTCCGCATTCCAGATCTAACATCAATTATCCGCTGCGTCTACCTCCATTCTCCATGCGGCCTCCTCCTCATCGTCACTGTCGTCCTCATCCTCAAATTTGCTGTGAAGATGAAATAAAAAGATCAGCAATTTTTACACTATATAAAAAAAAGATAACCAATTTGGAGAATAGCAAGGCGGCTTTATGCTTATAAGTAAATCATTAGTGGTAAAATAATGTATTACACATGCATGACAATAGTGACCTCATATCTACCAATTAGATATGATGATTTATCAGTATTTCTGTTCAAAGTAAACACTCACAAGTATATTAGGCAACAAGCATGTGCTTATTTAAAAAACAGACATTGTATAAATCAGAAAAACATTTTATTGTTTCAATTTGGACCAAATGTGACCAAACCGTGCGCCATACTGGACAGTCAGCGATTCATTTACTTTCAATTAAGTTATCAGTTGTGACAAATCTAAAGCGTCCTAGTTCTAACACTAGGTGTGTAATTGCTGAATGAGCCCGTCAATAAACTGTAATAAACCGTGATTGTACCCTATGGTTGAATGCACTTATTGTACGTCGCTTTGGATAAAAGCGTCCGCTAAATGTAATGTAATGTGATCGCTGCCCACTCACCCCTCCTTCTCCAGGATGACTTTACGTTCGTAGTCCCTGAGAAACATGGGCTTCACTGCCTTCTTGGAGGTTGAAGGCTGTTCATCACCGCTCGATGCAACTGGAAGACGTATAGGTCAGGTTTACGGACAGTTCTTTAAAGACACTAACAGATGTCCCAGGGACCGTGAAGGCAACACCAACGGCAACAGCACGCGGCTCTCACCCTCCGAGTAGAACTTTGCATCCGCCTGGTAGATCTTGGGGTCTTTCTTCTTAAGCAGTGACAGTGTTCTGTAAAAGTCCCTCTCGACTCCGGGGTCCACTTCCTGTGACACAACACGGCAGCCGGTCGGTTAGACGACATATGTATATACAACATTTGGCGAGCCGCTTGCTCTCGTTAGCCGGGGGGGAAGAAGCAGCGATGCTAACCACTTCACTGTCCTCGGAGCTGGACTCGGAAGACTCGCTCTCTCCACTTTGGTCGCCGTATCGATCCTTCACTGCGCGGCAAATACAAGGAGAACCAGATATGAGTTAAATACACAGTAATAACAACGTGTCGCGGAGCTTAAAGCCAGTTAGCTCCCGCTACTCCTTTTAACCCCCACGCTGGGTCGTTAGCACGTAGTTTAGCCGTCCTCGGTCACACACTTACGTCTCTGGAGCTCTTCTTTCTGCCGATATGAATCATATTTATGCGCGAACTTGGTGTTGATTTTAAACTCCGACATGGTTTCGAAGAAGGTGGTGGGTTTATGATACAATTACAAACTACACGCTAGTAAAGCGGATTCATTGCTGCTGCCTGCGCGTGTGGAAAGCTGAACCACGTGGTTTCCGGTGCACAACGTCACACATTTCACACAGTGTCCTGCAGGGGGCGCGCTGATGCTGACAATCCTCAATCCAATAGCTGTCGACCACTCGTGCTGTAAGATTACAATTTTTCGAATTCATTTCGAAAATAGTTTTATTTGTTACATTAATATGTTTCTTTTCTACTTTATAGATTTGGTTTAGGCTCTTGCACTTAGAAAAGTCCAATTATTCTATTTGTTATGTAGTGTTTGATTTCATTTGACCTTTCTTACATGTATTACATGTTCTTTTTAAAAAACAAGGAAAGAATACTATATATTGTTGTTACACAAATAGGCATTCGTGGATTAATATAAACATAACAATTCACATATGGTACAACATTACTAGACATGCACTCACACAAACTCCAGATATTTTAGAAACATAGAATTATTTCATTTTTTTTCAAATAACAGCCAATTTGCCACACATTTTTGATGGTCTTACATCCCGCATATGGTAAACTAGTTGAATAAAGTGAGACGACTTGTGGAAACATTGATTGGAACGCTCTCACCTCACCACTGTTTACTAGGACAATGTGTCTTCAACATCATGTGCCATCAGAGTAGTTGAGGACGAACAGTATCTGTCAGTTAATGATTTGGGCACTGATGTGTGACATAGGATGAAGAACAAGTAAGGTACAAAACATGATTGTGATTCAAAAAACACAGTAGTCCATCCCATACCTCTCTCCAATGTGCAACACAGAATCACTTTATTGCCACTCCACCACAGAGACGATTACTATGACCGATTTGTGTCAACATAATTTTAGAAGTTGCAGATAACGTAACTAAATATCTGGCAACTTATCCGAACTGAAGCATTTTTTTGTTATAGAATGCTGTTTAGTTTTAGAGAAGAACATTCCACCGAAACAGGTGCCTTATATAGCAAATAAAATCTAGGTTTCATAGAGTAGCACCGCTTGGGTGATGCTGTTATCTATAGTGCAGGGCTTTGACGTCGTTTATGCAGCAACATGAAACGAACAATAGGTGTATCAGTATCAGTTTGAGACCTGACGCAGACATGCAAAAACAGATAAGCTAGTAGTTGTGCAAGTATGCAATCACTGGGACTTAGTTTGAGTACTGAGGAGACCAATGGTTAAAAAAAGAGTAATGTAGTTGGAAATGTTTATTATTTGTGCATTATAATAGATTCAAACCAAAATGTATGTATTCTAATAAAACATTTAAAAAGCAATGGCAAAACCGTGAAAGCGAAACGGCACCTTTGAGACAAATTAGGATAATTCAGAAAAAGGACCATTGATCATTCGATTTTGTCACTTTTGCAGAGTTCGGATACTATTTTTTCCCCCATGTCACTCTTTTAATTTCTCATGAAATAAAAGTATAATTGACGAATATTCTTAAATTTGGTAAAAACTAAAGGATTTTTCTAGGCGATACGACTAAAGTTCTTATTTGATCTAAGAACTCCTCTTTGATCAAATATTATTGTTGGCTTGGCTTTTGTCTGGAGTCGTGTGTGTGCCTCCAGAGGGTGGGGGGGGAGGGGGGGGGGGGTTGGAGGCCGGGGGCTCTCCTTGCAACCAAACACACTCTGACCAAAGGTCAGTGAAGGTTAAGCTGATTGGTTTTGTTTATCAGGAGAGCAGGAACATCCGATCCTCACACGTCTGGAGCTCACAGGTCTTAAACATCTGGCGGAAGTTTCTGGATGTTCGGGGGTGAATGAGAAAAAATGAGAAGAAAACACTACATGACTTCTGCAGGTTTTATATTCATCCATTCATCCGACAAAGTGACTGGAGTGATCCAGCTAGAGCGTGACCTTTGTGTTTAAATGATTGATTGATGATGTCAAGGGATTCCGATAAAAGTTTTCTTTGAAAAGCAGAGAATCGGTTGTGAATCCAGGAAGGCTCTCGCTGATCGACGACGGCCTTGGACACGGCTTTATCAATTATCAGTATTTTCGACCGGGGAGTGACATAACTGCCTGTTATATAACCCGTGTGTTTACACACATGTCCGTGGACGGCTCACAGCTTCTTTCACCTCACGTTTGAGGTCAGCTCTACACTTCACACTCGTCCTCGGCCTTGAAGTTTGCACGTGGCGGGCTGTTGGCGTGTTCGCCCACAGAGTCACTGAGCAGTTTGCTATTCCTCTCTTCTAAGATAGCTGCTGTTGTGGCTTCCTCTACTGGCAAACATGCATTACACGGCTGAATATAATGTTCTGTTTTAAAGCCAAGGCCACAAGGTGGTCCATTCCACACTGTCCCCCGATCACGTCTATTAAGCTGTAACACACTGTCCTCTTATAGGAGGCACATATTTCAAGACTTTCTTGATACATGTTGAAATTTCTTTTAATTTTGCTTAAGCAAATACCCCAAACCCCCCCCAGAGACTCACTCCCACTCACTCACAGTGTTTTTCCTTTCCGTGGTCTCATGCCATTGGAGGATTTCTAAGAAAATGTGGTTCTGCCTCTTCCTGTGACGGTCTGACTTTCAAGGAAGAAAGTCTCGTTTTCCATTGAATTACAAAAACACATGCGGGCCCCTTGTAGAAAGCAGGGGGGAGAGAGAGAAAAACATGTTCCTCATGTGTGGGATGAAGACAGTGAGCGTGCTTCCGTACGTTACGCAAAGCCTTTTATCTGTAACCACAGGCGATCAGAAACAGAGAGGGAAAGTACGGCTTTGCACCATATTGTGTAAAAGTGCAAATAAATACATATATATTATATCTAAATAGTCCCTGGAAAGACATTTGTGAACAATTGACAGATACATCACAAACATCACTGATTTGGTTTGCGTTTGAAATGAGATCGGCTAAACTCAAATTGAGAAAAATAGGTTTAAATGAGCAACAATGTTTTTATCCGGTACACTGTTACATTGAATAAGTCAGTACTTGAACCCCAGAGCTAATTAAACCATCACGAAGACAAAAATGGTGATTCATAAAAAATGTATATCTACATTTGGGTCGAAGGGATAAACAGTAAAAATGAGTTTGTCTAAAAGTATTTGATACAAAGTTGAAACAGTTGGCTAAAAACGGACAGTTTCTGTTGTTACTACTGCCGGGGGCCCCGTGTTTCCTCCCCAAACTGTCCATTTTCACTTGTGACTGTGTGTTATGTGACATGTGTAGTTACGCATTGAAGTGAATTCAAGAATGAATTTTCAAAAACTGCAGACAGACAGAAGTGACTCTAAAATAAATAAAAACATTTATTTTTTATGTACAGAAAATGATGAATGTTTACTACAGAGTTTTAAACATTACCAAAAATAACCCAGTTAGGAAGAAATATTTACATTTATGAACACTGTATTTACATACTTAATCTCCCCTGTATATAGTGTAAAATGACACTATAAACAGCTTTGCTCGTGAAAGTTTTCCAACGTAAAGCCACTGATCCACATGGCAATAAAGGGCTGGGTTCACCTCAACCTGACATTCCCTCGAATAATGTAGTGTAAACTGCTGATATCTTTAGACATATCCACTGATTCTATAGCAACGACATGAACATGTGAACAACGTATGTCAGCGATAAAATAAAGGCGCACGTGGCTTCCTCCTATCGGGAATGCTGGAGTTTAAGTTCCTGAGGGAGGACGTTAATGCACACGAGCACAGAGCGTTATGTAAACATGTTATGAATCCACCGTCCCCTCCGCCCCCAGAAAGGCATAGAGGGGGAGGATGGGGGGGGGGCTTAAGCGGGGGGCCCCCCAGTGCTCAGACAGACGATCACAAATCAAGGGAATGGAGCTGGAAGTATTTTTGAGAAACTCTGAAAACAGAAGACAGCTGGCGAGGAACGCTGGTTGCGGTTGTTCCAGACGAATAAAGAGATATTCAGGGAACTCTGTTTGACTTCTCTGCAGACAGTTCAATGAACAGACCGAATCCACACTCTTAGCTTGGTTTAGCTTAGCATAAATACTGGAAAAAGAGGGAAACAGCTAGCCTGTGTTCCTTACACACATCACAGGGAATGCCGCGTTGCTGTAAATGAGCTCAGTTAAACGGATGCATGTAGCTGTATCATCACACTCACAATCGGGATAAAAGCTACAAAAAACATTTGATTGTGAAATCCAACTTCTGCTGATTGGTATGTTTTGGATAAAAAGGGACCGAGGCCAACCTAGTGGAGATACAATCTAAAAACCTAAAAATAAGGTTTCACCCTGTTTTTTTTCCACTAGAGCGCTTTCCATCTTTGAGGATATAGTGGTTTGGATCATGGCTTTGACTGCCACGTCTTTGTGCTGTGTACAAAAGAGAAAAAGGACATCCGATGTGGCTTATCATTGAGGCTCTTCGTTCCACTTCCGACATTTTTCAGTTTTCTGTGAAGGCAGGATTGTCTGTCTCTTCCTCCAAGCTCACAACTTGTCTCTGAAAGGAAGACAAATTTGGAAGATGTCAGAATCAACATGATGCTGTAGCCGGTGAGTGCCGATTATAACTCAATGTACTCAATTCAAAACAAGACTGGACTCACTTTAGGGTAGGAGTAGCCGTCGGGGCTGTGGCTCCTGTAAATGTGCACTTGGTCCTCTGTGGTTTTCTGATAGACTGGGTTGTCAAAATGAATGGTGTTGGTGTTCTTCAGCCTGTAGTTCCTCCACAGCAGCACCCCACCGCCAGCCACCAGGCAAACGAGTGCTACGCGAGGCCGATAAAGGGAGACGCGTGAGACAGGACGCTAGATGTTGTTTGTATTTACGGTGGCCGCAGCTGCCGCGAGCTACTCACCCAGAGGTAGTGCAATATACAGAGAGATTGGGGCTGGGGAGGCGGTGCTGGGTATAGCTGCAACGAATCGATGTTTGAAATCTGAGGGAAAGGTAACAAGCGGAACAGGAGTTAATGATACACCGAGCTGACCTGCACCACACACACGTTGCGTGTCAGAGTTGAGGACAATGCACTAAAATGGTCAGCAGGAATATTAACCGTCTATACACTTTAACCTGAATTATTTTTACAAACACATGAAATGCACTTGCCTGGAGAGGTGACCGGAGACCCCGTTGTGGTCTTTGGGATTTCAGGGTTCGTGGGCCTTGGAGACGGGGTCCTTGGTTCAGGTGTGGTGGTCCTCACAGGAGGCTTGGTGCCGCGTGGCACAGGCCCGGTGGCGGGCCTCAGCGTGGCGTGGACATGGGGCTTAGATGTGGTGCTGGGTGACTCGGTTGGCTGAACGGGGGCTGCAGGTGTTGGCACAGCTGGTTGACGAAAAACGAGGAAGAGGAGGAGTGAGTCAGAAACAGGAGCGCTTGAACTACTAAAAATGCTTAATTTAATGTCAGAAATGAGGATTTTCCATACCAGGTACACATGTCCTCATATCCCTCGCTAACATCATGTTGTCTGGACAGACACAGGTGTACTTGGGGGCATGTCCGCCCACTTGAGGAGCGGCCAGGCACAGGAATTCACAGCCGGATATCTCGCACCAATTCCGCCCTGCAACGGAAAAGAAGATGACATTTTACTCTCATTTAAGCACTTGTTATGGAGCCATTATCAGCTACCAACAATACGGTCAGTTAGCTAAGTTAAACATCCTATTGTGTTATTCCTTTTAAAGCCACAAATTTGATATTTTCATGGGATTTCCCCAGATACAGTCAACAGCAGCCATCATGGCACATCGGACACACCACACGAAACCTTAAACCCAACCAGTGCAACTAAATAGGATTAGGGCACAATTTGTCGACCCATGCACTCCAACAGTAGCCAATATAATATCTCATATATCTTACAGTGACATTAATATAATAATTGTGACTGGGGGTTGGGTTCTTGTGGGGTAGAGGCGCCTCGTCAAGCAATACTTTGGTGTGTTCTGATGCTTTCAACAGTAATTAGAAAGTAATGAAATTGATGACATCATTGAGTAAAAAAAAGACATTATTGCAGGTGTTTGACACCAAGGTTATTTAGTTGTGGTCAGCAAGGAACCTCTTTACATTGGCAGCAAATGACAATGTTCGACCAAAATTCAATATTCAATGAAAAATAGTTAATGAAGACTGCCTGCAGCGGTGTCTCTTACCAGTGGGTTGTTTGAGGTTATGGTAGAGAATAATATCATCCGGTGAAGATAGGTGCTCTGCCACTGGTGTGATGTCCTCACCGGTCACCCTGTTCGCACTGAAGATGGCATTGTTACTGACGTCTGTCCAAAACACACTCTCCTAGAACGAAAAGGAAAAAAAAAAGCGTGAGCCATTTCAGATGGGACAGAGTAGTACGGGTGAAGAATACTCGGCTCCGGGTTTGTACTGTATGTTGGAGAAGGTTTACCTCAAACACAGTGAGGCTCAGCGGATGAGCCAGCTTGTGTTCGTCGATGATGAGGGTGCGTCGACCGCCGCCCTGCACACTGATGCTGGAGAGGGTGTGCAGCTTAGAGTCCACCCAGTAGAGCCGCTGGTTCAACAGATCTGGGGGGAGGAAGCGGGGTTAGATCACTCGCATCATGGTGAACGGATTGAGAAAAAACTTGAAAGTAGAGACTTTACCAAGTGTAATTCCATTAGGCCACTCGATGTTGTCAGTGACCAGAGCAGTTCTGTCTCCCCCGTTAAGACCTGCCATCTCAATCTTAGCGGCGTTCCCCCAGTCAGTCCAATAAATAAAGCTGGGAGGAGACGGAATTGTTGCAAAAGAAACATTGTAAGTCACGTTAAAGAAGGAAAAAAAGAGAGTCTTTGAAGGAAACAGGCGATTCTGCACCTTTATCAGTGCTCTAGGACTTACTTGCTGTGGGGGTCGAGCACAATAGCGCGAGGTTTGGATAAGTCTTGGTCGAAGAGAGTCTTGCGGCGGCTGCCGTCAGCAGTTACCATGGAGATGGTCCTGCGGATGCTGTCGGTCCAGTACAGGTTACCGTGGATCCAGTCGAAAGCGATGCCCTCGGGAGCGTCAACGTCACTCCCGATCACCACGCGGTGATGAGCGGGGTCTTCGGCCGAGTCCACTGGAGCTCTGGAATGACAACGGACAGAAGGCGTCAAGGCGGAGTAGAGGACTCGGACATTCTGCTTTCATTCTGGTGTCATTCTCCCGCACCTGTAGATCTTCTTCTGGGAGATGTCTGACCAGTAGATCTCATTGGCGGCCATGTTCATGTCGATAGCCACGACGTTCTTTAGACGAGGAATTATTCTGGTGTATTCACTTCTGTCCAAAGTCATCTTTCGGACTTCATGGCGGTTTGTGAAGAAAAGGTAGGCTATCGTACCTACAGAATCAGAGAGGACAGGGAATTTATTTAGCAGCCATTTAATGGGAATGTTGTTGTTTTTTCAATTGCTTCAACTGCTAAAAGCTAAAACTATCATGGAGAACATTGTGTTTGATGGCGATAGCGATTGTCTATACAGATCTGAGATGTGCATCCTGGTTAGTAGAGCAACATGGAAGCTGAAAGATGAGGGAAACGCTCCCTCTGAGGCCTAAAGTTAAAAGATTCTGCTTCTAGAAATTTGGGATTGATAATTGCTTGATCCGCTTTTGAAAAATGATACGTATTTTTATTCTGGAACAGTGGAGACCATAAGAAACTATTCTCCGTCTTCAAAAATCAAACTGTTACAGTTGTGGTCAAAAGTTGACATACACTTGTAAAGAACATAATGTCGTGGCTCTCTTGAGTTTCCAGTTATTTCTACAACTCTGATTTTTCTCTGATAGAGTGATTGGAACAGATACCTTTTTGTCACAAAAACCATTCATAAAGTTTGGTTCTTTAATGACTTTATTATGGGTTAACAGAAAAAGTGACAAAATCTGTTAACCCATAATCTGCTGAGTCAAAAATATACATACAGCAACATGAATTAGCAATCTTGGTGATTTAGAAAGTTGTGTCAATGAAATGCGCCTCAAAGCCTCTTAACGTCTTGTGAGTGATTACAGCTGGTGACTTCTCACCATTTAAATAGGGCTCATTGGATACAAAGCCCACAAACGCTATGTTGTGTACAATGGGAAAGTCAAAGGAGCTCAGCATGGATCTGAAAAAGCAAATCATTGACTTTAACAAGTCAAGAAAGTCACTTCAAAGCAGCTGCAGGTCCCAAGAGCAACAGTGCAAACAATAGTTTTGTCACTGACACGATCAGGAAGAAAATCAACAACAACGAGAAGCTTGTGGATGGCTACCAAAAGCGCCTAATTGAAGTGAAAATGGCCAAGGGACATGTAACCAAACACTAGCACTGCTGTATGTATATTTTTGACCCAGCAGATTTGATCACTTTCTGTTAACCCATAATAGTCATAAAAGAATCAAACTTTATGAATGTTATTTGTGACAAAGTATCTGTTCCAATCCCTATCAGAGAAAAATCAGACTTTTAGAAATAACAGGGAACTCAAGAGAGCCACGACATTATGCTCTTTATAAGGGTAAGTCAACTTTTGACCACAACTGTACATACTAATGGAACAAATACGGTTGAAAGAACACAGAGAGCTGATATTAACCGATGGCCTTGCAGGCTTTGGTCGCGGGGTCAACTTGGTAGCCCTCCTCGCATTGGCATTTGTAACTGCCGATCTGGTTGATGCAGATCTGGCTGCAGGTGTCCAGGTTGGCGCACTCGTCAATATCTGGATTCAAAGAGGGTTAAAAAAAACAACAATGTGAGATTACAGACCGGTCACAGTGTAACAAAACACAATGTGAAGACATTGACCCTATGACAATTACGGGATCCCTCTTGACCTGGCAGCACAAAGGTGGCGCGAAAAAAGTTGCAACAGAGATTACAACATCCCTTATTAATACCACGGGTGTTTTCCAAATGAGAGACCATCAGTCATTCAATGTGACTTTTTCTTATTTGTTTGGCTGGGTGTTACCTTCACAGCGCCTTTTCTCAACCAGGTGATACCCAGCGGGACACAGGCACTCGTAGCCGATCTTCAGATCGTTGCAAATATGAGAGCAGCCGCCGTTGTTGTACAAGCACTCGTTGGAGCCTACAGGGGAGACCAAGTAAAATCCCTTTGCTGAGGCTGCAGACGCTCATTAAATACACAAAAGCAGTAATTAAACTGACACTTATGGACGAGAGGCCTCCGTACTCACCACAATCCCTAAGTGGCTCATCTGACCAATCCCTGCAATCACGCCGAGTGTCACACACCTTCTCCATGCTTATGCATTCCCCACTTTTGCACTTGAATCTGCTCGGGCCGTCACAGTGGGTGGCTGTTGAAAAATATATTAATCTTTACAATTCACAAAGACTAGAGGTTCTGAGTTTGGCTCCTTGGAGCCAGGTTCAGATAAGATTAGATTGGTACCATTGACGCAGCCCGTTTCGTCGCTCAGGTCCTGGCAGTCGTACTGACGGTTGCACTGGCGGCTGCCGTGGATGCAAGTGCCGTCGCCGCATTGAAACTCGTCGGGTCGGCAGGTGGAAAGGGCTGGGGAGGAAAAAAGGCCGACGCGTGAGCTTAAGAGGCGACGCCTCGACAGAAACGACAGTCAAGAGGATGAGACGGATCTGCGCGCTCACAGCAGTTGACTTCGTCCGAGCGATCGCGGCAGTCGGCTCCCCCGTCGCACTTCCAGCTGCTGTGGATGCACTCCCCGTTGCCGCAACGGAACTCCAGCGACGAGCACTGATGAGCGGCAGCGGAGTTCGGCGCCGTCGTGCCACAGTGTTGGGGCCACTCGTCGGAGCCGTCGGCGCAGTCGGTGTCGCCGTCGCAGGCCCACAGGCGGGGCACGCACACGCCGTTGCTGCACCGGAAGGACGTGGCGCTGCAGGTGGCGGGGCGGCAGGAGGCCTCGTCGCTGCCGTCGTCGCAGTCCGCCTCCTCGTCGCACACGAAGGAGGACGACACGCACTGACCGTTCGTGCAGCGGAACTCCCCGTCCGTGCACTGCTTCGGCGCTGAGAGGGAGGGGACACGGCAGGGAGCGCGAAATCACTCGAGTGCAGGAGGAAGCGATGGAGGAACTCACACATGTGATAAAAAGGGTACAGAAAGACAGCTTGTTGACTCACCACAGCCTTCTTCATCAGCTCCATTCTGGCAGTCAGCCTTTCCGTCACAGCGCCAGCTGCTCGGCACGCACTGGTTCAGGCGACCCGCACAGCGGAACTCGGTCGGCCTGCACGTTTTGGCCGCTGGAAGTGAGACACGCAGCACATGTTAACCGACCACCACGCAATCGGTCACACTGGGAAATAGACGGGTACGCAAAGGAACCCCGAGTCCAACGTGGCGTCGTGACACTCACCGCAGGTGCCGGGAAGTTCATCGGTGTTGTCTCCGCAGTCGTCTGTGCCGTCACACACCCATCTGGCCGTGAGGCATTTCCTGTTCCCACACTGGAACTGCGTGGCTCGACACGCTGTCCATGCGTCTACGACGCACAGACACAAACACACAGCTCAGCTAAAAGGGCCCATGTTTTAGTTATCATCTATTTGGGGGCCAAGACAGGAAGACTCCCCAAAAGCAAAGACGTGGCTTCAAGTGAAGCAGCTCTGTGACAATAATGTGATTTGAGCTAATTGCTAACAATGAAATGCTCATAATGAAAAGGTGAACGTGTTGATGTTTAGCAGGTATAATGTGTGCCATTAGGTTGGCTGTGCTGGCATGCCAACATTTGTTATTCAGCACCAAACCACACACTCTTTATAAGACACACATACGTACAGCGAAGGCCGATGGGAATGAGTCCGTTTTTATGGTATTTTTGCCATTGTAATCACACTGCACTGTCGCAAGAAGGTCCAGGTTAGGCTTCAGCTTTGAAGGATTATGGTTAGATTAGATTGTCTGGCAGCAGGTCACGCCAGAGGTCTCGCAAAGAATCCCATCTCGAGATGATTAGGGATTTGGTCAAAAAGCTAAGCATTGGACCCATTTAGCTTTGACTTGATGATTGCGCCAGATGAAGTCAGAGGATCTCCAAAGTTCTTACAATTCATCCTAATTCAGTATTAATGTCCACATAAAATGTCATGGCAAATGTATTCAAAACCGCATGTAAATGCAAATTTGTTGGCGCTGGAGGATAAGTTCACCACCATGGTTACGCTTCATCATCAGGGTCTGCCCCTTTACCAGAGTTCCAAGCAATACATCCAAGAGTTTTTAATTGTGGACCAAGATATTTCTGTGATCTGCACATTTCTTTTTCCATAGCAGATACAACCTCGTGTCACGCATCACTGGTACTCTAAAGAAAGTTCAAAGTCTCATGAGGGATGGTCTTACTTTGGGAACATTGTGGCAACCCACCCGGTGGAGTTGCACCACATATAACGGGAGAGGCCATATCTTCAGCTGCGCCCAAAGACGGTGATAAATGTGCTGCCAGAGGACAAAAGCTCAGGGAGGATTACACTCTGGCATGACACACACATGACCAAACACACACGTGCCTGTTGGTACACGTTTTACAAGGGCGGATGAATGGTTAAACTCGGAGTCAAACAGGGACACAACTCTTAAACCTGCAATAATCCTCATGAAACCGCGGAACCAGAAGGAGCGATGAGACTTTACATCAGAGAGACGGCTCTATTTGAAAAGTTACTAGGGGCCATTCCTCTCCTGTTGCCCATAGAGAGTGTCTGGGGGTCCCGTATGACCACCTGTTTGGAAATGGGGCCGAGGTTAAAGTTTACCAGCAACAGGACACGCCAGCAGCAGCTGGGCATTCAGCAGCCATCATACAGGAAGGTTTTTGTATTCCTTATTATTTGAATAAAGAACAATCATAAATCATGCACAGCACAGTAAATCTTAACAGCTTTCACTCAAACATCTGGTGCGCGGTTACCGCTGATGCTTTATTTCTTCTGCGGCTTGAGTTGTAGTATTTTTAATGACTCCAAATGACTCGGTGGCGTTTCAGCGGCTGGGAAGCACATTCACTACTGGCTGAGGAGCCGATCATGTCTATGTGAGTTCATGTGAAAGGACATTAGTGACAGTCATGGGCTTCCTGTGGACAGACCCAAGCTTATCGCACACACTTGAAACGTTTGACTCTACGCTCCGGCCACCTGAAACCAATGACACGTCCAATTTCATGTTAGTTGTTTACTTAAAAGGGCTCAGTTGAGGTCAGCCCGTAAGACAGAACCCAGACCAAATGGCAGCTTTATTGATTGAGTACAAATGCCTGCTGGGCAAAACCACAGATGTGCCCACTGTGTATTCTATTGATTGACCATGAGGTGATGGGCAGAAAGAGCAACAGCAAACTCACACTGATTTAACCCATTACAAGAAATAAAGTCCTTCAGTCCGAAAGCATGTGGGAGGGCGAGCGTTTCCCCAAATGAGGGACAGAACAGGTTTCAGTGCTGCACAGGACTGGTGTGAGACAACAAACCAGTTGCAACACGTCTCACCATTTCCCCAGAAACGACGTGGAGAAAACAGGTCCGACAGTGAATTTTTGGGGCTGCAACCCAAAAGTGGAGGAATGCCGCCTGAAGACTATGTTTGCATTGGACGAGGAGTTGGAGGGCTTCCCGTTCATTTCAATGAGGGCGTTTTAGGTGAAGCACGACGGGAGGCAGCTCGGTCCAAACCGGCTCAATATTGCATCATATGGGAAGAACAATACTGGCTTAAAAAAAAAAGAAACTTCCCACCATACATTCTTTTTTTACGTGGATTGAAATCTGACACTGATATGAAAATAATGGCTTTTCAGGAACCCCGGCTGACATCTCCACACACAGACATACTTGATACTGCTCACACCTAATTGTTGAGCGCCACTTAATGAGAAGGCATTAAAACAAAAGATAAAATATACAACTGTCTGCCATTAAAACCAAAAGAAAAAGGACGGGGTCTGACGGATAGAGGATGTTAAATGATCAAAGAAATAGTAGGCGGAGGCAGGGTGAAACATTCATCGTTGGAGCGGAAAGATGTGACCTACATTCTGGGAATAATTGCACCCCCCCCACCATCACCTTGCACCCGATGCTGTCAGTGGAATGCTTAAACTCTTATTTATAATGTCACATAATTACATAGTTCCATCAAACCTTATTTACACTTGTGTGCCAAAAAGCTCAAGTGAACTTACTTGTCTGAGCAAGGCAGCAGAGGAGGAATATCACCAGCGGCGCATGGGGCGGCCGTCCCATGTTGACCGGCCGCGCTGGAAGCCTCGTCTTCTGCACCCGGGCGCCTGCTGGGGGTCTCTGGTTGGAGCTGTTGTGACACCGTCACCGATGGAGCTGCGGGGTTTTCGGACGCCGGCGGAGCTGAAGCAAAAAGACAAGACGAGGGGTCCTCGTTGTGCGCCCGCGGGGATGGAGGGATGCTCGTTTGACAACAACTTCAGACCCATTTCAATGTGGTCCAGCGGGGAGGGGGGGGGGAGGGTGGTCGTGGGCGGGACCCGGAGTGGTGTGATTCCTGAAGGAGCAGCCCCAACAATCGGGAGGCGGAGCCGCGTTTACTACGAGGTTTAACCCTTTCACGGAGGCACATGGCGCGAGGCGTGACGTCAATTGAATTTCCCGAAAGACAAGACAGCGTCACTGCTGCACACGAGGGGGCGTGGCCGGGGATTTGGGGACTTAATCAAGGTAATAATTTTCAAAGTACATAAAATGTTCCAAATCCACAAGTTTGAAGTCCAAATATTGTACCCAGATGTGTCCTGGGACAGTCTAGTCTCAGTCAGTATCTAAATAATGGCAAACGACCGTGTCAATACGAAGCAGAGGCACAGTCCATACAAGACGGGGATGAGATAATCGACCTAATCTTACATTTATGTAATTATTTAACTTTTTTTATCTCCACATCACCACTTTTGGAATCCAGGTTGGTGACCTTTAAAAAGTTAAAAAATATAAAAAATAAAACAACATTTTATTTTATTTAAGTTCAAAGTCTCAAACTCTGGCGGATCAATGAGATAGTTTACAATGACATTCACATCAGAGGAGGAGATAAAGTACAAACAGCCTTTAACCAAGCACAGTTCACGCATACATTTAGTAACTATTATATGGTTTTTAATAGGAAATAGAAAAAATCATATTTCAGATGTTTCTTTTGAGGAAAAAAAACTTCAATGCTGGTTTGGAAAAAAAAACAGAGGCAAGGAAATAAAGCACATTAGCAGAAATATACAGTTTTTCACAATGTGTTCACCCTTTTACTATCAAGGTTATACATTCAGATTACATTGATAGTTTGCGTTACCTTCAGTGTTGCTCCAGTGCGCAACTATCAACGCTGTCAAAGCACGTGAGCATGTGGTGCTTAAAATCAGGTGGGATGAGCAAACTTAGAAGTACCAATTCTCATTCTGCAGAAACATGTCATGAATAACAAGGATGGGACGTTGGCGTCGATGTGTGAGCTGCACGTTTGCTGCTGCTGGTTTGAACCACTTTAGAGACAGTGGGTTGCTCAGTTGGTCCACTGGTTCCCACTCTGGGAGTTGGGCCTCATCAAAGGGGTCACAGAGGATATCTCTGTGATTGTGAGAGATTTAAAGAATAACACAGTTCTGCAACATCCTGCTATTCAGTATTTGTACTGTAACCTTTTATTAAGTACAGTTATTCAAGAGTTTTTAGTTACTATACTCGGGTATTTACCCTGCATGCTACTTTCTACTTCAACACAGGGAGACATTGTAATCTCAGAGCCTCCATCCGATCAACTGCAAAATTTAGCTACTGCTCGAACATTAAGGTGTCAACATTAATGGTACAATGATAATAACGCTCATAGCGAAGGAGGCCGCGCTGCACGATGAATACTTGTGTGTGATACCTTATGTATTTTCACTTGGAAATAGTTTGGCCCTTTTGCTGATATGGGAGTTTTTTCATATAGTTATTTTGAGCACACACTCCCCCCCCCCTGTTACATTAATCTACACAAAAGCCACGTCCCCTAAGAGACACGCATTCTGTCCAATGCTGGCCTCTGTGGGAGCGTGAACACACCCACCTCTAGCCCCGCTGTGCTGCACATTGGGCTGCAACTTAATAAGAAGTGACAAGGAATTTTCAGGCCTCTGCTGAAAAGGGGTCCCTTGTTGACCGACGGCGAAACATAAAGCGTTTTCAAAACTGTGCCGCAAACTTTCCGCCAAGCTTCTGGTTGTTTGATGTCCCCAAACCATCACAGACACACACACACACACACACACCCTTCACATCCTCCGCTCTTTTGCCCCTGATTTAAAAGAGATTGAGGTGGAAACTCCGGATGCATCTCTTGATAAAGAAACAGAGGTGCATGTGAGGGGAAGCACACCCTTCCACTACACCCCCCTCTGTCTCTCTCTCTCTCCCTGTCTGTCTTTCATCATGTACACGCTCTCAGCCTCTGTAAACAGTTTCTGGTTCTTCCAGCCCGTTTCACCTTCACCTGACAAAATAAACAGTGCGCCGGCTGCAAAGGATTGTCTGTCTTCTCCTGGAGGCCAAATCAGGTTCTTCCAGTTGAAGTTGAGCCGTTTTCTTTTTTGGCTTCTGGAGTAGTCGGGGGGCAAGATGGAGCTCGTTCTGTCGCGAGAGTTTTGCGTGTTTTCAGAGTTTTCAGTTGTCAATCATCCCGTGGGAATGCCACCTCTCAGTCAGGGGACACAGGTGTCATTGTGGCCCCTGGATGGGGCCCACGGAATGGCAGTGCTGCTCGTGAGGAGTCAGCTTCATCACCTCGGCCCTGGAGACAGAGATGGGACTGACGCTGTGATGCAACGGGGTGAAACAATAAAAGGCCGGGGGGTGAAAGGTCTCCTGTGTTTGTTACTGTGGAAGAACAAGTTTATGTCCCTGATTCTCGTAACACACGTGACTCTCAATCATTTCCTAGTAGGGATCGAATAACAAATAAATAAAATAAAAAAAGAGTACAATCATAGTGGAAACAGCCAAAGAGCCTTAACTTGATGACAGCCACGGCCGTGCAAAACAACTTGTTCTGCAGTTAATTGTGTGGATTAGTGGCAGGAACAGCGGTTAGTCACTCTGGTAAATCAAATCAAAACATGGACAGATCAGGTGCTTAACTTAACAAGCACATTTACGCAGTTAACCCTTTCACTTTATTAGAGAAATAAATAGATGGTTTTATCAGTCACAGGGACATTATAAAACCTGGTTGTGTTGCATTTATTTTTATTTTTTTAATAACCAATGCTTAGGAACACATTTGGAGCCCACTGATGCCATTGATTTAGCATTACTGCTAATGCGTGTCAGTGCTTTGGGGCTATTTGTATGAAGTCTATGATTTTGCTTAAAGACTATTTATAAACCAAACCAGTAATAAGATAAAAAGGTAAAAGTGGCTTTACTGCTGTTGTGTTCAAAATGAAGAAACGCCGGACGGACAGAGGGCATCGCAGATTGAACTGTTAAATCAAAGGTATTTAATAAAGGAGATGGTGTTGTGGTAAAAAGAACATCTCAGCTGAGGAGCCGCTGGTCTCAGCAGCCAACAGGCCCCAGATCAGTCCTTTGACCCCCCATAGTGACTGTCTGTTGTCTCCCCCAGCGAACTCCAGAACAATGGTTCCTACAGGTATTTATACCGATGCGTAAAGGTGTGAAAGTAAGTGTCCACACCTCTGGGAGTGGTCTTCTGGTGAGTTCAATGTAACTCGGATTTCGAATGTCCCTTAGTCAATATCAGTTGTTGTGCAAGTATTACATGCATGTATTCCAGTTGATTACATTACATTAAACACAATCAGAACTGTAAATTGGTATTCGATTACAGTATCAATATTCAATAGTGGTTTTACAATATTGTCATTTCTTTATTGATTACACAGTTTCAGAATCATGGCTGTATTCTGGTTTACACTCAATGTATTTTATTAATTTATGAACCGGGTCGTCAGTTTATTTCTAATATCCTACACTGCAAACTTGTAAACATGGCAATGACAACAAGCCGATGATGGCGGCAGGTAAACAAGTAGCTACATGACCTCAGCAGGCCATCTAGTGTACAGATGTGATGAGTGCAGGGCCAACAAAAACAAAACAGCGTAATTATGAGATGCCCTTATTGTACTTTTTGGAATCCAGTGACACTGACACGAGAAAATGGTCCCATCCCTTCCTCCCCCTTAAATTAAACACAGAGAGAATAGCGAAGACGCACCCAGGTGCTTTTCCACAGACACGCACGACATGCATTCAAAAAGAGACTTCAGGGAACGCAGTGACTCCTGGTTCACATGTACGCTTTGTCTTAAAGTAAAAGACGACTAAATGAATACCACTTAACGAAAAAACAAAACAGTTAACTGTCTTTATGGCCCACGATCAGTCTATAATTCAGGCTCCGTCAATCTTCCAAAATAAACAGTGCGCCGGCTGCAAAGGATTGTCTGTCTTCTCCTGGAGGCCAAATCAGGTTCTTCCAGTTGAAGTTGAGCCGTTTTCTTTTTTGGCTTCTGGAGTAGTCGGGGGGCAAGATGGAGCTCGTTCTGTCGTGAGAGTTTTGCGTTTTTTCAGTCGTCAATCATCCCGTGGGAATGCCACCTCTCAGTCAGGGGACACAGGTGTCATTGTGGCCCCTGGATGGGGCCCACGGAATGGCAGTGCTGCTCGTGAGGAGTCAGCTTCATCACCTCGGCCCTGGAGACAGAGATGGGACTGACGCTGTGATGCAACGGGGTGAAACAATAAAAGGCCGGGGGGTGAAAGGTCTCCTGTGTTTGTTACTGTGGAAGAACAAGTTTATGTCCCTGATTCTCGTAACACACATGACTCTCAATCATTTCCTAGTAGGGATCGAATAACAAATAAATAAAATAAAAAAAGAGTACAATCATAGTGGAAACAGCCAAAGAGCCTTAACTTGATGACAGCCACGGCCGTGCAAACACATATTCACACTGAAAGAAATGGCACAAGACGTCATCCGCACAGCAAAACCAGAGCAGATATCCTGTTGAGAAACGCCGTTGGGAAACAGGGAGAAAGTTTCCCCTGAGAGGCTTTTCAACTCTTGCTCTTTAATTGTAATGCAGAGTATGTGTTTATGTCTTGAAATGGTTCGATGAAGATGTTTTGAGATATTTACATTCATACATACAGTATATTTCAGTTGCTTGTAAGTATTGTGTAACCACACACTAGATAGCTTAAAGTAATGGATTTGTGGTGGAAAAAATGTGCTAAAAGTAAAATGGTAGTTCACTAATAACAGCAGCAGTGGAAATACATGACATTAGCTAAAGGTAATGCATAAACACTTAAAATGGTTAGCTAAAAGAAGCTAACGTATCAATGTTTGGACCAGATATCGTTAGCTGAAAGTAACGTAAAAGTAATGGATTTGGGGCGGAAACGGTCAACTAAAAGTAACATTATTGTACAAATGGTTGAAATTGTTCACTAAACCGGTGTTATGATTTAGTCAATTGGCAAAAACAACTTGTTCTGCAGTTAATTGTGTGGATTAGTGGCAGGAACAGCGGTTAGTCACTCTGGTTAATCAAATCAAAACATGGACATAACCTAACAAGCACATTTACGCAGTTAACCCTTTCACTTTATTAGAGAAATAAATAGATGGGTTTGTCAGTCACAGAGACATTATAAAACCTGGTTGTGTTGCGTTTATTTTTTTTAATAGTCAATGCTTATGAACACATTTGGAGCCCACTGATGCCATTGATTTAGCATTACTGCTAATGCGAGTCAGTGCTTTGGGGCTAGTTGTATGAAGTCTTTGGTTTTGCCTAAAGACTATTTATAAACCAAACCAGTAATAAGTTGAAAAGGTAAAAGTGGCTTTACTGCAGACTTGTAAACATGGCAATGACAACAAGCCGATGATGGCAGCAGCTAAACAAGTAGCTACACGACCTCAGCAGGCCATCTAGTGTACAGATGTGATGAGTGCAGGGCCAACAAAAACAAAGCAGCGTAATTATGAGATGCCTTTATTGTACTTTTTGGAATCCAGTGACACCGACACAAGAAAATGGTCCCATCCCTTCCTCCCCCTTTACATACACAACCTGAGAGGGAGGGGCTGCAGGGTGGGACGCACCGTGATCCCGCTTGTAGTCTTAAATTAAACACAGAGAGAATAGCGAAGACACACCCAGGTGCTTTTCCACAGACACGCACGACATGCATTCAAAAAGAGACTTCAGGGAACGCAGTGACTCCTGGTTCACATGTACGCTTTGTCTTAAAGTAAAAGACGACTAAATGAATACCACTTAACGAAAAAACAAAACAGTTAGCTGTCTTTATGGCCCACGATCAGTCTATAATTCAGGCTCCGTCAATTTTCCACTTACAGGAGAAAACAAAAAAAAGGCAAAGAGACACTACTATTCATACAGAGAAAATGGTTTAAATATGGAAGTGAATGGTTCATAGCTTTCATATCTTAGTCATTTTTTTCACTTAATTGGTTTTTCAATTAATGGTATACTTTAATGAGAATACAATAGTCCCACTAAAAATCCGCTCATCTATTAAAACTAAGCCTCTTTCACCGACTGTCTCCCCGCTGTATCTAAGTAAAATATATAAAGTCCAGTCAAGGGGCTCAGCGGGCCGTTGGTCCGATCGGGATTGGTTCACTTCAGTCCTCCTCGCTGCCGCTGGCCGAGCGCTCCTGAAAACAGTTACTTTTGTTATCGAACAGAACAACACGAGAAAACACGATTGAATATTACAACCTAGTTTCTGGGCAATAAAAAAACCTTTAAAATGCACATTGCAATTCCACAAAGGCAGAAATGAGGACCTCTTTAGTCTGGTTCAGACGCCAACTCTTTAACATCATATAATCCAAGTGAATTGTTGCGTTTAATATCAGCATTTCCTTTTTTTTCCAGCTGCTTCTCAGTCGGCTGACGTGCTCGAGTTGGAATCTCTCGTCTCACCTCTTCCTGTTCCTCCTCGCTGTCATCGTCGCTCACCACTGGTTTAGCCCGGGCACCGCGGCCCCTCCGTCGTTGTCCTTTTCCTCCTCGGTCCCCCTTTTCTTTCCGGCTCAGCTTGATCTTCACCTTCACTGAACGAGCTGACGGGAGGCAAAAAAAAAAAAGAGAAAAAGATCCCAAAGCAAGGTCAGGTTCGGCGTGCGTCCCCAAGCCGCTTACGTAAAACGCGTCGCTCCCGATACTCACATTCAGACTCTGAGCCTTCGTCCAGGTCGTCCTCGTCCTCCTCACTTTCCTCTCCTTCGCTCTCGTCCTCCTTCTCGATCTTCTGTCTCACACTGGTGAAGACGGACTGCAGCACGATGGAGTCCTCATAGATCTACACAGAGAGATCGCCGCAACGTTGAGTTTAGGCTCATTCCCGTGTCGTACTTTATTTGATTAAGATACGTGAAGTACGTACCACCATTTACTCCACATTTCCAACATTGAGTGTATGATCACAACTCACCAGAGACCCCTCCAGGTTGAAGGTCTGGGCATTTTGACACAGCAGCATCACGTCCTTCTCCAGGTCGTTCAGGCTGCGGTACTTGTGGCTCCGGATCCTCTCCTGGCGGCGGGACAACACGAGGAAGCATGAATCAACAACGTACACCCGTTTTACACTATTTTACCTTGCAATCAGACAGCCACTTCTTAAACAGGAAACGGTTATCAACGCGTTCTTCAATGACTCCTCTGGTAAAAACATGAATTCATCCTTGCATAAAGCGGTAGTTTAGTCGTCCTCAATCACAAAGTCACACAAACCAACCAACCACGGCAGATGTGGTCCAGCTACTCCCGTGTTGTGCGAGGTAGAATTAGTTTCTGTACAGCGTCTATGGAGAAGCACTGGTTACAGCAGCAGAGGCCTTAAACCCGCAGAGCCGACAGGCCTTCATCCTCACCTTGATCTTTCTGAAGTCCACTGGCTTGCGGATCAGCTCGTAGTACTCGGGCAGCTCCTTGCGAGAAGGCAGCTGGATGAAGACTTCGCTCAGCTGTCGCCCGTTGGTCCTGAGAAAAGGCGGAGGTGCCGTTAGTCACCAATGACTCCAAAATGGTCACTTAATGAATAAAAAAAAAGAAAAAAAAAGTAGCCTTTTCCCCCCTTTGGTAGAAATATACATGATGATCCCCCGGCCGGTTCCAGCGAGGTTCCTCTCAGTGAGGTCGCATTAGCCAACATGTTCTCACCCGTCCTTGTACTTGATGACGGCGTCAACGATCTTCTTCATCTTCTTGGTGAGGGACGTGGGGTTGGGGGAGAGCTTCTCGGCGGGCGGGCGGCCGCGTTTCTTTGCTTTCTTCCCGTCGTCGTCCTTGTCCCGCCCGCGGCCGCTGCTGGAGCCGGGCGTGGCCGGCCCGCCGTCGTGGTCGCGGTCCCGCTTGCGCTTTCGGGTGGTCTTTTTGTGGCGCACTTCCTCCTCGATGTCCTCTAGATTTCCCTCCTCGATGGCCTATGAATCATAAATAAATCAGGTCGAATGCTCCGATGTGTCAAACCACTTTAGACGCAAAGCCACACGCGGTGACCTCCCACCTTGAGCCACTGTTTCTCCGTGAGCGAGTCGCTGTAGTCCACCTCTTTGCGCTGGCGGGAGCCTCTGCCAAACATCTTCTCCTCCTCCTCCTCGCAGGTCAGCCTCTCGACCTCGGCGTCGTCTTTCAAAATCCAGCTGGGCAAGTCGTCCTCCTCCATCAGACGGGGCTTCCTCTTGGGGTTGCGAGCCTCCTCGCGACGTCTGTCCAGATCCATGCGCTGGAGTAGAAAAAGAGAAATGAAATGAAGGAAAAGGCAGTGCAGCGATTAGCCGATTCAGACTACGAAGTTGAAAAGTGATTAAATGCAGAAGGAAGCGGGATTAACCATGAACTGTTCAAACTCCTCTTCGCTTCTGGCGATCATCTGATTCACAGTTTCATCATCGGGAACTTCGTCTTCCTCCTGCGGACAGAATGAGATGACAAATGAGAAACAGATTTCTGTGGCACCTCAGAGCCACTTTATAGAATGAATCTCACCTATACAGAAAGGGGGGCATAAAAGTATTAATGCAGATTACTTTTTACAATACATAACAGTACCGGTAGCATTGTGAATTTGCACGAGTTATCAGTATTACAATCAAAGTCTTATTTTAACCAAAAGGTATGTGTAGGAGCCAAAATACGTTCACGTATAACTGTATCGATGAAAGCTCACAAATCGTGCAAAAAGGAGGAAGAAAAGAGATAGGAGGAGAGAGAAAATCAAAGAAAAAAAAAAAAGGAGGTGGAACGCCACACAGGCAGAAGTGGGTGGGTGTGCGAGTGGTGCAACAGGTTCAGATTACACCCACCCACGCCCCCCTGGCACGGCAGCCTCCTTTGGCCACGACCTCGTCCTGTTCCTCGTGCTCCAGGATGGCCTGCAGGAAGGCCCGACGTTCGCAGCCGGAGGACTTCTGGTCGAACATGCCGGCCTGGATGACCTTCTGGTCCACGTTCAGCTTGTACTTGGCCGCGGCCAGGATCTTCTCCTCCACGCTGTTGACGGTGCAGAGGCGGAGCACGCGCACCTCGTTCTGCTGACCGATGCGGTGGGCTCGGTCCTGGGCCTGCAAGTCCTGTAAGGGGGTTACGCACATGTTCATTATAAACAACAATAAAGAACTTGGCTGAAGGAGATGTTTCAGAAACCCAGAGCCTTTGGAAATTCAAATATGTAAATTACAAAATTGAAGTACTTTAATTTGTCATATCAAGCAGTGTTCCTCATCAAATACAATTTAATAAAATGTATTTTGTGTAGACCAGAATCACAGATCTGCCTCAAAGGGCTGAATTGAATCATTCACACGCAACAAATGACGTGAGAATATTGACGTTATTCATCGATCATCATCAACCATAATGCACTGATGTCCAGAGATACGTGCGTCCGGGTACCTGATGTGGGTTCCAGTCGCTGTCATAGATGATGACCGTGTCGGCAGACTGCAGGTTGAGGCCCAGGCCTCCCGCCCTGGTGCTCAGCAGGAACACAAAGTACTCGGAGGCCGGGTCATTGAAGGTCTTCAGGAGCATGCCGCGGTCCTCCGCCTTGGTGGTTCCTGTGGGAGGAGGACGCAGAGGGCAAAAAGTGTACAGGGAGTGAGTCTTGACCGATAACGAACACCGTGACTAGAAATAACACAAAGGCTCGTGGGGGTGTGGCGTGTCTCACCATCCAGACGCAGGTACTTGAAGCTGCGGTAGGCAAAGTAGTCCTCCATGATGGTCATGAGGGTGGTCATTTGACAGAAGAGCAGCACCTTGTGGTTGGTGGCCCTCAGCTTGGGCAGGATGCGGTCCAGCAGCTCAAACTTCCCAGAGGAGCGGTACAGCTCTGGGCTGGACGGGCAGAGGGGGGGAAAGAATGAGCAGGACAAACGCAACAAGCGTGGAACACATGTGTGTAGAGCAAACACACACACACACACACACACACACACACACAGAAGCTTTAAGTACCCGCTCACGACGCCGCCGGAGTAGCCGAGATGCTCAGAGAAGGACTCCTGTAAAAACAAACGACACGGTCACATTCATTCCACGTGCAGAGGTTTCTTTCTTCACACGTGGCTTCTGGGTCGGTACCTCGATGTGCTGGAACATGTAAGGGTGGTTGCAGATCTTCCTCAGTTGCATGATAGTGTTCATCAGGGTCTTCGTGCCACCTTTACCCTTGAACATGAAAAAGAGGGTGTGTGGGGAGGAGGAGTTTAGTTTCCAGGTATGTTAAAGCCTTAGTTTTAATAATACCTTACTTAAAATAAAATACGGTTCGTCTCCTTACCTTCTTGTCCTTTTCGGAGCCGTCTGTGAGCAGCACTCCCTTGGCCTGCATGTGTCTGTACAAAACCCTCTGCAGAGCTGACATGTCACATTTAATCACGTACTCCACCTATGAAACAAAAACAGCTCTTGAGCTTAAAGTCACGCAGGAACGAACGAGATTCCATCGAAAGGAGAGCGAGAGCCAGCGGACCTTCTCGGGCAGCTGAGCCTCGACTTCTTTCTTGAGTCGGCGCAGCAGGAACGGCCGGAGCACTTTGTGCAAACGCCTGATGATCAGGATGGTCTCTTCTTCATTCAGGTCAACCTGGGGAGGGGAGAAAAAAAATCATGTAACTGCAACCCATGTGAAAAGAAGACCTGCATTAATCACAAATAACCCTGGACTCACCTTCTCTCCGGTCATGGCGAAGGGAGCGTTGAACCACTGCTCGAACGTAGTGCAGCTCTTGAAGATGGTGGGCAGGAGGAAGTTGAGCAGGGCCCAGAGCTCGGGCAGCTTGTTCTGCAGCGGCGTGCCGGTGAGCAGCACGCGGCGCGGGGCCAAGTAGTGCGTGTTCAGGACCTGGGTGAGTTTGCAGTGGTGGTTCTTCATGCGATGGCCCTCGTCCACGATCATGTACTTCCAACGAAGCTTTCGGGAGGAAATTTACAGAGGAAAGCAATTAGAGGGGGAACGCCGACTCCTCTTCTGGAGCGTGCGCCTCGCAGCTTAATCCGAGGGTTTGCCGCCTCACCTTTGCCAACACCTGCTTGTCTTTGATGATGTACTCGTACGTGGTGAGCAGCACGTTGAACTTGCCGCTGCGCAAGATGGGAACGAAGGCGCGGCGAGCGGCTGGAGACCCCTGAAAATGGACGGAATAGCTTTCCAGTTAAGTTCAACGCAAACATTTAAAATCACTCAATGAGCGATGGACCTCAGCTTTCAAACTCTTTTGGTCAGGGGACTGACCTTGTAGGAGATTTTCACAACAGACGGGGCCCACTTATCAAACTCGTAGACCCAGTTTGATAAAGTTCTGAAAAGAAAAAGACACAGAGTTGAACACAAGAGCACAACTTGTGTGCCCCTTCCTGTCATTTCCCCGGCAGAGGCGGACGCCGCTGAGGGGGGCGAGGCGGGGCTTACGAGAGAGGTACGATGATGAGGAAGGGCCCGTTGAGGCGCTTGTACTCCATGAGGTAAGTGATGAGGGCGATGGTCTGGATGGTTTTCCCCAGACCCATCTCATCCGCCAGGATGCCGTTCAGGTTGTTGTTGTAAAGCGACACCAGCCACTCCAAGCCCTTGATCTGGACGGGAAAGGGTCAGCGTTAAGACTCGCGGCTCACTGAACGGCGTCGGCTCGGCTCCGTCGCGGCCGCCTACCTGGTACTGCTTGAGCTGCCCGTTGATCAGCAGCGTGGACTGTTTCTCCACCTTCTCGGTGACGGCGTGGGCCACGGCGTAGTAGGACTGCAGGCCTCGGTTGAAACTCGCGTTGCCGTACTCGTCGTCCACATCCTGCTTGGCGTGTCTTGTGGAAGAAGACAGAAGGGGGACAAAACAACGAGATTTAAAACGTGAAACACATATGGCAACAAGTCATTACACACGTAAAAGACTCCACCACGGAGGGCCCATCTTACTCGATGATATGGAGGACATCTACTTCAGACACTTCGTCGGTGTCAGGGTTGGGAATCTTCTTCTTCTCCTCCACTTGGGTTGCAGAAGAATGAGGTTGTTTCTCCTCTTCTTCCTCCTGACCGAAAAGTGGGTTGAGATGGAGAGCATCAGAGAACAGTTTGAAAGAAATCCAGAGTGACCATTCTGCTCTGATGTAGAGCATCAGCACGCACCTCCTCCTCTTCCTCTTCTTCCGAACCGCTTTCTTCGCTGTCTGAACGCGGCGCGACTTCGTACCTGCGAGAAGAACAAAATGTTTCTCACCACACGAGTCGCTACTTTCATCGTCACTGAGTCGCCGTGAGGTGGACACGACGTACTGACCCCGGGTTCATTTCCAGCCAGGTCTCCAGCTGACCAGCTTTCGGGGCTTCCATCCCGGTCAGGATCTTCCCGCTGTCCATGTGGATGACCTTCACCGGCAGGTCGCTCATCTGACTCGTCTCGTCCAACGGCTGGGAGCAGACAGGTGCATGAAAACGTGTCAGATAGATCGTTTACGGTAGAAGCGCCATGTGGTTCAGGCAGACGTGTTCCTCACCTCTCCGTCGGGTCCCAGGGAAGGAAGGCCCCCCTCCACACTGACCGGCTTCTGGAGCAAGAACATACGTTTTTTTTTTTTAAAAGTACATTCATAAAAAGAAAATCCCTTTTCAATGCCCATTCTAAGCACTCACCCTCTTTTTCTTCTTCTTCTTCTTTTCCTTGAGAGCTTGCACGGCTTTGTGGGCGCGCACCAGATCGGTGAGGTTGGCCACGTACTCGTCCGTCTGCTGCAACAAGTACGCCAGGCGCTTGTCTTTCTTCTGGTCGATAAGTTTACGGTAGCCTTCTTCATCTTCGGCCTGCGGGAGGAAAGAAAATTAAAAATTGTACACACATTCGATCCGATTGATCATTAAGAAAGGACAAAAAAAAGGGGTCATTTGCGTCTCCTCCGTAGATTTAGAGCCTCACCATCAGCCTCCGCATTCTCTCCTTCTCGATGCGCTCATTCTCTTTCTTCTGCTCGCGCTCCGTGTTGGCGTGGTAGGTGGCGACGGCTTTGGTGGCCTTCTGCAGCTTCGCCGTGATGGAGCGGTGGTACTCCTTGAAGTCCTTGGCGTGCTGCAGGATGCTGTTGAGGTATTCCTGTCACCAGCACGGACACCGCGGTTACGTTATTGCACGGTTCACGTGAATAGAGACGTTTCCGTTGGAAATGAGCCCCTTCCCCCGGGTGTACCTGGTGTTTCTGGCGACGTTTCCTTTCCTGTTCAATCTTCTGCTGCTTCTCGAGCTTCTCGGTGATGCGGGCTTCCCGCAGCGACTGCCGCTTGCTGCGCTTGTAGGCCTTGGCGTTGAGGGCGGTTTCCAGAGCCGTGTCCCGGCGCATGCAGACCACCACCTCCTGGCGAAGCTGCACACACACACACACACACACACACACACACACACACACACACACACACACACACACACACACACACACACACACACACACACACAAAAATACTGTCATCAGCACGGGACTCTTCACCGCCTGGGACCACAAAGACGGTGCCGAGCTGGAGGTTGGAGACGTTCTCGGCTACCTGTCTCTGGAAGTTGAGCAGCCTGAGGGCCTTGAGCTCGATGGTGGCCTTAGTGCGCAGGTCACCGGCTAAAGAGCCGGGCAGGTTCTCCAGCTCCTGGATGCGGTGAGCGATGCGGGCCTGTAGCCTGCAGAACACATGCATTAATGGTAAGTTTGAGTAAATCGTGGTTTTTAAACCATTTTTACGATGTTTGGTCTTAGTTTGAAGTATGTAAATAAGGAAACAAGACGGTGTGCTTCATCTTCTTGAGAAATAAATACATGGTGTGACGTGGTGCGTGTGACCTGGTCCTCACCTGTACTCCCTCTCCTGGAGGATCTCCACCGGGTCCAGCCCGCGGGGCTTTTGGATGGGGGTTATGCGGTTCTGCTTCTGGTGAAGCATCATGGGAGGCGGCTGGGCGGGCTGTCCTGGCGACTGCGTCTGGGGAGGCATCACCGGGGAGGCGGCGGGGGGAACGGAGGGGGGAGCGGGAGAGGGTCTGCCGGTGGGCTGAGGTGGAATCAGCTTCTGGGGAGGGTTGGAGGGGGCAGCAGCATTCACCATCGGCCCTGGAGAAAGAAGAGGAGTCGGGGGGGGGGGGGGTCAGGCCCTGCTGCGTGTGCACGTTAACACGTGACCACGGAGTTGAGCCGGAAGACTGCGTTTACCTTCAGGCCATGACTTGGGAGGTCCGTTGGTAGGTGGCCCTTGAATACCCGGGGGGACGCCTGCAGGTCCGGGAGGCACCATGTTTGGACCTACCATCCCTAAAACAACAAGAACAAATTTGATTTCTCAGGTAATTAATAAATATATTGAAAGCTAGTAAATAACAAATTTGTCTTCAGCCACCAGGTGTCTCTGCTGAGCGGTTAACAATTCAGCTTTTCTTTGTTGAAAGCTCTTCTATCAAGAAAACAAAGAAACACTACACCGGCTTCCCGTAAGCCTGAATTAACTCACCGTGTGGTCTGTTGTAGTTGGCCTGGGCGGGTCCCGGACCCGCTCCGGGGCCGACAGCAGGCCCCGCGGAGGGCGGCATGTTGGGCATCGGCGGTTGCTGCATCCCTGGCATGGGCCTCTTCCCCTGCACGGCCATCTGCAGGTGATCCGGTAGCGGCTGACTGCGCGCCAGCATCTTGTAGGCCATGATCTGAGCCCGGAGTTGATGCAACTGGTTCTGGTTGAAAGGCGCGGGACCACCTGCACCGCCGGGTCCCACCCCTGCGACGCTGGGCCCGCCCGGGCCCTGGGGACCCCCGCGGTTAGGTTGGCCCATTCCCTGGTTTGGGTCCCCGCTGCCCTCCATGGGGCCGGCGGGACCTCCGGGCATCATGGGGCCAGATGGAGGGCCGTTGGCTGGGACGGGGCTGGGCGCGTGCTCCGAGCCGCCCAACGGAGACGGGTAACCTGCGGCACAGACACGGAGCAAGTGCACGATGGTGAGCTCACTGGACATTAACCACCGCCCCAAAACGCACTGCAGCTCTTCAGTGTCCAATGGTGGACGCGGGTCAACATTTAACTGGGTGGATTAAATCATTGCTAACGAGAAGGAGCGACGTTTAGGTGCAGCTAAAAGGGAAAGCGCTGGAGCTCCCATTGATAATGTACTGTGTAAAACACCAAAACATGTAATAATCTCAATTTGCCTTAAAAGTGATACTGAAACGGATTACATTGGATGAACGCTGTACTGTTGGTCCGTGATAAACAATCTTTCATTCCACATGGGATCCGGACCAGTGTCCTGATGGATAGTCATGTGACCGACACAGTCATGAGACGCAGGGAGGACATGTTGCTCGAATTTACTTTGTTCTAGTGTGAACGGCGTGCTGCTAATGGAATACTAAACCTTTAATTTGGTAGGTAGTGCATATTGATCGAGTATGTGCCACCCAGTGCTTTCGCACGCAATTTCATAACACAACCGGACTGTGAATCACGTTTGGAAGCTTCAACTAATGTTAACGCAGCCAGATTTGATTACAATGAGAAAAGAAAAAAAAGGTGAGTAATACACGCGTTTTCCCCTTGAAGGGTTTCCAGCAAATGACCGCTGAACAAAACACTCTTTACCTCCATCAATTAAGACCAATCACTGACTGAAACACACTGCTTTTACTTCACATCAGTGTTTTTTATGTGCCTCTTACTTCCTGTCCTCTTCTGCTATCTGACTGCAGCTGCTTTTGTTGTTGTTTGAAAGGGGAAGCCCCCACAGCCCCGCCCCTCCCGTTGTCCTGCCTACTGCCGGCTGCACATGCTGCCAAACCGAGCAGAGAAGGGAAACCGGCTGGATGCACGGACACACATACGGCCGATCCATTAAAAATGCAATGTTGCGTGCAGTTACCTTGGGAGTGTTGGTCCATTGGGCTGGGAGGGGGTCCCATCCCGCTGTGACCCCCTGGTCTCATGCTCATACCCTTCATCTGAGCATAGCGGGGGTCATCGGGCATCCCCTTCTCATGCATGGCTTCCATTGGCTGATTCAAAGAGAAAGTATCATAATACTTGGTTACTGCATAGCAGCTCAGATCAAAAGAATAGAAACCATTATAGAATCAACTTTGTGTCATTTCTAACCAAAGAGGAAACAAATAAAGAGCTTTTTACTTTGTGCATCTGGTGCATGTTGTCCTGAGGATATCCTGAGGGTCCCTGTGGGGGGTGGGGGTGTCCAGACCCCGGAGGTCCTGGGCTGGGCCCCATCATGCTGTGGGCCGAGCCGGGAGAGGGGCTCGGGCCCATCATGCCTCCCGGAGACGGCCCCGGACCTGGGGAGGGACCAGGTCGAGGTGTCCCTCCCATTGGGGGGTCAGGAGTGGACATCTCTCAGGACAACCCGGGAATGTGGGGCAGCAGAAAGAAACCCTGCGAGGAGAGATGACGACACGGATTAAGGCTTCCACCTGTGGCCAGGCGAGCAGATCAGCACTTTTAAATCGACAATTCGTATATATTTCTATCGTGTCTCCAGGGACCGAGGTCCTCCTCACCAGCTCACCGCACCATAATATTTACACATGAGTAGAGTACATGCAGTTGCAGGGTAAATCACAATCCTGGGTGAATGTAGCAGGACTAAACATCTGAACGATGCTGGTATTTTTCAAGTTATTGTTTGGTGCTTTTGTCAAGTGTCAGTCACACGTTCTTCTTCTTCTTCTGGGTTTGTTCGCTTCGGATAAAAGCTTCCGCTAAATGCGAGATGCGAACTGAAAACCAAAATAAAAACAATAAGAGGATTATCTGTTTTAATTATGAATTAATAATAATTCAAATAGGTGCAATCATGAGCCCGAGGGGGATTCAAACCGCGACAGATGGTCGGTGGCTGAATGGAAGAAGCTCGTTACGCTGATCGCACACACGCGACTCGGGAGTAACAACAAGTGAGAAGCTGAAGTCATATTTACAAACGAAGAGCGTCACACACACACGCTGGATGTCCAGGACGTCATTTAAAACGTCCACTTGGTGAACCGGAGTAGTTACGTGTGGACGCGGCTCCACTCCGACACAAACCCCGCTGGTTCAGACTACCGGCGGCCGCCGAGTCACCGAGCAGACGAACCGGCCTCACGGTCCCCGCGCCGCGGCTCCTCGGCTTCAAACGCCGGTTACATTTGCAAAACACACCGCGGTGAATACCAGTGGCGGTAGCTGTTATTAGCATGGTTAGCTTTAGTCGCGCTAGCCGGGCCTAGCAGGGTTTAACAGTTAACGTTAGAAAGAAAACCCGCCGGCGAACCCGTTGAACCTCCCGTTTCACCAGTACGAGCCTCCCGGTGCGCGCCGGTGAGCTCGCTCGCCGGTAATTTCGCCCTAATCGGTTGGTAAAAGCGACAAAGAAGACCGGCCCGACGGGAGGCTAGCTCGCTAGCTAGCCGAGCGAACGGCTGTATCGCACCACAACACAAGCTGGCCGCTGCCTAGCATGCTAGCGAGCTAGTCGCGTTAGCCTAGCCGGCCACGCTCGCACAGGCCAATTAAGACACAACAGAAATGTGTTGTTTTTTCGCGATGCGCGTCGAGATGCGGCGACGTGCGGAAGGTCGGAGCATCCCTCCTCGCCGGGGCTGATTGATCCAACGCGCCACCCGTACCCTTGGCACGGCGCTCCGCTCTAAGCGCATTTCCCCCTCAAAAAAACCCATTTCATTCATTGCACAGCGTCGCGCCACGGCAGCGGCACCGTGATGTCGGTCCGCTCTTTTTCTCTGCAAATATCGCCGCCTGAAAGCGAGAGGATCGTCTCCGCCGGCCGCGGGAAACGGACTCGCAACTCTCGAGAACTCACCACCCCCAAAAAACGCGTAGTTCCACTTACGCTGATGGTGAACGCCGACGTTTAAATCCTCGCCGGTTGCAACGTCTCTTGGTTTTTCCTCCCAGGCAGAAACAAAGAGCGACCTACCCAGTCGGTTTTTTTCCTCCCCCCCCCTCTCTTTCTCTCTCGCTGGGTAGATTGTATCGCAGAGACCGGCCTGCGTGCGACTCCGCAGCGCCCCCCATCGGCCGTGTCGGCCACTGCCCGCATGCCCAGTGAGGGATGCGTTAAGAGGCAGGAATGAGGGGTGGGGGATGGGTACCGTGGAGGGGGGGAGGCAGGAATGCTGCTATTACTGTGTGAAAACACTCCCAAAACCTGCAAGACCACCCAGTTTATACCAAGCCAAGGAATATAAAGTGCCCCCCCCCCGGGAGAAACCATCTCGCCATCGTCAGCCTTTATATGTGGGATTATTATTAATACCCAGCAATTATTCCATAGCAGGGTGCCGACTCGTTTTCATTATTCATCTGATGAATGTTTTGTTTGAAATGAGTTTTCTGTATCGAAACAAGGCCTCCTTCACACACGCTGCCCAATTCGCCCTTGTGAAAATTACCATCCTTCGTCTATTTGACTGCGGCGATATCATTTATAAAATGGCATCAAAGACCACCCTAAGAAATCTGGACACACTCCACCACACAGCAATCCGGTTTGCCACAAGGGTGCCGTTCACCACCCACCACTGTGATCTACAGGGGTCTACGGACCCATTTGGGGAATGACCCCTCGCCTCCTCTCAAATCTTCTGCAAATTTCCAACAGCAATCGCCATTTAGGATCCAGTGACTTCATTCGGCTCATCATTCCAAAAGACCGTGCTGTGTTTGGTCAGAACTCCTTTCATTTTGCTGCTGCAAATGATGGGAACTACAAAACTCACTCAAACTAACAGCCGCTTAACATTCAAACAAAAGCTGCAACGAGCCATAGTTGACTGTACTTGCTGATCAGCACTCACTTCTCTCTCGCTCTTCCATTTTTATAAAGGACTTCCAGTAATCTGCCTTTTTATTTGTAGTGATTATTAATTTAACAATGATGTTTTTAGCCATGTGTTTGTCATACTGCATTGTATCGGTGCTACTGCGTCCTGGCCAGGTCATTGTTGTGAATGAGAATTGGTTCTCAATTTATTTTACTTGGTTAAATAAGGGTCAAATTAATAAAAAATGAAATATGAAAATGCTTGTTCTATCCATATCAGTTCCAATCAGTCAACTTTCCCTCAAATCGAGTGTCAAATTGGTTTCCACCTCATTTCTGTCAATAGGATGATTGAGTAATCCATTAAATACTTGTTCAAATTCCTTCTATATGAGCAAAAGAAGAACGATGCCACTTTAAAGTAAACACGGATAAACACAGACAGCTCCCACAAAAACCGCATAAGCAACACACATCACAAGCGATGCAAAACATTACTAAGTCCATTTTCATCATGTGTCTTCTATCGATGATGTCACGCAGCGTGCTGGTGGACCATCGACATGTGACCGGTCATTTCCAGGGAGGTGTGATCAGGTCTTTGTCTTTAATCTGCAGCATCCCGAGCCGAGGAGCTCTTCAGTGTGGTGGCAGAAAGCAGCACAGCCAAAAGTCTCATAGGGACCTTTGGGACTTTCACTCACCTGTTTCGGCCCTAAAGGTAAGCGGCAGGATGTGACTTCCAACTGCTGCAATTATTCTATAACCACAAGGCCAATTTCTTTATAGAGAGGCACTATCACCTAGCAACCAATTCAAAGACACACATAACGATGCCTGATCTTTATCATATGCGGAGGAAAAGAAAAAAAATCCACCAGTGACGATATTCTTTGGTGAAAAGGTTCTGAATGTCTACAATGTCTCTGCTTTTTAGCCACAAATCACACTTTGAGGGAGGAGTTTGTTTATTAACGTCTCAGGATGAAATGCTACGTGTGAGACAACGGAAACAGCAAAATATATTTGACAGCACCCTCTCTTGTGGACCCTTTTTTTCCCCTTAAGACAACTTGCCTGTTGCAGCTTTCACCCAAAAAGGAAACAGATCCCAAATCAGCGTTTGTCTTGGTCCGCAGTCATTCAGTCATTCTGGGATGCTGAGGACGAGGCTGCTAACGGCCTGGAACAGAACCATGTGACCAAGCCCAGAAACACATTAGAGAATACAAATCAAATACAAATGAGTGTCTTCCTATTTCTTTTTGGTGAACGGTTTATTCAGATAAAAGAGCAGGAAATAAAAAAAAGTTCCAGCTGGCAAGAGTAGTCAGTAGGTTGTTGTTGTTGTTGTTGTTTTCTTCTGAGGATGCATCCACAACATCGGACTTCTTCCCCAGTGAAGTCGCAGCGGGTTTCTCATGTGTGTGTCACATGTTGACAGCAATCCAATTTGATAAACTATTCAAAGGGCTCGCATCTCGTCACGGGACAGGAAACAGTGAGCGGCTGTGTATCTCACAACAACACTGGCCTTAAGCTTGTCCCTGAGAAGCGTTTCTTTTTAAAATAAATTCAAAATGTGATAAGTTTATTTGGTAAATACATTAACATGATACTGTTCATGTTCAGTTTGAGATGGTAAAATAGAAAAGAAGTCATTCTTCAAAGTCCTTCAATTAAATGTTCTTCTCTTAAAACAATAAATACAGATGAGCACGCAACAGCAATAAAAAAAACAGTAGTCATTATTTTTACTTGGCCACTTCATTTCTCCTCGAGGTTATTGCTCGCTGACGCTCAGTATGTGTCGCACACTCGCAGCGTCACGTGCGTTTGATCATCGCTCTTCGTTCTCCTGCTCACAGCAGAACAAACTCGTCCATGCTGTTGCACGTGTCGACTCTTCTCCGTTCAGTCTTCCTCTGGATATACGCGATATTGTTTTGGAAAACGTGGGTCCCTCCCTGTTCCTCCTCCTGACTGCTTCCTTCAGCAAAGATGAACATGGGGTACGTCTCTGCCGATATGGAGAGAGCCTAAAGAGACCGAACGTTATAGGGAAAAGCTCAACAAAACACGTCACATTTGTCGTTTTGTAAAGTAAACATCTTTGAAAAGATCATAAAACACAATTCCGGCACACATCTTTTGATCCAATCCAGGAGTCAAGTTTTAAATGAGTCAAACCTGGTTAACGTCTGTGCGCAGGGCTTCAAAGTCCTTCTGGCCTTTGGCATAGAACCCTATGGTGCAGCTGGGGTCCATGCGACAGAAAGACATTTTCCTGGGATATTTACAGTGAAAGGACTGTGGAGAAGAGCCGAGAAAAGAACACTAATCAGAACGAGGTCTCATCCGATTCAGAGAAAATATCACCATAGAAAAGGGTTTGATGTGGAGGTAATCAATTCAACATTAATACTTGGAAGCCTTTCAGTTTCTCCCAGTCAGATATTTTAGCCCTCTGCCGCGTGAAACATGGAAAGATTGTGAAGCGGATCAATTCATTTGGAATTTTTACTGGATTTTTTTTTTTTTTTTTTAAGTCATAATATTGAGTGAGCACTAACATTTGAAGCCCAATGTTGCAATGGAGAGCAAAACTCTAGTTGGTAAGTGATCAGAAGTTTAAAACAGTAAGATTAAATATATACAGTTAACAGTTGGCTAAAAGTATTAAACAAATGCTTCAAACCGTCAAAAAGTAATGTAATAAGTAATGGATAAGTGTTCAAAACCTGTAGCTTCGGCAACAACAAAATATATATATGAAAAAAGAAAATCTGATGTCATCTACAAATACAGTCGTTAATGCCGAGCTGCAACAGGAAGAAACAAAACTGAAACAGAGAAGTAAAAGAAGGGAAACCGTAGTTCCTCAAACCTCCAAGGGAAAGTTCTCCCTGGTTACATCCACCGCAGGCTGACAGTAGTGAGGGTCCAAGTACAGCACATGGTCATCTTTTGCACAGCAGCGTCAGAAGGAAAGAGAAAAATAGTGAAAAGGCGCTGGCGGCCAACAGCATAATAACGTCCCCATAATGTTCTGCACATACCCTGGAAGCCGATGAAGAACAAGGAGTGCTTGGGTTTGCCCCCGATGATCCCAATGCAGCATTGCAAACTCAACAGTTTCTGTGGGGTGAGAACGAGGAACGGCTTGTTGTTGTTCTTGGAAGACAACACTGGTTTGCGTGCTGTAGAGCAGTGATTTCTCTTTAAAAACACTACAATAAGGAACAACGTGCAGTAGCAATCCTTCACTTTGTGATACGAGTTTCACATTTAGTAGAGATTCTCGGTATCCACGATGCAAAAACAATACAGCCGACATTTTCAAAGATGGCCACCAGAAAATGCCGTTACAAACCTGGATTGTGATTGGGCGAGAGATCAGAAATCCAATTATGCACTTAGAAAGTCCAAATTGTCAAAAGTTATAGGTCAATAATTACAAAAAGCGTATTGATCAGTGGTCATTCCTCGACAAAGATATACTGTATTGTATAAAATAGAGTGTCTTGGGAACGCATACTCCAATGTTGGATATCACACAAATAAATACTAAAAATGATGGCAGCCTCAACTAGATCAGTGCTTGGCACTAGGATTGAGCCGTATCAAAATACAAATGAAATCAGTGTGTGGAAGTAGATCGAAAGCTTACAAATTGTTCTCTTCACAATTCCACACTGCAGACACGAGACACCAAATGGAACACTTCCTAGGTTTGCCCTGCAGTCTTGTTGCCTTTACAACAAAAGGCTTATACAACATCATCGCCAGGGAAGGTGTGAAAGAAAAAGGTGCCACAGGATTTTTCAGGGCCCAAATGCTCCACCATGTCATAAACAGGTACAAGACAGACTTAACTTGACCAAATTCAACGGTTCTTCTAAGCCCGGGTCCTGAACGATCTCAAAAACACTGAGTGCAGCACATGTTGCTAACTTTAAGAGCCACCGAAGTGATCCGAGTGCTCGGAGGACACATCCGGAGCGACCGCGTGGAATATTGTTGGCATACTTTCACACAGGTGACGTAGGAGGGGTTGAGATCTTGTCCTCCAAGTCGCACAGGAACCAGGATGATGACGGCCTTCCAGGGCTGAGACAGAGGCCGTTCGCACAACCTCTTCACGTCTTCCAAGTAGACTGAACGCATGGGAAGAGACAAGAGACAGAACGTTCAGAATTTGTCACAGCACATTTGATTTGCTCCATCTCCTCCATCTCGTGTGAAAAAAATGGGCATGTTTTTACCTCAGATGCTTTTATTTTGAAGGTAAACTGCTCGTTTTACTCACCGGTGCAATCTTGTGCGACATACACGACTAGATCGGGAAGGTCCGCTGATGCTGCCACTGCTTTCCTGAAACAAAAAAACATTTTTTTTTTTTACAGTCCGATGATACATCTTGATGGAAGCTGGTCGGGATAAGTGGACCATCGCGACTTCGGGTCTCACCGGAGGATGTGTGCCACGATGGAGGGGCCGTACCAGTCGCCGGCCTTCTTCCCTGAGCTTTTTCCCAGCTCCACCAGCTTGTGTATCCCGAAGGGGGCCGTGGGAGAGTCCGCGAACCACGACACCACCCTCCTCAGATGGGCCTCCTTGGGCCGGTCCATGAGGGAATCCAAGCTCAGGTGTCGACCGAACTTATTCGGCCCTTCCTTTGCGTCCAGTCCGCGCTCTGCGGCGGCCGCGGGGCAAATCGCTAGGAGGTCCAGGTCATCTTTGACCGCATGGTAGCCAACACACCGAGTGCAACCTGCAAAGATACGGTTGATTCCATGATGCCACATTAAAACGACCAAATGTGCACGTTCAGCGTTTGAGCTTGATGGTCGTGCCGTCACCTGGTGGCACCTGGTGGCGGATTAGGCCCTGAGCCAGCAGCATCTGGCCCGTGCGTAACACGCAGCCCCAGCCGCTGTCGGTGGTCAGAGAGCCGCCGGCCAGCTGAGGGAAACCCCGTCTGTACGTCAGCCAGAGGACGGAGGCGAAGGAGCGGCGGAAGTTCTCCCTCTCATCTGAGGAACAGTGGCGGAGCTTGAATTGAAGCTCCCGCCGCTTTTTTGACACAAAGAGGAGAATTTCAAGAGACTTCTCACCGTGATCCCGGAGCTCGTAGGATTGTCCGAACATGATCACAGCAGAGCTCTTGCTGAATTTGGATTTGTGCTTCAGGGACCAGCCTGAAATGTGAACGAGTAGATAGACAGAGACAGGGGAGAGTTTCAATCTTACAAACCACGAGGGAACGCAAGCATCCCGGAAATGGAAAAACAGCCGTGTCGTCAGAGCGGTAACAACGGACCATATTTGACGCTGTTCCACACAGAGATCAACTTGGTTTTGAGTGGGCCTCGGTCCTCGGTCTCCAGGTTCTCCCCGCTCACCTCTGGGCCCGGGCGGACGGCAGAGTCGGTGGAGAGGAAGAGCCAGTCGTCCATCGGGTCGTCCGGTGACGAGTTGTCCTCACAGTGAGCCGAGGCGTCGTTTGGATTCATAACGACCAAAGAGGGCCGAGACTGAGCGTGAAGGATTGCCCCTTATCGCCATGGCGACCTGCGAAGACATGTGACCCCTGAAGGACGAGGCAGCAGTGTACAGCGAGTGATTTTTCCTAAAAACAGAGAGGGGAGGGATCTGCCCCCTGGAACTGATCAGTAACCACTTATCAGTAACCACAGCGGAGGCAATAACTCTGCATGACAGTAAGTAAACAAGGAAACCAATGTCACTGCATCATGTGACTCAAGGAATTTGTGTTTGGCTGCAGCAGATCTTTGAACCACAATAACAAATTTAAATGTTACTTGAATAGAAGTACATACGTATCAGCGGATGCTTTACGTCTCAAAAGTAAAAAGTCATCATCCAACAGACAAATTTATCCAATGAGTGAAATGTTTCTACATGAAATTCTCTGATCAAAAGAAGTTTGACCTCGTTAGGCCCCAAACAGAAACACACAACACACACACAAAATAAAATTCATGTTACTTTCTAACAGTAAAATATACACAGGAAGTAGATAAATGATTGCCCCCATTGTAAATAATCAAATCATATTAAGTTACTTATGAAATAACCGCTAACCATGAAAGGTAACTTTTTAAAAACTTTGGAAGAGCTGGTTAGACAACACGTGACCCGACTGGTTGTCCTTTGAGACATGATATTCATTTACTAATAACTTTACATGCCGCTCTGATTCATTTAAGTTTATTAAGAACATATTTGGACGTTAACTAGAAGTAATCTATATAAAGTCCACGTCTACACACCTACTAATGCAGACATGTTGGTATGCAGCGCAAAGTGACATCGTGGGAACATATTAGGTCTGTTGTTAGATGACTTTTACAAACAGAAACAATGGACAGCCATGATGCTCCACTTGTGTTATTTGTACTGCGATAATATTCGGTCTAGCATTGGGTATGAACGCCGGGACCGTTGAGCGAATCATCTCTGCTAACAGGAATACTACTAATATGAAACAACCCACGGTAATATTACTTATTATTATACTTCTTGGGGAAAACTGTCATCCACCGTTCAAATTCTTCGTTTCTCATTTCAAGCCTAGAAATAAAACCCATCCAGCGTAGAAACCTACGGTCGCCACTCGCAGCGACATTCAAATAATAAAAGGAAACCAGGACCGCAGAGAGCCTTCACATCTTCCGCCGCAAACTAAAGACACACCTCTTCAGACTCTACCTCCACTAAAGACTAACTAATTGTAGCACTTAAATTGTACTTATAACGCCACTCATCTATAGAAAATTGTAAATTGGCTTATTTGAGGAATTTGCACTGTCTTGTTTCTTGTTCTCCTGAGTTTGTACCCTATGGTTGAATGCACTTATTGTAAGTCGCTCTGGATAAAAGCGTCCGCTAAACGACATGTAATGTAATAAAATGAGGGAAGCCCGACATTCTTCGCTTACCTACATTTGGGCATCGTTGTTGCTTCCTTAATTGGAGAAGGTCGTTTACTGGATACTTTTAAAAACTGCTCCCCTGCCTTCGGTTCGTGGGTGGCGAGCAGGGTCACCGCTTCCAGCAGAACGGTGAATCCACGCTCACTTCCTGTTTATACCGCTCACGCGCTGCCACGGCTCTGATTGGCTGAGAGGGGACCAATGACAGACCCTCGCGTCATAAACGAGTCAGACAGAACGAAGGGTTTCTCCGCTTTTTATTACATTTACGCACTATAGGCGTCTGCATTGGTTTTTCACAACGGTGGCAAATTCATATTTAGCAATTTAATGGGCAACAAGAGTTGTTGTGGTTTAAAAAAAAAGAAACAACTTAATCAAACACGAGGACAAAGATCGCCTGGACTGGAATTCAGGCATGGAACGAGCCTCAAAACTGCACGCAGAAGGGTACCCACACAGATATGGTAGATTCCTCAGTCTAAATGTAAAATATATAAATATTTATTTCAGTTATGCAGAAATGTACTAACCCTCCAACGTGTAAAAAAACAACAACGTTTGAATAGATAAAAAAGTTTCATAAATAAACAAATAGAAAAAAAAATCAAATAAATACATTAGGACTAGGAAATAAAAAAATGTTCGACATAAAATAAAGTGCAATTTTCTCACATCACGCCACTAAAACACAGTTCTCAACATTGGGTTAATGTCTGACGACCACGACAACTTAATGGATATAAAAGCAAAGGCTTATTAAGCTCAGACTGCAAAGCTCCTCAGCAAAATAATTATGCCTGCGGATAATTATGTATGACATGGAAAGAACCCCAGGCAACATGGACCCCCATCTTTCTTTGTATACCTCGGGACTTTCACTGTGGTGTGACGTCATCCACAAGGTGGCAGTCTAAGACAGTTCTGAGCCTGGTGTCCCAAAAGGATATGCAACACACGAACAAACACGACCCCACCACGAAGATGCTCTCGACATATCTACTCTTCTGTCTTCTATGTATAGTCTACTACCGTATCACTGACAAAGGTGCTGTGTTTCACGAAAACTGGGCACTGTTGGATTGCATAATATTCTACATTTAAGTGTAAACAACAACAAAAGAAAACAACAATGACATCATCCCGAAAAAAAAAAAGACTGGCACTTTTCTTCACACGTAACATGACACGATATATGGTGCACGCCTGCATGAATAGAAACGAGTGAGCGAGGGAGCATCTATCCTACTCTCCTGTCCGTTCTTTGCGCTCTTCGCCTCCTTTAACAGACACACTAGTTTGTTCACCTAATAGCCTAAAATATGTATAATTGCACAATTCACTACGATCAATGGAGACAACGTCAAAACAACCCAAAAGTGTGTTTGCTTGGCTTACTGTAACCCCTTTTAATGTAAGTGTAAGTGGAATAAAAAACCAAAAAAATGTGGCATCATCAGCACATTGCATAGTGTCCCTGTGCAAGTTCGTCTAATCTTCTTCTTTAAGTTCCACTTGAATTCAGCCCTTAAACAGATCTGTAGCACATCGACCGATCCATGACATCTTGGTCCAGGCCTCTCAATACGTGTGCATGTCATCTGTAGTTCAAGTATGAACTCGTTGAAATGCAGAGCGTGCGGCTCTCTGGACGAGAAGATGGCACTGGAGCGCATCTGGAATGAGTGATTGATGCCAATTCGCAACAGAAAAACTGCTCCTTTACACACAGTCAAGAGTTGTTCACAGTGTTCACCGCCTTGAGGATCGGCTTCGTATTTTTTCATCTCCCCTTTAAATATGCTTTCATTTTTCTATATACAGTGTTGGACATGCATTAAGACATAAGCCCCTCCCAAACCCTTATATACACAACATTGAACATACAGTACATACACGGGCCTACATTACGATACTATGTGTGCCGACATCTTTGTTCACCTGTAGCGCGTTCTGCATGCGTCATTTATTTGGTCGTATTTCTTCAAGTCGTGTTACTTTGGGTTACGTCGGTGTGACGCTACAGCAACCAAAAAAGAAAGAAAGAAAAAAGGCATTGCACGGAAGAGACTTTTACTGAAGCCCCTCTCCCCCCCCCATCACGGGTGGTGCTTGGAGCCGCGGCTGTTTCCTTTGTCGGACTGCAGCGCGCCGGCCGCGGCAGCCGTCTGAACGCCGCGCCGCCCGCCCCCGGACGAGCAGTCCGCTTTCCCCGCCGCGCTGCCCCGCTTTTCCTCGCTCGACTTGGAGCCCTCCCTTACCTTGGACCCCTCTTGCGACCCCCCCTTGATGGGCGCGAGCACCGTCTTGGCCACGCTGGTCAGCTGGGTGACGAAGCTGGCCTTGTCCCCCGGCGGGGGCACGGGGCGACACTTGCCCGAGCAGGGCGACGTGGGGTTCTCCTCCACGACCTCCAGCTGCGGCCGCTCCTCCTTGGCCCCGCGGCAGCTGGTGGACAACCTCTCCGCGTTGGATCGGGCGGGAGCCGCGGTGTGGGGTTGAACCTGGGTGGGAATTGGCGGCGCGGGGCCTTTGACCTTGGTCGTCTCGGCCGCTTTACCCCCGCCTCCCTTCTCCCCCGCCTCTGCGCATTTACGAGGCTTGGACTGCTCGGCGGGAGACACTTTCTGCACGTGTCCTTTGTCAGCGGCCGCGGTGCCCTTCGCTCGCTCCTCAAGCTTCTCCTGAGCTTTCGGCGCAGGTGCGACGTCGATGTGAACACTCGGCTGCTTGCCGTCTTGCTGTTGAAGGCCCTTCGATGTGCCGGCAGTCGCGGTCTTCTCACCGAGTTTACTCTTGGAGGTGGCTGCCTCACAGCTGGACGTAACCGCCGCTGGACTTGACTTCACCGCAGCTACACTTGGGCGGTTCTTCAGACCCTCGGCTGTGGCTTTGCTCAAATGAACTACGGCGGTCTTGGACTCAGCTTTGGCAGCCACGCCCTCGGCCTGCGACCCCCGTAGCGCCGAGGCTGTGGCCTGCGTGTCTTTCTCTCTCGGCGGGAGCAGGGTGTCGCGGCTGAGCGGCGACTCTTGCCTTCCCAGCCTCCTCGAGGGCTTCAGCCCACCGTACTCCCCTCCCATGGGAGGCGAGGGGGAGGAGGAGGATGAAGGAGACGGGGGAGCGGGTCCGTTCTCTCCCTCCATCTCCAGCAGGCTTTGCAGGCTGTGCTCGCAGTGGAAGGACTCCCTCCTGTAGTCCCCGTGTGACACCTCCAGGCTGTGCTTGCGTAGCGACACGCCGGTCAGCGGCGACGGCGAGGACGAGGGCGGCATGAGCGGAGCGCCCAGCTTTTCCGCCGACTGCACCCGCTGCAGCAAGGGGGACCTGGGCGGCTCTGCGCTCTTGGGCCGGGGCCGGGAGACGGGCGGCGAGGAGTGCAGCTTGGCGGGGAACGTCTGCGTGGTGTTGGAGCTCCCCACCGTGTGGCCGGAGAGAGGAGGAGGAGAGGAGGTGGTCGGCGAGGGGGTGTGAGCCAGGGGCGACAGGGGGATGTTGCCGGCGGATTTGCAGCGCGCAGAGCGGTACTGGCGGTGGAGCTTGGGAGACAGGCCGTGCAGGGAGCTGGGCCTCATGTGGTGGGAGGCTGCGGGGGAGTTGGGGGTACTGGAAGCTGGGGAGCTGCTCTGGGAGGAGGTGCCTGTGGAGAGCAGAGGAAATAGGCTTTTTGAAAATAATAGTCAACTTTGTGTATTTTTTCAGTAAGTAAAATGTGATTATGTGTTCAATTCTCCAGTGTTTCTTTCAAAATATTCACTGACATCCCAAAAACAATGATGGATCCAGAGATAAGAGAGAAAAATGGGACGACAGGAAATAAACAACATTCGACACCCGCTCTCCCCCTTCACCACCGTCGACCACTTTCAAATAGGTGCAGTGACGCCACGGTCAGGTGGGGTTAGAGCACACACAACCGCAGCGAGCGGTGGTGCGGCACTTTAACGCTCACTGCTCAAAAAATATGGAGGAGCTAACCCATGAGAGGGGACTCGGTGAGCGTGGAGCGGTAACTCTGAGTGGGCGAGCGGGCGGAGAGGCCGTGGGTGGGGGAGCCTGGGAGACTGTCCCCGGATGAAAGAGAGCGATTCAAGGAGGAGAGGCTGCGGCTGGTGTGGAGCAGGTTGGACTGCTTGGTGATTTTCCTGAAGAGGGAGCTTCTCTTCTTCCTGAAAGGAAACGCATACGGTGAGGCGAATAAAGGCGTGTAAAGCACAAAAGACAATGCATGTATATCGCAGTAACGCACTCTGGTCCCTCCTTGGCTCCGATCCGCTTGCTGCGCCGCGCCATCTTGGATTTATAGCTGGACCTCCGGGCCGGGCCGACTTTTATAGAGGTGTTCTCAAATGGAGTAGTTGTAACTGTCACCTTGTTTCCACTCTGTAGGTATATATATATATATTTAAATGATATATTTATTTTAAAAGCACATTTCAACAGATCCCATAGATACACCCCATACAAACCTTCAGGATGAGCTCCACCACCTCTGTATGGACCAGACCGTGGACGGACTCTCCGTTTACATGAGTGATGAGGTCACCAGCGCTAAGACCAGCTTCCTGGGCGGGACCCCCATCCTCCACATGCTGTGGTTAGAACAAAAAAAGGCATTTACACAGGAAAGCTATCTCAATGCTAAAGCGAAACCAAGTGTCACACTTCACTAAAAGGTTTGACTCTGTTGCATAAAAGGTTGGTGATCCATCTTTCAGATATCGGTTATGATATGAAATATGGTGTTCCACAGGGTTTTGTATTTGGTCCGCTATATTTTGCATTCTACAGGATAGATTCCACTCAGGTACGTAATCTAAAAGTTTATAACTATGCAGACGACGCACAACAATGTGCATATTGCTGGTGCTCAAACCAAATAGCTGACAATTAGAAAAGGCTGCTTTAAAAGGTCTGAGGGATCATCTGATCAAACTAGATAGCATGATGCAAACGTTGGACCATAACTTACATACTTCGTCTATTCCTCCTCCTGACTTTTGCAATGTCCTTAAATGTATCAAAACCCTGAATGGTTTAGCATTGATTCCTCTTTAATCTTTATAAAGTTTATTGAACACTGTAGTATTAAATGTAACGGCAGTTTACAAGGCAGTTTTTTGTTTGTCCTATCTACTAAAAATATTAAAAAACATTTTGGATTCAATGTTTCTCTTTGGCACCCTTTAGTTTGTTGAATTTCACATGAAGCATTTTGAGCTGGGCGATGTATAAAATATGCTCGAAAAAATAAAGTTTGATAATTTGCTCTGCTCCCTCACCCAGACCATGTGATGTAGGCTGTAAACATCACTGTCTCCCATGTAGACTCTGATGGCTCGCAGAGTGAAGCCGTACTTCTTCCCCGAGCGGTGGATGGTGATGGGAGAGTGCAGGACGTTGACCATGGGAGAGTAGTCTCTGCTGGGAGAAGAGTCCCGGGAGGACGGGTTGGACGAGATGGAGTGGGGCGACATCGGGCTCGCCAGCGGGGAGGCGACATGTTGCTCCACTGAGGAGAGAGCGCGAAAGCTGAGAAGGCAGCTTTTTTCGGGTATTTTGCTCCTGTCTTATAAGCAGCATTTACCCGCAGGGATGATGACAGACAAAGCCGTAGCGGAGGCAGATTTGATCACTTTGGTCCCTGGTCGCGGGTTACGTTTCTCTCCTTCAGCTGACAGCTGCTGGTGGCGGACCCTCCGCAGCACCAGGTCGGTGGCGGCCCCGCGGGGCCCTTGAGGGTCTGGGAGCCCCAGAACGCCGGCATTTCCTGGCAGAAGCAACGGCGCTTCAGCCGGCCTCGACACCTTCTCTGTGACACGGAGGTGACATGAAGCGCTGGTTATGAATTGTGATCAAACGCAGAATAGGGAATATCGGGAATTTTCATCTCTTCTTACCTCCGGCCGTGGGCCCGCCGCCATCTTTGAGGAGTGTTCTCAGATCGCCTTGAGAGGTGACGGCGCCCGTGGCTCCTTCTAGGGACGTCCCTCTGGTCGTCACCGGAGCCTGCCTGACGGGGACGGGCTGCTCGGAGTCGACCTCCAGAGGGGAGGCCAGGCGGTGCGTGTCCATGAGGGCGGAGAAGCGTCTTCGGGCGCCGGACGGCGGGCTGTAGTCGCTCTCGGTGAAGGAGGACTCAGAGCAGGATAAGCGCTTCCTGAGAAAAGCCCAGCAGTCAAAAGTGTTATTCTCAAGCAATATCATGTGTTTTTTATATTGTAGGGTCGTCCGTTTCTGTAAGTTGAAATAGGTCCGGTTGCGACGCTCACATCTCAGGCGATCCAGTCCTCCAGCTCTTGTCCCTTAATGTGAGGCTGCCCAGGCTTTCTCTCTTGGCCACTCGATCCTCCCGGGGCACCTTGTGCTCCCGCAGGGTCACGCCGGGGGGTTTGTGCTCCAGCTGGGACAGATGCTCCATGCTGCTGTACACCTGCGGGCCCACACAATAAAAAGGCACGGTCGGCATTGGTTTGTTCTGCATAACCGAGCGTTCGCAATTTCAAAGGGTTCAAACAATCTCTCTGTTTGGATGTGAACGTCCGCTCCGACCTTGCTGAAGCGAGGGGAGCAGGATGAAAAGCGATGGATCTCCACGGGCTCATCGTCGTTGGTGTCGTCCTCGTCGTATGACTGCACGTGGTGGTAGCGCTCGGATCGGGCTGGTGGCAAAAGGCAGAGATCAATACGAAAATCAGCGTAGCTCTTACCGCCACATTTACTGTAGTAACCGTGGTAACAGGGGGCCGTGCGGTCCGTGCCCCTAATCCCATGCTGGAGACTTACTGTCAAAGTAGCTGGTGTCTTCCTCTGACTCGAGGTGAGGAATGAACTCAGCCTTCTGTCTCAGTAGGCTGTTCCAGTTCACCGCCGCGAAGAACGAGTGCTGCTTCACTTCGAAAGCACCGCCTGCAGGCCGGGGGGGAGGGAGGGAGGGGCGACACGGAGACAGGCAGGTAAGAGGCATTTTAACCCAGATGCTAGGCGACTTATTTGGGTAAAGTGAACTGTGAGCCTAGCGGCTAGAGAGTTAGTGTTCCAGGTCAGTGGTTCTCAACAACAAGGGTACATGCAACATCACCCCAGGGACTGAGGCCATTTGTAATGATTTAGAAAGAATGAAACAAAACACATATTGACAGAGCAGCACTTAAATTAAATTTGAGTTAAAATTGTTTGCTGATAATAATAATAATGAAATAGTTAAAGATAATAAAGAAATATAATAGTAATGAATGCTTTAAATTGTTGGTTGATAATGGCAAATAAAGTTTTGATTGCAAAAACTTAAATCCTAAACCACACAAAAACATTTACCTCTAGAAAAATGTAAAAAGGGCCGATGGTTTTGGCCAAACTAGATCCTGCAGGGACGACCGGGTGACTGACCTGTGCCTAGTCGAACCAGTGGATTGGTCTGCAGCAGGGAGGAGATGAGGTGCTGGGCGTCGACAGGGAGAGCCTCATCCCCTTCTGGCCACACTATGTCGTCTACAGTGAGGAGAGAGAGAGGAAATGCGTGAGGAAAAGTGTGTTGAATTAAAGGATCATGTAACTTCGGCCCTTTGGTCCCTCACCTGTAATGACCTGCCCGAACAGCTCCTCCGGGGTGTCTCCAAAGAAAGGAACGCAGCCCAGCAGGAACTCGTACAGGATGATGCCCATAGCCCACCAGTCCACCGGCTTCCCGTAACCTTGACGGAGAATAACCTCCGGGGCGATGTACTCTGGAGTTCCGCACACCTGAGGAAAAAATGGATTTCTTCTTCAGTCATATTCTATGCATGGTTCCACCCGGCTAAGGAGACCACCTTGGAGGTGCCAGGAGAGCCCCAGCCAGGGGTTTTCATGAGCAGATGGCTTATGCGCTGAACAGATTCAGACACGGCGAGGCTTAGTTTTAAAGCGCGAGCGCTGAAGGAAAGCCTCGAGCAAATAAACCTCACCTAAAAAAGGAGAATTTGATTATAATGACGGAGGGAAAAAAAAAACGGGCGGATTGTTCTGCCGGCTGTGTTCTCCTCGCTTCAGATGTGCCTGGCACACAATGACGGGGGAATATCTTTGCATAGAGATGAAGACATCGAAGGACGTTTCATGTCGGAACGTCACCTGGGAGACGCAGCATACGGCTACATCGGGGGATTATTTCAAAAGGGAAATCAAAGGAACTCTGCGTTGCCGGAGTTACCTCCAAATGGATTTGGAGTCGTTTGTCTTACCTGTTTATCCAAGAACTCACGCGTGTCCTTCTCTATGTGTCCCTCGTACAAGTTGGTGGTCAGACTCATGAGACCCATCTTAGAAAGGCCAAAGTCTGTGAGCTTGATGTGGCCCATCGCGGTGATCAGGAGGCTGACAACATATCAAACGGTGAATGCACACATTCTTTTTAAACAGCGAAAGCAACGGCGTCGTCTACAGCGCTACGACCCCGTCTTACTTGTCGGGCTTGAGGTCACGGTGCACGATGCCGTAGTTGTGCAAGTACTCCAGCGCGAGCACGGTCTCTGCGAAGTACATGCGCGCCATCTCCACGGGAAGGGCGCCGATGTTCTTCAGCAGGGTGGCACAGTCTCCACCTGCCGGCACAAGTCAACATTTGATCGGTCTCGCTGCCGCACCTCCGGCCCCCGACCCCCCGACCCCTCGAGCCCTATAGACCACCTCAGACGGCCGCACAACACGCACAACACAACGCACTCCTTGAGCCTGCATTAGCATGCGATGAACGCTAGTGTTGCATATCCATACTGCATGCTTATTCTAAACGCACACTATTAGTTAGTCAATGAAAATAACACAATAAATGGACAGGGGATGAAACAGCGTTGCATTCTAAAGTCAATCGACTTTAAAATAAAATATATGATATATAAAAATATATTTTTATATGTATATATATACACACACACACACACACACACACACACAAAGTGTAGTTGAAATGGTAATAGCCTGACAAGGAACACAACTCATGACATAATTGAGAAGGTTGATTTGAACCAAATTATTTTTCCCACCGTCACACACACACACACACACACACACACACACACACACACACACACACACACACACACACACACACACACACACACACACACACGTATACTTACCCTCTACGTACTCCATGACCATGCACAGGTGCCGGCGGGTTTCGAAGGAACAGAACATGGAGACGACAAAGGGATTCTCTGCGAAGGTGAGGATGTCTCTCTCCACGAAGGCCTGCTGGATTTGGTTCCTCAGGATCAGGTTCTGCTTATTGATCTTCTTCATGGCAAACCGCTGGCGGGTCTCTAGGTGACGCACCAGGTACACGGCGCTAGTGCACACACACACACACACACGCACAAAGAGGGGCACGGGTTACTCGCAAGCTGTGGCCGCCGCGTTGCTCGTAAAACAAAGTCAATTAAATAAATATAAAAGTAGTGTCCCTGACATGTGGAAGTAACGCGGGTACGCCCTCACGTGCTACTCACCCGTAGGCTCCGTTACTGATCAGCTTGATGCTCTGGAAGTCAGCTTCTTCTGGCGCTTTCATCGCTCTCATCTTACCCTGTGGATCCGAGATCGCAATGCCGATATCAAAGATGATCCAACATGACGGAAGACATTTAGATTGTCTCACTGTCAGGAAAAATTGCATATTCTTCTGGCACTGTAACTGCAGCGATGCCCATTTAAATAATAACTAAAATACATATATATATATATATATTATTGGCCTACTGCATTTTGGCAGTTGGAGGCCTAATGCTGCAGGGATGGCCCACAGATTCAAAGGATCCTGTTTTTAATGCATCAGCATATATTAACTAAATTAGATGTGTGTGTGTATATATGCCGAGTCATTAGTAAATGAAGCAGACCTTTTCTGTGAAAAGCCACTTCATAGTCACTCAGCAGAAATGAATTAGTAGAGTTACAGTTTACATCACCGTCTGTCCAAAATGTCGTGACTGCGTATTCATCATATTATTAAACATTTGTGTGAAATTGTGAGAATTAGCGTTTGAATTCTTGAGCTGTGAGCAGAAAGGTGTTTCGTGTGTTCACAATCTATCCGTGCGTCATTGATTCCAGGTGGACGTTGGGCCCAAATTTGAGACATCGCGTCCACGAGGGTGGAGCAGCTCTCTCCATGGCGGATGCGGAGAAAACGGTTGACGGGTTAATCGCGGGTCTCACCTCCGTCGAGTCATCGGTTTCGGGCGTTAGCGGCCCCTCGCTGTCGTAGCTATCGAGAGTTACCATATCTGGCGATGGACAAAGCGCAGTTTAAGCCGGACGTCGGCGCATTCATCTTGTGGCGAGTCACATCTGTGCGTTTCTGTCTCACCTTCAATAAGGTCTCTGGTCAGTCCCAGCTGGCTGATGATGTACCGGGGAATGTCCGTCTTCATCAAGTGACCCTCCTTGGCGTGGTCCTCTGCTGCCTCCAGCAGATGGTAGAACTCCTCGGGATTGAACTCCTGGAAACCAGTTGAGACGCGAGCGCCGACGTTAATCAGCCATTTCTTCCATATCCAAGTGAAGCCAGCGCTTTGAGCGGTTAGGGGACGATTCTGGGAGCGAGTCCAAGGCCGCTTTCTGGGAGGAACCGTCGACTTTCCCTTTGAAAGCTACACTTTACAAGCTGTATGTTGTATTTAACCATACATCTTTCATTCCACCCCCCCCCCCAAGAATCATTGGGCCAGTGCCGACCAGATAATAAAATGATAGAAACTAGGAATAATTCCTCATGTTAAGCATTTTAAACTGTGGCATGACTCATCGAGTGGTGAGACGCTTATAAAACCACAGCGAGACAAACACACACACACAGGGGGGCTGCCGGCTGGCGTCAGCCGTACTGTGGCGAGGCAAATTCTAATCTAAATGTAAATCCAGACGGCCTGCACCGTCGCTTTCAGTTAGATTTTCTGCCCCCTGCTGTGTGGTACATCGGGGGGGGGCTTAATTGCTTTTAATGGGCTAGCAAAACAAGTGTCCGTGCCAACGCTTAACTGAAGAAAATCCGTTCGTCTCGAGTCACAAGCGGTACGTGCCCCGTGGAAAGCTTCTGCGATGAAGGGCAAGGGGGGGGGGGGGCTGGAGGAGGACCGAGAACGTGGCGGCGTAGAACGTCATCTTACCAGACACTCCAGAAGCCTGGCCGGTCGGGAGATGACGATGAGAAGCTTCTTCGCCAACTCCGTGACGAAGGCTACCTCGGTGCTCTCCGAACGCTCGAAGGCCTGACACACAGAGAGAGAGACACAGAGAGAGAGACACACAGAGAGAGAGACACAGAGAGAGAGACACACAGAGAGAGGAGAGATTTGGGCCCAAGAAGACAGACGTGGTGAGAAAAGCTTAAAAAAAAAAGCTGAGACATTTGATCATCATCTGATTCTGAAAAAAACACCCCAGAGTAATGCCAGCGATCTAATCAAGCCGGCAAAATGAGATGGGTGATGAAATTGCCTGATACCTGTTATGGTCTCCGAGCTCGATTAGCCTGCATTTACCGCAACGATTTCAATCCCGTCTCCTCTCAAAAGGCATCACAGGTTTAAATGAAATTAGGAGACTTGAGCTCCCACAGCATCACATCACCGGAGGATGGACGAGTTAGTTTCATGGTCTCTATCATGTGAAGCTTTTCAATGCTAAGGAAATGTAATACTCTTTATGTTTTTGTCCCAATATTAAAATCCTATGTTATTATTTAGTTTTGTATTTGTGTAAAAATGTAAATTAAAAGTGCAGATATTTTTTTTCTCTTCAAAATGACAAATTTTGTTGCTTCTGAGGGCGGAACCATAAAGCTGTCGAGGTTTGTCAGCACTGAATCTTTTGTTAAACTCACATCCTGAAGAAGCTTCTCCAGGTTCTCCTGCAGCTCAAAGAAGTAGACGGAGGTGATGAGGCCCTCGCGGGACTTGGCCAGGCAGTCCCTGGACAGCTCGGCGATCTGGTGGTGAATGAAGCTGAGGACTCCGTCGGCCAGCGGGAGAACGTTCTCCGGAGAGAAAGCCTGGATGAACTCGGCCAGCCTCCCCTCCATCTGTGCTGTGGCCTGGTGGAGCGCCGGAGACCAGGAGCGATGGTGAGAATGGGCAGAGTAGGAGCGTCAGCAGTTACGTCGACAAAAGTGTTCCTTCAGAAGACCCAGGGCCATGTGACCCGAGGTTCACGACAGCGTGGCGCCGCGGCTTTGCTTTGACTTTTGTCCCATTTGAATTCCGTGAGGAGAAGAGCTTTTACCTCCAATGAACTCATTACTGCCCAATTTCCTGGGGCTTGATTTGTATCTCTGGGGATCCTGTCGGCGTGTTTCCTTTGATACAAACCACGGCCGGCCAAGAGAGTAAAGGGAAGAAACACGGGGAAAAAAAGGGAGAGTCTCTTTGTTGAACTGTTCAGTGAGTGCAGTGACTACACTTAATATTCTCCCTCGCTGCGTAAGCGCACCGCGACTTGGCAGCGCCACATAATCCCGTTTGCTGTGGTTCAGCAAACACCCCCGGCTCCTTTTTTATTTTATTTTCCTTTAACTCTGATTAGCGTTTACTGTGCAAATATCTGAACACGCTCAATCGTAAATTAAATCCCCTTTTTATTTCTCTAGAATATGAGCTCTGATTAAATAGGATTAGAAGGACGTGAGACATTGGTTTACTGCTTTGTGGGTTATGGATTTGTTCACGGCTTTCTTATGGAGAATGATATTTATCGTGTGTGTGTGTGTCTCACCTTTGGAAAGCGATCTTTGTACACATGGTTCATCATGACTATCTCGTTATCATAACAGGAGGAGGAGCGCCCCGGGCTGGGAAGAGGAGGGAATATAGTTAACATTTAAAACATTCGGCTTTTCACAAAGAAATGTGTTATAATGCGCTCTGACAACCAACACCTGAACCGGGTTTAAGATTGGACTCACGCAATAAAAGTAGTTTATGTCTATCCGGTTCAATATTAAGTGAGACTGTAAGTAAAAATAACATATTTACCATCTAGAAAAATTGAAGACAAAGCAAACAAATCACTCAAATGTCAGCGTGTTTAAAACTGACATTACAGGGTTATTATGTTGAATCTTTTCCCTCCGCAAAACTGTAACTTAGGCTCTAAGTGAGGTAAATGAACTCTTTATATATTATTTGAAGTTACTACTTGCTGAACTGATTACGCCAACAATAACAACGCTGTACAATAAAAAGGCAGCCAAATGTGTATAAGCAGCGTCTGGTTTAATTTAGCTAAAAACGGAAATCATAAATTACTAGTCTTACTAGACCAAGAAGATTAGTGATCTAGTGACCTTGCTCGAATATACACACTGAAACCTCTCCTGTTAATATGTTATTTCACATGCTGATACAATCCGGCATGTTATCTTTAAACCAGGAGGTTACGTAAAAGCCATGATGAGATCAAGCAGCGGCAACCCCAGTAAATCTGCTTTTACAGCATCGTTTCATTAAAGAGGATGGTGCTTTTGGGCCGTTTTAATCTGCTGGGTGGTGGTGGTGGTGGTGCTGACCTGAGACTGCGGGAGCGCGGGCGCATGTGCGGAGAGCAGTGGCCCCCGTCGTCATCCGTGATGCTCTCGGTGCTGCCAAAGTGCTTGGATAAGAAGTGGAGCTCATCCATGGTGGGCTGGAAGGGCAGCTGGTGCAAGCGCTCCTGAGAGGAGCTGGAGGACTGGAGCGAGGGAAATGCCGAGGAGGACGAGGAGGGCAGGCGGCGGCAAAAAGGGTGGAGGAGGAAGAGGAAACGGGCGAGGGCGGGGAGAGGATTAGGAGTGCCGGGGAGAGAGGGGGGGGGTTAGCAGATGAGGACGAGAAACAGGAATATCAGAGTGGGGGGAGATGGACCAACAGCCGCATTATAAATACATTATTACTACATTTTGCAGGGACAGTAGGACTTTTAAATGTGAATAAAGGTGTCCAATGTCTCACAGACAGACCTTCGTCTCGCCCATCCTTCGCCTTCATCAGAGCAGTGAGACCTCAAGCTTTTACATTTACTTTGCTTACCGAGGGACGGATCCCTGATCCATCACAGGTGACTGATTTAAAAAGGGAGGAATGAAGCAAAGTTCATGCGCGTCCTACTGATCCATGTCTGTCAACACGGTGTTGGTGAGAGGAGAGTTTATGGGCTGTTAGCCGCTTCCCCCTGTTTCTAGTCGCTGCGCTAACAGGTTTCTGGCTGTAGATTCAGATCTACGGCACAAACGTGACCGTCGTGTTCATCTTCTCAGAGTATTGTTGGCAGTGTGTTGTTTGAGTGTTCAATGATTTGAAGACTTTCAACAGAAGCTACATAATGATGATGAAGTCATTGGCACGGTGAGATTCTGACGGAGGATAAAAAATGAGACTCTAGAGATGTGGTAATCGTAGTAGTTTTTCCCGTGGATCCCAACCTTTTATGTTTGACCTAAAGCTGCCATTCTTGATTTGCATTAAGAACTGACTGTTCTTTAAGACTTTAAGAATTATGTAAAAGTGGATATTGATAAAAATGAAATATTTTGGTTTAATATCAAAATTTGTATTCATACTTCTACCATTTTACTGGGGAGGCTGTAATAATATGCTTAACAAGACATTTTTAGGAAACCAAAATGTTTTGATTGTTTTTCATTAAGTGAGCATGCACTGTGAAGAGTTGCGTTCACAGCAACCTGTCAATCAAAGCCAACCCTGCTTCATAGACTATTTGACTCTAAATGGAGCATCGTTTTTTAAATGAACATCATGCTGTATTGAAGAACACAAGTGGGCCCATGTTTCATGTAATAAATCCAGTGAGGAGAAGAGTCCTTTCTCATCTTCTGTACACCTTGTATAGATGTGTAGTGGCTGGGAATCCCTTTGTTATGTGAGTGGGGGTGTGAGAAGTTGTTTACCGTCGAGCTGGGCGTGTTGGTTCCATATCCAGAGGAAGGCAAAGACGCCAAAGACCATCGGCGTCCGTCTCTGCAGAGAACACACGCGAGGCATCAGTTAAAAACCTGCCGCACGCAGAAAGCCCAGACACGTGTTCGCTTGGCTTTTAACTGTCTAGAAATATCATTACTTATTAGTACCAGTGAACTAATTCTGACAGGAGACAAAACCCTGACAACTCTTTCTCCCCCATATAATGTGGAGTCATCTCAATTTCAGCAGCAGTGAAGAAATAGAACCCATTAGAGCGATGACCTCTGTCCCGTGCAGTTTGTCCCGGGGGCTTTTCTCGGGAAAAAAAAGCCATTCCTCCATTGGTTTTGTGCACATTGAGGCATTGTTTTGTTAAAACGTTCACCAAAGTGTTGCCACAAAGCCGGAGGAGCCCTCTCGTCTAAATGTAATGTTGACCGGGGACGAGTAAACGCTCAACATATGCAGCGACCTTCTGGAGGAGGCGAAGGAGAAGTGCGCCGGGTTGCTGGGGGAGAAGTTTCGCGGGCTGTCCAGGGGGCTGCTTCCTGGTGGGGGGGGGACAAGACATGGGACACAGGATGAGACGCAAACGTGGAAGGAGGTTTAGAAAGAGAAAGTTCAACAAAGCATCGCACCGAGTCTGTGGCTCAACGCGACCGCCTGACTCCCGTCGGCTCGGCTTTTCGGGGGAGTAAAAGGGGGTGAAATTGATTTTTTAATTCTTTTCCAAATCACAAAGCCCTATCATTGATTTTCAGCCTGAATAATATTTTGTAGCTTTTTATCCCTCCTGCCTTGGTCTGTTGGCGCTTTGAAAACTGGACTGAAAGATGTGATTGGCGGCTTTTTCATAGACGGAAATGAGGTCGAGGTTGTAACCTACACCAGCGTTTTGTCTGGATCGCATTCAGGGATCAAACCGTGACGAGGTGCCGCTCATTTCCACGACAAGGAGAAGAGTCAAGATGCACGGGGGCCGTTTGGTATTGACCATTCATTTAATGTCAAACAGTACTCATAGTTTTACATTTTGGGACATTTGCTTCTCCATTATCCTGAGCAGTTTGATGCCACTGAATACTGGATATAAAACTAGAGCCAGCGGCCGGTCAGCTTAGTTCAGCGACTTGAAACAAAGTAAAAAATGGAGGAGCACAGATACTAAATAAGCAAGGGAGATAAAACGGTTTTATTAGTGAGCCTCAGGCGGATTTGGTGTTTCGTATCATCTGTATCAAGGCAGAGCCATGCAAGAAGTCAAAGTCACCGCGCATTCCTCCACGTACCGAGGTGCCCGGGGAGGGGGAGAGGCGAGTGAGGGCGAGGCAGCGTGGGAGAGGTGGTGGTCAGGATCAGGCTTTTCCTGTTGCTTGTTCGGCAACTGCGGAGGAAATAAAAACACAGAGAGAGAGACGCAGGTAAACACCGCGCGGGAGTGGGGGGGGGCACGCGATGGAGGAGAATTCAATTTCCTCCGTCATCCATCCCTGCCCGCCTGCCTCCGCCCGGCCCAGATAAGAAATGAGCGCCCGGGGGGGGGGGAGGGCGGGGCGGCAGACGGAGATGAGAGGCCGAGTTAAGGGAGAACAGGGGCGACAGGCGAGGGAGGAAAAGGATGGACGAGCTCAATTAATTGATGTTTCAGGCACTTAATAGCAGTCGCTACAACACTGAGTCACCTCCGTATCCGCCTGTGGACTCACATTCACACCTCAAACACCATTATGAGGAAGCGTTTCTTAAACCCTCACAATTTAATGCAAAGGCTTTTCAAAATAGGCTTTAGTTTCCAAAATACTGTGTGTGTGTGTGTGTGTGTGTGTGTGTGTGTGTCATAACAGCAGCTGGGAATAAAGAGGAGCACTACTTTGTCTTTGACTTCCTCTCTCTCTCGGTCACATGGGTTTACATGTGAGCAGGACACATTAGCCGCTCTACACGCACACACAAACGCACACCCTCGTGACGCTCGCAGCGTCGGCACAGGAGTTGACCGAGCTGAAGCGCAGCGCGAGGAACAGAGAGGCAGAGGATGCGCTGTTTTCACCCCCCCCCCCCATCATACAGTTGTTTGGATTAAGGCTCCTGACACAAACCTGAAAAGCTCTCTAGGCCGCTTCCCGTGGACCTTTTAACGCGGCCTCTAACTCGGCCCCCTGGGGGATTGCAAGAAAAACACGCGGGGAGCTTCGTCCTGCACGTATGGGGACCGCTTACGCCCGTGCCAGTGAAGGCGTCGCAACACGTTTACAAAACAGAGCCGGCGCCACCTCATCTATCGGCCATTCAAACCGCGCGCAGGATGTCCCGATCGATCCGATCCTTAACTGGCCCTGTTGATATTGGTTGGATTGAACGGGCCGGTCCGATAAACTGCGGTTGTGCCATTTCACACCCTCCAAATTGGATCAATCAAATCCTGACACTGTTCTTTAACCTTAAAGCGCTCGCGGCAGCACAGTCGATGCGCCCGGCTGATGGCGGCGAGGCCTTTCGCCTCATCGGCCGAGCGCGCTTCACATCAGTAAGATGGAGGGGGGGGGGGGGGGGGGGGGGGGGGGTGGGGGGCGCTCCGGCGCACTGCCCCCCCCACCCCCCCCCCCCCCCCCCCCGCCCTGTGAGCTGTCAATACACCTGGTGCTATGTGTATGAACACGTCGCCGCTGAACTGACAGTCCAAATTTCAGAGCGGCGCCCTAGATGGTGGTTCAAGATCAAGGAAGGGGAGGAGGGGGGAGGATGAAGAGGGCCGGAGTGAGGGATGGAGGTGTGCAGGAGACGTAGGGGGGTCAGAGAGTGCGATTGTGACATGAGAGCAAGATGAAGGTAAAGTCGATTTATTACGGGGGAACGGGGTGAGTGCAGGTTCAGTGAGGGGGGAGACGGGGGGGAGATTAGATATGCAGGAGGAAGGCGCTCTCAGCATCCACAAAGGCGCAAGGTAAACATGACCCAGTTCCTCCCACCATTACACACACACGCACACACTGTGTGTAGTCGCACTGCACAAACGAGGGCGTAGACAGAGCACATGGGGGAATATTGTCCACTGAAGGCAGATGATATGGGGGAGGGGGGCGGGGAGGGTGAGGGGGGGTTGTGGCTCTGACTAAGCCCAATAAACAGGAGCCTCTTCCTCGGCAACAATAACACCAGGAGCACCTTTGCTTCCCTATTGATCAAACCCCGAGCTGCATTCATATGAAACGCAGAGACGGATAAGGGAGCACTTCAGAGAGGAGAAAGGGAGAAGGGAGGAGGGGGGAGGGGGGGGCACGGAGGGAGGAAAGGACTGGGAGAGGACGGTGTCTTTACCTCCGCAGCGTGAGAGAGGGAACGAAGAACGGGGCGGGTGGATAAAATGAAGAGCATGAATCACGGATATGAACGAGAGGAAAGGGACACTTTGTGTCACATGCAAACATCACGTTCCATAGCAGCACGAGAGGAAGCGCTTCATTCCGCGGGAACAAGAGACTTGGGGGGCGTCTACAGGAGAGACAGGCAGCCGCGGTCACCTGGCGGCTTGTTGCTATGCAGCGGGCGGCGGGGGGCGGGGGGGGGAGGCCTTGGGACAATGCCGGGAGAAGGAGAGGACAGGGAGGAGGAATGCGGATAAGTCGCTGTCGTGTATTGACTCCGTATTATTGTCCAGCAGGTCAGTGAGCTGCAGCACTAGAGGAGGACACTCGGGTGACCGGCCTCCCGCTGACCTCCTTTCGGCTTTTGCACATAATTGGTTAAAGTGAAGAGTAATGGCTCATTTGGTAACAGAGTGTGTGCGCGAGGGTGACTTTGTCACAGTGCACCTGAGCCGAAGCACCCGAGGGAAACACACACACTGCGTAGAGTTTATAGGGAAAGAAGAAGGCACGAAGCCTTGATGATCTCTGCAGTAGAAACGTCGCTGCTTAGGTTACATTCTGCAGGTTTCTAAACTGTTGTTAAAGGAATGTGCGGGGGAGCTGTAGGGTAAACAAAACACAGTGGATGTGCTCTAAAGGGTCCTTCTTAGTTATTGGTGTGCCCCGTTTACCAGGACGTCAGAGTGGCTACTAGGGAGCTGGACGGGAGAACTTCTGCAGCGTAGAGCAGACAAACACGGATTTAATTATTGTGTTAATGTTCAAAAATGCAGAAAGAAAGCAGGAAAAAGAAAACGTAAAGAGGGAGAAAGAGGGAGCCAGTCGAAGCTAGTGTGCATGACACAGATATCACCTGAGGGCCCAGCGCTCTACACCCCCCCCCGTCACTTTCATTATCTTAATCATCTCCTTTCTTCTCTCTTTTTTCCCCCCGCAGCGACTTTACGGCTTTGCGAACCAAGCAGCAGTCGCTTTGGGCATTTAGTGAGGATTTTTCCCGAGCAGACCTTCCCTCCTGGGCGGTTGGGGCCCCCGCTGTAGTTAGTGTGGAACCAAACAGGGTGAGGCCTCCCGGAGACTCTGCAGTGATGGAAGGCCGTCTGGACCCTGATCAGCGGGGTGAGAATAAAGCGTCTCAGAGGGACTCAGGACGACGTCCATTATCCCTCCAAACCCCGTCTGCTCCGCCGTGTCAGCACAGCTTTCAGGCTGGTGACATCGACATGATTAAGAGGATCCATTAAAACAATAATAATCCGTCCAGGAAGTAACCCCCTCCTACCAGATAACCCACAGGAACACCCAACTACTACATCTGTGGCCGTGCGTGAGTCAGACAGCACAGTGAACCCTGTCTGACTCACATGTGGCTCAGCGACCACGTCCGGCCGAGGAAATGTCACCACGATCGTCCCTTCTTCAATAACGGGAGGTTTCATGCTTCATTCCCATCAAACCGTGATAAGGACCAAATGCGTGGTGACGAACAAATGCCAATCCCAGGTTCTGACGAAGCCACGGCTGTTCTTTAAAATTGGACACATGTACGTATCGTTGGTATCATTCGGGTGTTCAGATGGAATCTATTAAAAATAGTTCGCGTGACAATTAACTGGATCGAATGCCAAAAGTCTCAAACTATATATCAAGAGTCTATGATCATATGTCGGTATTTCAGTTTGGACCGAAGGGCTCGTCTGACTGACATTATTAACGTAAAGTGATGGCATTCACTTATTTTACGCCCAATGGGCTCGGATTAAGTGCTTTAACGTTAAATAGATTTTTATTCACAATCTGCAGTCGATTGCAGCCGGTGATTCCTCGGAGTGTTATATTGACCAAGAGAACCGAGCCGGCAGCGGCTGCGCGGTACCAGGGTGCATCGTGCCCTGCTACTGATCCCCCACCGACCATCTCCTCCTGCCTTTAGATCCGCTTTGTGCGGCTCCAATAAGAGAGGCTGTATGTCGGACGCATCCAAAACCCTGCAGCGTCCATGACGTGGAGAGATTACAGGGGCATCGGATTATTTGGATTCATTGATTCAAATCGACTGCCATCACCAGCAATGCTGCTTAATCTACATTAAATACGGCAAATGTTCCACTTAAATAGCACATCGTGATCGTCTCATTACATCCAACTTTATGCTGTTACACGATTCTGTATTACACACCAAAATCACCGAGACTCTCAACACGCAAATTCAGCAGAACAGAGCAGACATCTAATACCAACAGTGACCTCAGTAGTCACACTGGGAACACAAGCTGCTTTGTGAAGTGTACTGCAATGACACTGTAGACACAGTGGGAGAGGGAGGGAGGGAGGGAGAGAGGGAGCCAGCGCTCTGACACCTCACACCTCAGAGGGGCCCAAATCCTCACTTCGCTCTGGACGAACCTTTTAGTGCGGCGAAACATGCTGCTCGTTGGGCAGAGCGGCGGCCCGCTGGGTTCGGTCGTGTTAACGTGATGCAACGTGCGCCGATGTCTGGGCAAGTGTGGGCAAGCCCCAAAGGAGAGGGAGGGGGGGGCGAGAGAGTGGCTCTGTCTCTTGTAGAGGGACAACAAAAGGCCGGCGTTTGGGAACGCGGTGTCATTCTGCGACTTATTCCCCCGTGGTTCTCTGTGCCCTCGATGGCCGCGCACTTAAAGAACCTTAAGAGCCCTTTAACCGCTGGCTAGCCAGTGAATGCAGCAGGAGGTAAAGGAGACACGACTTAGGGGGGGGGGCAAGGTCGCGTGGACTGTTGCATAACCACGAAACAGATGTCGAATGGAGTCAAACATTAAAAAAACATAACCGGTCACGACGTACTGTATGCCACACACACACACACACACACACACACACACACACACTCTTTCTCTCGGATTCTGCAGAATGAATGTGATGCCAGCTGCACTGGGCTCATCTATGATGGATGGTGGGCTCACAGCGCCCTACGGAGGGAGACGGGCCGGGTCCTAACAGAAGATGACTCAACAGGGAGGGAGAGAGAGAGAGAGAGAGAGAGAGAGAGAGAGAGAGAGAGAGAGAGAGAGAGAGAGGGGCATAAATGGAACGTGGTGTTGGAGAGGGAAAGATAGCGGTGAGATGGAGAGGAGGGAACAAAGTAGAGTGGCCCTCCTGCTTCACTTTGTGTGCGGTTACCCATGAGCACTTGGGACGAAGGGGCAGCGAAGAGAAGATGGATGGAGCCACTAACACACACACACACACACACACACACACACACACACACACAGATTCACTCTTACTCAGCTGAGCAAAGAGATTATAATAAAAAGATTTAAAAAAAAGAATAGAAGCGTTAACATGCTATTGGTCTGATTAATAGACTAATAATCTATACGCCCCACACGGTCAGATAACGCGCACACGCTAACGCGAGTCAGATTAAGAGATCGATACTACTCTCATGACTGTGTCCTCTGTGGGTTGAAGCCTTTTCACGCGGTCATATCGTTGATGGTAACATTTTGGTCAAAGAAGCGTTAAGTAAAAGTACCAAAAGTATCAACAGAAAGTTGTACTTGAATTATCCAAAGTACTCATAGTGCAGCACAATAGCCCCAGTGTGACATTACCACACACTGGATTATGGGATTATTATCACTGGCTGGTGATTTTGTCCGCTGCATTTGTTGGTAGTGGATGAAGCTGAAGCTACGGACTACTCATACAAAATAATGGGGTTCTATTTAAAACCGTAGTCTGAAATGAAAGTTCCAAAGCCTTTGAATTTCTTTGCTTTTGGGAGTTTTAACTGTGCTGAATAACGGTCTGAATGAGTTATTTTAACTGTTTTTCATTTAGCTTTTTTTTATACATAATTGTGCCTGTGGGTTCGCTAAAGCTGATGGCCGTTATGCTGAAGAACTAACAACACACATATGTGTGTAAGGGGGAGATAGAGAGGCGAGTCAGAGAAGGGATTTAGAAAACAGGGTTAGGTGGAGCGCAGCCAAACGGCGGAGGGGTAAGAATGTGAGGGGAATAGAAACAGATTAATAAGCAAGCAATGGAGGAGAGGAGCGGGGAGATAAACACGAGCAACTGAGTCCTGTAGCACCGCGCACCCCCCCGGGGCCCCCGCAGCCCCCGGCTGGCTTTAATCAGACTCCGTCAGACCCCCTTCTCATCCACACACTGTGTGCAGCCCCCTCGGAGCGGTCGACCCACAACAAGTAAATCAGGCTCGGCAGCTTCCCGCGATGTGTTTGTTTTTTGAAACTGGCCTCCCCCAGAGGGGGGGGGGGGGCCCAGGGGGAAGGGTGGGGGAGGGAAACACTCACCTGCTGTTCTTGCGAGGCAGGGGCAAATCCTTCTGGAAGAAAGTCCAAAAAAAGAGAAAAAAAGAGATCAGGTACAAAACAAAATTCCATAAACACTTTTATTTGAGCAATAAAGTTGCACGACGTCTAAAGAGGCTGTTAAGTTCCCTTTTAAGTTGTCTTTATTTGGATGTTGGGATTTTACGTAAACATTTAAGAAGTCATGGATTCCTTGGCAGGTAGAGAGAAAAAAGTAAACTCGTGTGTTTATATAAAAAAAGATCCCAGAAGCCAATTAGCTTCGCAGACGTAGCAACAGGATGCTAAAAAACGAGATACCTTTTTAAACCACTCCAAGGACTACGAGGACATGCGGATTGGGTGAAAAAGGTCCCGACCCTCAAACGCAGATTGAGTGATTGGCCAAAATGACCTGCCAACAAAACATGACAGATCGTTCATTTCATTGTCTTTCGATCCACAGTTGATGGTGGTTCACTTTCAGACCGTGATCCTTGTAACCTTTTTTTGGTGGTGATTTAGTTTGACATTCTGGAAGAATCCTTCATATGCACATTGAGGACCACACTGTCTGCTTCGCTGAAATCACCTTTACATAGATAAGATCCATGGAGGGAGTGCTGTTAGTACACCGGTTGGGGGCGGGGCTTAGTGGAGGGTCTGAACCTTGGACTTTTGGAGGCCTGGGGTTCAGAAGATGACCAACAAGTAGTCAAAGAAATAAACGAGACTAGAACCTACTGCAAAAATGCAACTGTATTCACATGACGTATCAAACTATATGTTTTCTACCGTTGGAGCCTCCCTCCCTCCCTCCCTCCCCCTCTGTCCTCTCATCTCCTGAGACCAGATGGACAGAGCACATTACGCAGCACAGCACAACACTCGCTGCACCAAAATGAAAACAGTTTTTGGAGCAGAGCCCGATCTCATGCCAGCACAGCCTGGCTCTTTACAAAGCGAGATGGAGCGACGTGGAGGGAGAAGGGGCAGAAGGTGTAAACAAGGGTGGAGTAGAGAGACAGAATGAGAGATGAATCATGCCCACAGCCGTACCCGGAGTATTCTTGCCAACAGCTCGCTGAGTGTCTGTGTGTGTGTGTGTGTGTGTACTAGAAAGGCTGCTTTAAGTGTGTCAGATGTGAGCCATCGCACATTATACAGCAGCAGATGCAATTAATGCATGAGCCGCCTCACACCCTCTCCTGCCACACGCAGGGTGATGCTGTTACGGTGCCGTTAGCATCGCACCGACCACCTTCTAACCACAGTCAATGCAATTAGAATGCTAACCTTCAGATAAAGTGTGCGTGCATTAGTCTGTGAGTGCGTATGCATGCGTGTGTGTGTGTGTTGCTGCTGCCGCTGATCTCCACTGAAACGTTTGAGTAAAGTGTGGCCGCCTGAAAGCTGCGTGTTACAAGGAGAGTGTCAGTGACCTGCCGAGGAGAAAGCTCAGGATTAAGGCTCCTCAGTCTACCAAACTCAGTGAAACCCCCCGATAAGAAGAATAGAAAAACAGTCATCTTCACGAGCCGGTCGGAAGCTACACGGCGATTCCACCGCTTGTCTCCAGGGTTTAAGTTGTTTAACAGAGACAAATCCCTCCTTACGAGGACATCTGAATATTCCACCCATTGATCCCTCGCTCACTTTGTCCTTCATCGATCAGGCTAATTGACCCTGAGCAGTCAGAGCCGAGGGGCGGGTGACTTACAGGAGCGAAGCCAACTGTGCAAACAAGCCTTGACCAAGCGTTCCAGAGCGGCGGCAGTCGAGTGCAAACAAAACCACGTCATGTGACACGCCATGAACCCTATTTCCATGTGTCAGTAAATGTACATGGGGGCAACAAAAATAAGGGTCTAAAGAAAGCGAGTGTGACATGAATATATGTTGAATCTAACCGTATTGCAAACAATCAAAGTGCTTTGATTGGAAATATTTTTTGGTTTGTTGGTCGGTCAAACACAGATCGACACATCTCAGCAACGGTTGGAATGATTACTGTGTCGCTAGAAAGGTTTTAGTGGTCAAAAGCACAATAAACACAAGATCCCCTGCCTTAAACTCCCACAGAGCCCACCGCTCGTATGTGGGAGTCCAGACGCGCGAACACCTGCTTGCTGTCCATCAAATGCCTCTGTGGGACTATTTAAGGCGTGTCTAGAAAATAGAAAGCATAGAAGAGCCAGTTGGCACATTAAGCACGTGCAGCCGTCTGCCGGTGCCTGAAACAATAAACAGACACAATGAACTTGATGCTCCCTTTCATCCCTTGGACTCCTGGCCTGTAGCACGTAGCTCATCCAATCAACCCTCAGGTGACGTGGCCTTTATTAACACAGTGGAAATTCCATTAAAGTGGTCCACTGTCACACTCACTTTATTATAGCTCTCAGTAATCAGTGTCACATAGTCTCTATCTCCCAGATGGTACCCACATAATCCCCAATTCCATTTTACATTTGCAAAGCGATGAGAGCGAGACGGAGAGAGAGAATTTTCCAGTTCCGACTCAGACGTGTTCAGCGGTCGTCGCGGCGGCTTTCCGACGTGCCCCGAGTGACTCAAAGTCTTTTTCCGTTTCCCGCCCGCAAAGCGAAGACTAAGCAGCCCAAACATCATCAAGGACGTATTGTTCTCTGCTCGCAATCAGCTCCTGGAGGCCAAATTATCCGCGGCTCAATTCTCTTGTGGTGCAATTAGTGTGTCAGAATTCGGCGCTGGTTGCTCGGCCGCGTTTCCCACGTCACAGCGCGTCCTTAAGAAAACAGGTCGACGTCTGAGGCTGACGCGTGGTGGCGTTTGCAGCTCTCTCAGAGTCCCATTAAAGGAAGTCTGGCGGTTGGTGGCGGGTGACCGACGAACAGATGGGAGGCCCTGTCACAAACATGACGTGGCCGGCGATCGCGGATTAAAAAGCCAAACTGCTCGGCTGCACACGTGCTGCGTTCTCTGACAGGAAGCGCTTGTTTTTCCCCCTCCCTCTTCCTCTTCCTCTTCCTCTTCCTGAGGTTTGAGCATTCCGCCATGAGGTCACCTCGGGTTTGCAGACACAGGTTGGGCTTTTTAGTGACGGACCCGCAGATGGCCGCTTTGTGTCAAAGCATGTTGTCTTTGACCGGGAATAACCTTGGAAACGGTTCGACTGTATTACTCCTACGATCTGTGTGTGTGTGTGTGTGTGTGTGTGTGTGTGTACTGTATGTGTCTGTGTGTTTATGGTGGCCTCATGTTGAGTCACTCCGGATGAATCATTTGGTAATACACTTAACCGTAAAGGCCAAAATACGCAGAAATGAGAAGGATACTGAAATTTACCATAAATCCTCTCTGCGTTTTTCTGTTTTTTAGATGGTAACATGTTAATTGAACCATTCAAATGTAACACAATGGATCTGGGATGCTATTTCTCAACCATAGCGAAGTCAAGTAGTAGTCAAGGATTTACGAATGCGGCCTCCTGCTCCATGTTTTCCTGTGTGACAAACCTAAAAAAGAAAAACGTTTTTTTGCTGTTGTGTCCTTCAAGTCCTCCTTCCTGCACTAAAGAAACAAAAGAAAAAAAAGCTCCATTCATAAAAGAAAAGGCGTCAGCTGAGCTGCGTGCCTGTAAAGCAAACTGCAGCTCGGTCAGGACGGGTTGCCCGGTCCAATCATTTTGTGGACGCACCGCGCAGAAGAAAAATGGTGGGGCGTTGGCGCCCGGAGACGGACAATGAGCATCAATCAAGGACTGTCCTGCTGCCAAGACACTGTGACAGGACCGGTCATCATCTCCAGCATCCGACGGCGTCTGACTAACGGTCTTGGGTTTGACAGATGGAAAAGGGGGAGGAGGCTAATGAGTGTCATGTGCATACGACGGCGGTCTGCGCTCCTATCGGTGCCGCCATTTGTCTTGCCTATATTTAATTACGGGAACGTCATGCCTGTGACGACAATGACCGATGAGGAGAAGTCGAGGCCGAACAGACAAATAAGTAAATTTCTAAGCTCCTTTCACGTGTCTAAAAATATAATCAAAATGTCCCTTTGAATGTTTTATATTTACGGCGAGGTTTGATTCCATTGAACAGTTCTTAGCTTAACACAGGTGTTGTTAAAGAGGTCACGTGTGTCGATAGCATATCCAGTAGCCCGAGGCTTATACTGTATCCCCAAAAAACATTTCTCCTTGGTAGTGACATAATAGCCATTGTAGTTGATATATTGTTGAACAAAACGGGTCAGTGTTTCCATACAGACGACAGGGAATCTATAGATATCATTCTCTAAATGACACAACGTGCAGCTCGCACAAATATTTTTAGTTCCCGCTGTGGAAGCAATGCATCACCGGTGTGACCCCTGACCCCAACTGCTAGGGAGCAGGGGGATGTCCTCACCGTATTCTGCTAAAAGAATGATTGTGTGTATCAGATGAAGAGAGGAATAGAGAGGGGGAGTAAAGGTTGGGATGATGAGACCCGTGGGAGTGACAACAAGGCCTTTGAGCAGGACATGTACAGCCAATCACACACACACACAGACACACAACAAATAATCTATAGAATGCCAGGGACATAGCGAGTCGGACTCCTCTGTGATTCATTTCCTTTCCTGTCGTACATCTCGGTGGGAGAGCAGTGAGCGCCACACCTCACTTCTAATCCTCCCTTGATTCCTTTACACACACACACACACACACACACTCCGTATCTCAGGAACAGGGGTCAATTTTACCTCCGAGGAGCTCAGAGCTGCAGCTGAGAGAGCACTTGCTAGACATTCCTCCCTTCTTTTCAGCAACATAACCACCGCGTTCCAGAAAACGAATGCTCATATACTGCTGCTCTCCGCCCCGGCCTGCAGGCTGCTCATCCCCGATCAGTTCACCCGACTGAATCACACAACGATGGGGTGGGGGGGTAAGGCCCGTGTACAAGCAGCCTGCTTCATAATGGATGAGCGCTGTGGTTTGCACGCGTCATATCTGCACGAGTGACGACTCATTAGCAGCATTGGGTGAAGGAGACGGCTTGAACTAATTGGAGTGATCCTAGCGAGCTGTGTGGTGATGTCAGGAGATCATAGGGGATGTCCTGTATTTCTAAACACAAAAGAAAACAAGTGTGACCTCATTGGGAGGAGACACAGGGCAAGGATAACACCCAGTAGTGATGAGACTGCAGATTAATGTTTTCCCCTGCTCTGATACGGCGACTGAACTGAAATTTAAAAAAGGCAATTATTCACATTCTCACAGTAAAGTCTAACAAAGTAAATATATAAAAAGCTTTGACATCCCCTTGAATTCCGGGGCGGTCCTGATGTTTTATCGACCAAATAACCAACTGAATACTGAGGGAAATCATGAATTAATCATGGAACTAACTGGCATGGGAATACTGAGGCCTGCAGCTATAGGTTAACTTGCATTTATGTTGAAGTCCTAAATAAAAATTACAGTAACTTGTCATATGAAATTCATAAATATGTCAGTGGACCTATGACACGGGTTGTGTGGCCCACATCTGGAAACAATGGGAAACCATTCGTTTGGTAGTAAGAGACATATCAAAGGATGACAATCTGCCGTGAGGAGGAAGCAGCTCACCTGCAGCCTCCGGCGCCGGATTATCCCCGAGTCATCCATGGCGCAACGAGGAGGGGGGCGGAGGCTTTTCCCCTCACTGGAGCAATCTCTTGAACCCACCCGCACTAGCAGTTGTTTGAACCCGGGAGGGCTGCGGCATGCACCGGTTCACACCCGAACCCGCACAGCGGCAGCCGCCGCGTCCTGGCGCGCTCGGCGTCGGGTCGAAGAAGAAGCGCAGGGAAACGCAACAATGTCAAGCAGTCCCGCTGCGCTCGGTTCCAAGCCGGTTGTGCCTCCGCCTCACTTGTGTTCCGTGTCCCCGGTGCTGCCGGTCATGCTGCTGTCTCCCTCTCGGAGCATCTTTTTCTCGGTTTTTTTTTTATGTGCGCCTCAGCGACCGGGAGGCCGAGCGTGATCCAAGTTGTGCTCCGGTTGCCCAACAACAATCTCCCAAAGGAAATGCAAGGCCAACAAAGGACATCGGGTGCAACAAAAATGAAGATTTTCACACACCACTGCGGCGCCGCTCCGAGACGCGCTTCATCCTCGAGCCCGGGCCGACGTCGGGCCACTGATTCGCCGCGGAGGAGCCCGTCTGACACCGTCGGCGTCGCCGGAGAGTGACGTTTCCTCCCCTCGCTTCGCCTCCGAAACGCCGCGCAGCCACGTTTGAACTGTCGGTCCGCTTCCTTCACCTCCTCGGATGTGGGTGACTGGAAGGGGAGACAGCAGCAACGCGATATTTACCCCCCTCTCCCTTCTACCCCCCCTTCCTTCCTGGGATTCCCTCTCGCCCCTCCTCCTCCTGCTCCTCCTCCTGCTCCTGCTCGCACGCGCAGTGTCCTGAAGGGGCGTCCGACCCGCGCGCACACACCGCCCGCCCCGTTTAGAGACTTTGTTTGTTTGTTTGTTTTTGTTTCTTCTATATCTTGAACATGTCGTGGGTAACTCGAGTTCACATTTGGGACATGGAAGCCCCCCCACGGCAGCGTGGGTGTGGTGGATGTGTGTACTACGGAGGCCGGTTAGAGACACGTTCAGCACCGCGGACAGCGACAGAAACTGTCCCCCTCGACATTAATGCAATAAACTGTGTCATTACCTCCCGGGTTCAATACAATTCACATCGATTCAATTTAGTTTGTACTGTTCAAAATCACAAATGACAAATTGGCGCCTGAAGGCTTTACTGTCAGCACACGTGAGACATCCTCTGTCCCAGAACCCTCTCATCGCTTAAGGGTTAAACACAGGCTAATGTAGGCCACATGGTTAATATCTATGCGTATATTAAATATAGGAAACTCAATGACAAAAACACATTTATTTGGCTGGTAAATGGAGGCCAGAACCATAGATTTATTTCCCCTAAAAGGTAACTGCGCATGTCAATGGGTCTGACGCTGCAGTGGAGCCAGACCTTTGTGGGGCGTTGACACGGTGTTGTACAAATACGTCTCTCTATGCAAGACTGCGGTCAGGTTTACGTATGTTAGCACATATTGACAAACCACAAGAGCCTGTGGCCCAAAAAAAAAAAGAAGGCCACGCTGGGCAACACAATGTTTCCACCCACGCCATTACTTCCATGATTGACAGGGCGGTTGGCCCTTTGGCAATGTCATTTCATGGTGTCTTGCTGGGGATTAGGACTTTTACACTGTTTTTATGTAACATATGTTCCAGGCTGCCCACACAGCCACGACCTTGTCTGTGCCAAACACAGCAAGAAATCAGCAACATATTGTCAAATCCCCGACCGGCAGACCGATATCAAAAGGAAATTGGCAGAAAGACGGCAGGAAGACGGCAGAAAGACGACAGGAAGACGGCAGGAAGACGGCAGGAAGGCTGTTGGTCCGCATTCAAATGACTAACAAACAATTCGACTTTGCACGGAAAAGGCTCTGCAAAGAATTGTTAGCTTGACTGACAAACAAAGTATCCTTTTTGGCTTCATTTTGTTCTAACCTTTACCTCAATAGCTCAACCAACTAAATGCCTGTTTAGTTGGTTCACACACATCAAGGGGAAAACCAATCTAACCAATTCTTTGTGTATAAAAGAAGTCGATTGGAGCTGACGTAACAAACAAATGTACATATTGCAATTCCACAATGTCCGAATCAACCTGTCCCTTGTCGTAGCAGAATGTGTTCAGAGACCCACAGTAAAAACCCTGTAAGCAGGCAGCTACTTGTTAGATTAAATGGAGCTGTCAGGGCCGTCTGGCTGGCAGTCGGAGAGCCAGATCATCTCGGTGCTGATGGCAGTACTTTGTTCTGCAGCTCAGTAAACCCGGACAAACTCCCACAGCGCTGTGGGCTCCCTCTGCTCCCGTTTCTGCTGTCAAAGTCTAGGAGCGTCGCCTGTGCCGCAGTGGGGCCGCCGGTGGGCCGCCGGGCCACGTAGCAGGAAGCTGAGGCTATTGATTTCCACTCGGGCCCCAAGGAAGCTGCATCTCTCTGTAACAAAAACCCAGAGCAGGTGGAAAGGCCGCCTGGGGGGAGCCACGCTTCATTGAGTTTTATAATGTGGTCATTATGGCAGCGGTAGAATAGAACACAGGCGCGATGCTGCTTTCTCGACCTCTTGCGTAATCATTTTTTAAAATCCCTGTGAGTTTGGAGAGTAGCAGATGCTCGGTCATTGTTTGGAACAAACTCAAGGACAAACCCTCCTGACTACCCCCGTTGTTATATTACAAAGAATCACTCAGATCCATCTATAAGCAATATCATCTCCCGCTGAAACAAAATCAAATAGTATGTAGCTAATATATAGGGATCATATAGTTAATGGCACAAGTAGTGTAGTTTGTGCTCATGACCACCCTATATATACTTTCTATATACGTTTGTTCCAATGCCTCGGGAGGTTTTGGAACCCCCCCAAAAAGCAACAATACTCGATTAGCTTGCAACTCCAAGTGCAAGCTAATGCCCCTTAAAATGAACACGGAGTAGTGTGGAAAGTTAAACCACCAGGGGTCAACTGGGTCATGGTGTTAAGGTAAACCATTACCTTTTCTGCTGCTAGTTTTCAACCACTGCATGTTTGAATAGTGTTCAGACACACTTTGACGCACATTTCCCCTTCTTGTCCCCTCACGCAAACAACCACATGTTTACATCAGTGTCCGACTTTCCAGGAGACAGACGTTTGGACAATCGTCTCTCCCTGCTGTCTTCTGAAGACCTCAACCTGTTAGAGAGTCATTGTTGGGATGATCTGGCCGTTGAGACTCACTCAGAAAGGATGATCATTTGAGATTTTTGGAGTATTTATGTTGGGCTTCTGTTGGGACAGAAGGTATTTGCTTTTTTAAAAAGCACACATGGTGTTGGTACATATTCCACCACACACACACACATGCATACAAAGGATTGTAGCAGATGGGAACAGTGAAGCTTGACTCAGATGACTGACAAACAGCAGTAAAGCTGCCAATCCTTAGTGCACAGAGCATCAGCAAAAAACAGGAAGCCAACTTCCAAGTACATTAGAATTATTGATGAAGAAATCCATAAATAAGGCTGGTTTGTGCACTAAAGATCCCGTGTTCCCTCCCGAAAAAGGCAAAAATGGATCAATGAGGGACTCCAAGGGTACTGAATCGTAACGACTTTGTCAAGGTTAATGTGCGCTGTTATAAACAGGTACGACCTGTGTCCACCTGTTCGACACCCTGGATTCTGCATTTTTAAGCGTCCGTTGGTTCGATGGCACTCGGTGGTCACGCACCATAAATCCTGTTGGTCGGTGTGAGATGAGAAAATGTCCAAAAGCTTGTTAAAGCTGCGTTTCCTATTATTTTACAGCGTCAACAACTCCAAATGGCCGGCACGGTGGCACGGTGGCGTGGTGGTTAGCACTGTCGCCTCACAGCAAGAAGGTCCTGGATCTGACTCCAGTGGCCTTTCTGTGTGGAGTCTGCATGTTCTCCCCGTGTCTGCGTGGGTTCTCTCCAGGTTCTCCGGCTTCCTCCCACAGTCCAAAGACATGCTCTGAGGATCAGGTTAATTGGGGAAATTGCACGTGGATGTGAGTGTGAATGGTTGTATGTCTCTGTGTTAGTCCTGCGAGTGGCTGGCGACCAGTCCAATACAATAGACGGACTTCGGACAATAGACAGTCCGAAGTTGGCTGGGATGGACTCCAGACCCCCCGCGACCCGGCGTGCAGGATAAGCAGTTTGAAAATGGATGGATGGAACATCTCCGAATGAGTGATCTGCTCCACTCTTTTAGTGAATTGTGTGTGTCTGTTTTTGTGCGTTGGTGTGATGGGTGCGGACTGAGCTCACGTGTAAACGCACAGACACACACACATGATTCCTGTGATGAGAGAGACCTCTAGAGGATCATCATTACCAGCAGACAGACGCAGTGGGAGCAACAGGCCACCTGACCATCAGTGTGTCTGTGTGTGTCACTATTGTGGCCATTGTGGAGGATTGGGTGAAATTATTCAAAGCCTCTTTGGGCTTTCTGTACCCCGGCAGAGTTTGTATCAGCAATAGATAAATGTGAAGCTTTGTTTGTTGGTTTTGCCATTTCACCAGCAAAGAGTCACCACTCTGCCACCTTGTGGTGAAGGATGGCAGTGCAATGGAGGCATTGCTTGACCCTGCAGTGCGTTGCAATCTGGGAAAGGGTGGATTCATTTTCATTTTAATGTAAAATCCCCAAACTAATCATGCCGCTGACAGGAAGAAAAAGGCGTAAATAAAATTAAAAACAAAAATCGACAGAAGAATGTTGATTAATTCCTGCTTTGGGCCTATTTTCACACGCATTCAAAAGCACACGTTTCTCCCTGTGTGAGATCAATCAGCGTGAGCACTGGACTTAATCTGCAGCCACTTACTCGGTAAACCGATCAGAGGTGAGGTTGAAATACTGATTAGTGCAGATTAAGTGAAGACGTTGAGGCAAACATAAAACACGACACATTTCTTTTGTTCTCATCTCTCGTCTTCTGCCCCTTTCTTTGAAAACAAAGATTACACAGAACAGCCTCGGATGACAATGTTTCAATCTTTAATCACACACACACACACACACACACACACACACACACACACACACACACGTACACACGCGTGCGCGCGCGCGGACTGACGTCACCGATAAGAAGGCGAGACAGCAACAGCGGGCATTGTGGGTAATCCTGTTGACCACCGTGCCTGATTGTGAATGGAGAGGCTCCTCTCCAACGCTGGCAGCAGGAGGACCCAGCAGGACGCCCCTAAAGCCTCCTCAGCACCGCATCACTCACCGCTGCTCCTGACAAATGGGCAGCGTAAGAGGATTGCCGTGTTCACTCTGGCCCAAACGCACAAGTGAACGCCGAATAACGGAGACAAAGACGCGCACAGACGCACGTACACACTCGCCCCAACCACAAACAGACGCACACAAGGTCAGCGGATCCCGACGCGCAGAGACAAGATGATATCAGAGCAGTGGAGCGGGAGTGGCCGCCGGTCTATAGTGCGCAAGGCTGAGCAAACCTATTTCAATAGCACAGCTCATGCATGTGTCAGGTTAGTGCTGCACGGACAAACACAAGTAACCAGAACGTATACAGCATTTACACACGTGGAGGCAAAACTCATACAGGAAGGGGAGAAAGAGTCTCACCCAGTGACAGAAACAAGCTCTATTATTCTTGTGACATCCTTAATGATGTCATTAATCTGGTAAACTCATTAAATCATTTTATTAACTGGAATGGGAGATGTGATGCATAAAGTTGAGTTATCATTATGATTAATGTCAATAATATGACCTGGAAGATGAATGCAAAGATGTGGAGCTGCTTATGAAGCCTTGGACGGTACGTTGTACCTTTTTAGACCCACTCAACTCTATTCAATCCGACGCGCTGCACTGAAAGTCAAAAGAAAGAGGGCAAAGGTTTTGTTTGCATCTAAGCTTCTGCAAACAGTGTTCTGATCTGTACTAGTTGTGTGATTCTGACTCAATCTAAATTGACCATGACAACCATTGCTGGCTACATAATTATTATAAAGCAACACTATTTTTTCAAGGATGTCACAGTCGAGATACTTTATTTCATAAATGAAAAGGCTCTGATAAGTGTTTTGTTGGTTCAAGGTAATGTCAACAACACTGATGCTGAGCGAGCTCGAGCTGCTTCCTTTGTTGCAACAGGAAGAACAGCTGGAAGAAAAGCAGATGCTGACGGAGTACCAAGCTTTTAGAGTGCAAGTAGATGAGTTGAGTCAAAGGTTATTTTCTTAATTATATACGTGTCGGCTTTCGTCTGATATTGTACATCTAAATTGATATAGATATTGCAGGCGAAGGCCCAGCCACAGGTCTTAGTCCCTCAAATAATTGTTGAAGAGGCGCACACATGCACGGCTAAGCCTATTTCAATGACGCAAAGAGTCCTTCAAGATTACACAACAACATCCAAAACGTAGCACGCGGCTGCGGCTTTGTGCCCCGACTAATGCAACCGCCACTGACCTTCCGCACGTGCACGGGGCGCTGGTTTGGTCACATTTGAATCTTTAAAAACAAGCCGACAGGAGGACAGCAGCGGTGCGGACACAGGGACGTTTGTCTGAGCTATGGGACAAACACGGCTGTTTCTCTGGACATTCTTCAGCCCTCCATCTGTAGCCGCAGAGCCGCAGCTTGTAAAACAAACATGAATCTGTCCTCCTGTCATCGTCCCAAAGGCGCAGCTGAAGCATTACGTTCCTCTGCGGCCCTTCGCCTCCTTAATGTCAAAATATCCAGCCTGCTTGTGAGTCAGAGACTCTCGTTTCACGTGCAGTGTTTCATTTCTCCGGCTAGGGAAACCCTTCTTATGTGACTGGAGGAAATGAGAAACGATAAACAACCGGCTGCTCCAAGAGAATAATAATCTAGATATGAGAGAGATTATGAGGACAACAATATACAGAAGCAGCTGCTTTGAAGTCGGCTTTCTGCCCACAAACCGAATTTCTTCTACACATTTTCCAGGAACGTGTGAAACAACTTTTCAGTTTTTCAGTTGGAAACCTTTTCTTTATGATTGATATGTTCACTGAAGTCAAGTTTCCTTCTCTTGTGCGATGGATAAGAGAGTGAGAACAAAATACACCTCTTAATTTCACATCTTCATCCATTTTCATTGCCTAAAACCCAATAGATAAAACACTTTAAATGGAACATTCACATACATTTCTTATATAATAGGGTTAATACATGAAACAAATCAATGGAAGGTCCACTAATACGGATGATCATCTCCTGTGGTAAGCCATTGCTGACTGTATTCAAACGCAAGGAATCTGACACTTCCTGCTCCCTTCAATGTAGATACAGTGTGTACTTCATCCACAACACATCTCAACAGATGCCCAGACAACACAAGCTTCTTTTCTTTTCAGGTGTATTCATTGAAATCATTCTGACCTTCCAAAGCGAATGCAGTAGATTTTTACTTCAGAAATATATTACATTTACGTTGAAATTGCTACTTTGAAGTTTGAGTTAATAGATCTGTGAAACCAACCTGAAAGGTGCCATTAAACAACGGGGTTCGTGTTGCAGATGGGCGGCAGGATCCGCGAGTGATGATTTCTTAAAGCATAGACTGTATTCAGGGTTCGATGCTCCGCTTGGTGCTGACCTTGGTCCTGAAACACAATCAAGGTCGGACTGAATGACTTCTGTTCCTTTTATTACTGAGGCCCGTCTGCACAGTTTGCACTGCCGGCATGAGCGCTAGTTAACTCTGTCAATCTCCCACGGGTGTCATTGGCGTACTCCGGCACCCAGCTGCGTCTGGGAATTTGACGTGTGCTAACAAGGCCAAGAAGATAAAGACGCATGCGGCGAGGAGGCGAGCAGGTCGACCATCCCGACAGACGGACAACCTGTGCTGTTGCTACCCTGAGCAGGAACTTTGGGAAACACATCCAGGAGCGTAGAATGAGGCCAAACGGCAACAAGCGACAGCGGCCTCATCAAAGACCTGAATGAACTCAAGTGGGTTCAACTCGTCTCAACTTTCTGCGGCGATGGATGTGAAGAAGGTCAAATCAACCGCTGACTCGGTTTAATCAGGTGGTGAGTGAGTGATGACAGAGGAGCCGTAGATGTTAAACAGTGAGTGGGCACAAATACTGTCTGTGCAGTGGTCCCATGTCACCACAGGGGGGAGAACTGGGACCTGCTTCTGTTTTGAATTCTAATAACAAACAGTGGGGTCACTGCGGATTGGATGTGTCCTCCAGCTCAAATCACTGTCAAAACATTGAGCACAATATACGTATTAGACTGAAAGATATGTGACTGATGTGTGAATCTATTCTAGCACGATGTAATGTCATCAAAAAGAAATAAATAGAAATGAAGCCATAAAATGAGCAGAACATTGCAGTGCTCTTTTTTGTTACGTCTGCCCCCTCAGACTCTTTGTGACATTTGTAGAAATTCTTCTTACAACCCGCGTTAGTACCACCAACCTATCTCACTAGTGACATTTCTATTAACTGAAAGGTCAATGAACTAAAACTTCCATTTAAGAACGGTGGTTTCTTACAGCACAGCCTAATATTGACCAGATGGCATTGAGCTCAAGGCGTTTCTGATGTTTCCACGGCAAAGCATTTCAAACAATTACCTGTTGCTTTTAGCTAACTTTATTTGTTACTTTTGGCTGTTTATCCATTATTTTTAGCCAACTAGCTGTTTATTTTTCACTTTTAACTAACTAGCTGTTTATCCGTTACCTTTAGCCAACTTTGTCTGTTATCTGTTCATTTTAGTTCACTATTTCAACTACTAACTGATTACTTCTAGCTAACTTTTTCAATTCTTTGCACTCCCTATACTACAGATCACTGTCAAAGTAACTAGTTAACTCAACATGATAAAGCCTTTATTTGACTTTAGGAGTTAGTTGAATAACATATCGAGTTGGCCGTGCGGTGGCTTGTTTCACTGACACAACATCTGTTAGCTTACTGATCTAATGAGGATTTTATTTTCACAGACTTTTCACACCGTTCATCACCAAACTTCATGTCGATAGTCGAGGTGTAGAGAAATAGGTCACTGGAACGACGAATAAAAAGGGAAAAAAACTCCCACTGGAGTAAATGAATGTCTTCCAGTTAGTGAGCCGACAAGTACGGGTGACGCTGTTTGCCAGCTGAGGTCCTGCCTAAGGCCCGAGCGCATGGCAGTGACCCCCCCCCCCCCCCCCGTTAAATGACAGTGACAACAAGGGTGCACAGAGAGCAGCGCCGGCCTGCTTTGTCCTCTCTCTCCTTCCCCGAATAGCTCTCACACAAAGGATATCGTTATTCCTCCTCTAATTACTAGATGGAGAGACGTTTTTTCTGCCTCTCGCTCCTCTGCTCACGCCGCAGGAATAAAGGGTGACGACCCTCAGCGTTATGAAACAGTCTGGTGGCCTGAGCGGCCTTCATTCCCCCCTTGAACTATATGCAGTATTGAATAATACTGAATACCAGTCGAGTCTCAGAGACCATTTCATCTGCTCTCAATCTACTTGTTTATGTGATGGCCAATCTGTCTGGTCCCTGCGTGGTTTTGATGCCAAAACCAATCATGTCGAAGGCATGCCACCAATTTCACAGCCGCGGCTTTAGGTGGGTGTATCTAGGCCACAAGACACTCTCCATCTGCCATCCTGTGGCCAAAAGCCTTGGGAGGTCACTCGGGGAGGGAGGGAGGGAGGGAGAGACAGAGAGAGAGAAGCACCCAGCCAGGGATTAGGTGGGTACGCCAGGTCCAACGGGAGGTGAGATTAAAAGCCAGGAGCCACACACGCATGGTGGAAAAGCCATTGGCTGGCCACAATGTTTCCGTAAAACACCCGTCAGACTGCTTGGCCTACTTCAGCGCCGCCCTGCCACTTATCCACCAAGTGGAAACAACCACCAACGTGTTTTTAGGCATTTTACTTTTTGGTAGAACTGCTGGCACTGATAAACGCTCACCAAAAAACGTGCAACCAGCAAAGGAAGCTTAACCAAACTCTTTCTTTCTGAGAGCAGGAAGGGGTTTGATGAAAGCGCAGCGGCTTCGTGGTGAGCGTGCAGTGTTTTGTTCTGCAGAGATTTGTGTTCCCCGTCCTCAGCACATCACGCAGTATTAAATCTCAGCGATACCCTCCTCTAACCCTGTCATCTGCAAAAACCCTGACCTCAGTACATGTGGATACATGAGGCTGGGTGGAGGACAGGTAGGTGACTCAGCACCCCCTTTGAGTGATCCTCTCAACATCAATGGCAACACTTGTCCTATATGGAGTATCAAGTGTGGGGTTTATTTAGGGTGTATTTCCATACAACGTTGCTTGGTCTGATGAAGGGAAGGTTGTCAACAAGTAGGATTCGGTAAACATCTCATTTGGGGAGATTAAGAAGGAGGGAGTATTTTCTCTGTGTGTGCGTGCAAGAGAGAGAGAGGGGAGGGGAGGGGAGCACTTCCCAGCATGGGGCAGAGGGAGGGGGGTGAGCCGGGTGGAGGAGACTGAAATGTCCTTCATATAAACCGGTGACAAAGTGGCGAGCGGCGGCCCCCAGGAAGCACAGATCACAGCCAGCACAGGGAGAGGCAGACAGAGAGAGGGAGGGAGGGAGGGAGAGAGAGAGAGAGAGAGAGAGAGAGAGAGAGAGAGAGAGAGAGAGAGAGAGAGAGAGAGAGAGAGAGAGAGAGAGAGAGAGAGAGAGGGGAGGACCGGAGCAGCGATCAGCATTAACAGGCGCGCGATCCACAGCAACACACCGGAGAGACGCGGAGAAAACACGCCGACACCGACGGAGGAGCATAACAACGGGAGAAACCACTCCGCACGCAGCACCTTTCACCCCGAGACAGGTAAGAGATGGACAATAACACGACGACGCGTTGGATGACGCTTGGATTAAAAATAAGGCGCACCGAATTCACGGCAACATTACGTGGATTAAATAAAAAAGCATGCTCTGCTACAGCAGATGAGACGAAAAATACCACAAAGCCAGTGTGTAAACTCACTAACGAGCGCGGACAGACTCCACAGGAAAACATGGATTTGTTCCCCACTTAAACTGCGTGATTTAAAGTTGTAGGTTTTGAAAAGATGTTCTTCCGTTGTCAAGGATATACACCGATGTCTGCACGTTACTTTTATTATTTTCTCTACAGTGATGATGATGATACCTTCAGTCTAGGTGATTAACTGCTTTATCTGTTTAATTATTTTCTAGTGATCTTACAGATTAGTTGATAGAACATCGTTGAAGGACTGTGAACAATTAATTAAAAACAAAATTGATTCAAGTAATTCGGCTTTAGACGGTAAGGTGAAACATTTCAGATTGAGAGTAAATCAGTGCGCTAAAGTTTCCCGTATTTTCTGCCGTTTCCTTTTCTTTGACATGCTTTTTAAAAAAAAAAACATTTCCACTGCATATTCTAAAAACAGGGCCATGTGACCATGTCCAACAGATTAGGGTCACACGTCGGGTTCTCAGATTAAACAAGTACGCATGTCATCAATCTCAGCACGGGGCCGCTGTCTCACATAATTAGGCTCAGCCGGTCTACTTAGCAGCCGGCCGTGGATGTCTTAAGGCGCGCACACACACACAAACACACACACACACACACACACACACACACACACACACACACACACACACACACACACACACACACACACACACACACATGGAGCAAGAATGGCACGCGATTAACAAATTCCTGAATCTGAAGGTACCACATTGGTTTATATTGCACCGCATCCGCTTTGATTGCTCGACATTCAGGTGCGTTTCTGTCTGTCGCTGTCCGACGTGCTGAACTCTTTTCCCAGACCTTTTTGCGGCTGCAGACATGGGCGTCACCTCTGGACCTCTGCTATTGGTTTGCACGTATTTGGCGGCTGCTCTGATTGGAGGAACCCGCTCGGAGGGCTTGTGTCTCCAAGATGGCAAACACAAGGCTGCGCCCGGACCGGAGCCGCAACTGACGGAGTGCGGGATCTATGCAGACAGTGAGTGGCCGTTTGAATGGTTTATGAACAACGTGAGGTGAGAATGTAGTCCAAGCGACTCTCCGGACAGGCAGCTCGCTTCAAATGTCTTTCTTGTCCCTGCTGATCACAGATAGCTGCTGCACAGAAGAAAACATCCAGGACATCTCACATGTGCCCTCCGAGGTCAATAAGAACGAACCCTGGGACAAGTGTGGGGCTCTGAGCTCTGAGTAAGTCTCACCAAGTGGATCACCTCTGAGATCATCTCAATATTTACGATAAGACGATAACTACAAGAACATTAGTCAATTTTTCTACGATATATTGTTCAATGGATCAAGGCTGTGTCACTTGATAATGTAATAAACATGATAGGCCTAATCTAACCAAAAAGTTATAGGAACTGACTGAACATTTTCTACCCTGAATCAGCTAGTAGAACAGATTTGCAACTGTTAAATGTCCCTCAGGAGCTGGTGGAGACCATAAACCAAGCAAAAAGGAGAGTGAATAAGACTTGTATTTGTCAGTTGGTGGGAAATGCGACGGCAAATAAATGTTAATGATGTGTATTTTCTAGATGTATAAATATGTTTATGTTTATTATAGTAACTTTTTCCATTGATTCCAAGAGGCCAAAAAAAAAGAGAAAATGAAAAATCATGTCAGTGGATGATGGTTCTAGTGACACACAGATGTTCGACGGCATGCAAATACCAAACTCAGACACTCTGTCACAAGGTCTTAATTAAAGACGGCACCATGTTAGTCCTAACCGCTCTGCTCCCTTCCCTAAGGTGCAAAGGCTTCCTGAAGCGCGTGTCTTGTTTTTACCGCTGCTCCCCCGATGCCGCGCGTTGGCCTCATCCCCACCGCCGCTCGTACATCCAGGCCGTTCCTCTGTGCCACAGCTTCTGCCGTGACTGGTGAGTCTCCCAAACAACTTGCCAAACACATCTAAATCACCATCAGCATCTCTCACAGCGGAATAACTTTCCGGCTTAGCATCTGCTAACATCTGAGTGTCCAATAAGCACTTGTGTGTAGCCTCGGGATTCCTGAGTTCTCTGGTACACCACACAACATATTAAAATGAGATAAGTCTAATGCTTTTGCACCTTTCTTCAGGTTTGATGCCTGCAAGATGGACATGACGTGTGCTCGTAACTGGGCCAAAGATCCCAGGGGACACAATTGCACCGGAACATGTGTTCAGTATCAGCAGGTAGGCTGTGATCGGGCATGTCTGTGGCTGCTAACATTACTGTGTTGTTGATTTTCTTCCCCTAACCATCAAAAGAAATGTGGTGTGTTTAGCCACACCCAATATATACAATATAACAACTCCTGGATGGATTGGAGATTTAGTATCCCTTGAGGATGAATTGTGCTGCATTTTGTGAACTGTTCTGTCATTACGATGACCAAAGCTTCGACAATACTGCAGGAGGAACGCAAACAGCAGCCACTATTGGGATGATTAGTGTTGCCAAATAGCTTTCAATATAATGGCTGCTGTAACAAGCTCTTTCAGTATGAACTGACGCTTTATATGAGTGCGGTTACACCACAGGTGGGGAAAGCACAGGATGTGTGTCAGAGGCTTGAAAGCCCACTGACGCACCACAACCAGGCATGTCATTTGAGCCATGCTATCTGGCCCTCTAACAGCCATGTGTTAGAGGGCCAGATAGTCAATCCGTGCTGGTGAGGGTGCGGGAAGCAGAGGGTTAACAGCCCTGTGGACTGAAGCGTGAAGAGGTTCGGTCCTGCTTCAGCGGGCAGAGGCCAGCTGGGTGATTTAAAAAGAGGCAGAGTGGCCAGTGTGACTTAGCGTCACACACCACATGCCACCACGCCTCATCCATCCAGCCAGCCGTCCAATCATCTATTCATCCAACCATCCGTTTATCCCTCCACCAATCCATCCAATCATCCATCCATGCATCCTTTCATCCAATCATCCATCCGTCAACCCATTCACCCAATCATCCATCCTTCCATCCACCAATCCATCCAATCATCCATTCAATAATTCATCCAGTCAACCCTACAGCCATCCATGGATCCATTTGTCAATCAATTCAGCCGTCCATCCATTCATCCTTCCACACATCCATTTATTCATCCATCCACAAATGCATCCACCCGTAATTCGTCCATCCAGCCACCCATTCATCCGTTTCCCTCTTTCTTTCTTCCTTTATCTCTCGCTCTCCACCACAAATGATCACAAAGCCCCAGGAACCTGTTGCCTGTTAATGCGGCTCTGTGGATGATTACTGGAAATGACCGATTTGCAGTAAGAGAGAGGGAATGTATCCTCAGAGGTTGCTTTTTGCGTTTGTGTCTGCCCATTTTTCCCTGTGGGGGGCAACTAATCGCCCTTGAGTGGCTCTCAAAACGGAGTGTTTTTAACAATTCCTGAAAACAAAGACACCCCATTCAGCACAACACAACAGATCAGGACCTCTGCCAACAAGCCCTTGCCTCTTGAAAACATTTTTCGTTTTCCCTTTGCAGGTCCCAGCAGTAAGGCTTCCTTTCTTTTTTCCTGCTAGCGGTCTGAACTCGTAGCCCTTCAGGCCTCCTCAAGGCTGCAACGTGCTTCCCAGGGAAGCAGAACTGTGAACATGCATAGACAAACCTTGTGACCAATGAGTGAGATTTTTAAGCTTTCATTCAAATGGCTTAATCCACACATTCACTATGACTGGAGAAAATCCACTTAAAACATTTATTTAAATCCTCGACGGATTCCTATTTTCTAGCAACACTTGATAAATAGGAAGGGAACCGTGGGCTACGATTGGTTGTTACAGACTAAATATGTGCACAGAAAGTGGGGATTTGTAAATGCTGTGTGCAGTGCCTGGAAATTTGCATGGAAACAAGCTAATGTATTATAGGCCACATGCACACACATACAGACACACATCCACTGCATGCAAAAATCCCCTCTGGCACCTTGCCTCACTCTGGCTTTGTACTCATTGGTAACACTATTTGCAAGCCAAGGTCTGATTTATCTCGGCTTCAGACACTCTCTCTGCTCCGGGTTTTGTGGGAATGAGGTTACGTCTGCAAAGAGTTGCCGTGTCCGTGCCAGGCTCTGGCACAAAAAACACATCTAGAGCGGCATCTGCGGATGAGAAAGTGAATTTATGGTCTTGGTATGCGAACATTCATATGAGGATACTGAAGGTTAAATCCAGGAAATGACTGTGTAAATATTTTGTAAACCAATTGGATACTGGCTGGGTGCCTTCAGGAAAGAAATACTGACAATGAGGCGGTAACAAATGAGTCATTTGGGTTGGCGTGCAGTGTGCAAAACAGCCCATCACCAAGAAAAAAGCCGTTTTTGAAAACCAGACAAACGTTGAATGTTTTTGTATTTGGTTCGGCGCATGTGATGTTACATAGGACAACGAGCCATTGAAATAAACAGTTAGGTGGTAAAAAAATCATGTGGTATAATCAGGTAATAAGTCCAGGTAGTCCACTGAGGTGGCAGAGGGGGGGCGTGGGGGCGGTGGTAGATGGGTCGGTCACACACAGGACTTTCACCAAGAACTGTTTGTGTTCCTCGTGAGAAACTGTCAAGTTAGCATTGCTACGCTACGTTAGCATTGTTATGCTACGACGGCGCTGCTAGGTTTGTTACGTAACTGTATGTAGAAGAGTGCTGATATGATTTATTCACGCTAGTTATGTGTTTGTTGCTGTTGTGTTACATTCTTGAGCTGTTATATTATTATCCAGGACCTTTTTTGATAGTCAAAGTCACATAAAATGTAATAAATCATAGAATCTAATACAAAAACACAGAAAAGTTATATAAGTTCAATGTAAAAAAGTAGTAATGGAATGAAAAACTAGAAACGAAGTGATGTAAGGGCTTTAATCCGTAGCTTATAGGATGTCATTTCCCTTTAACTACCTCTACCAATTACATTTTGTCTCAAAATCCTTTGTATACTGTCCTTGCTTGGATGTTATGTCGTAGCTTTCGGACAGAGAGGGGTAGCGTTCTATAAGATAAGGATGGGTGAGACAGAATACAGCCCCGGGGAATTTCCGTATCTCACTTATTTGATCACATCTTGTCGTCTGCAGCCACTTGTGCTTGTAGTGAATTAGCTTTGGCAGCAGACCCTGTCTGCCTGGGGAAGGACAGAAAAGGGTGTGTGTATATATGTGTGTGTGTGCGGCCCCGTGTGTATAATGAGGTCGCTGGGATGAGACCTCGGCGTCAGGCGCAGAGTATATGTAGTGGAGAGAAATGGCCGCCATCCTCTTTGTCCTTCAACCACAGAAAACATATTACAGCTCTTTTCTCCTCCGATCCCCCTGTGGGACTTAGTCTTAATCCCCCAACCGGCAGCAGGATGAAAGGAAGCAGACGTCGGGGTGTGGGTGTGCTGCAGAGAAAGACGCAGAGGAAGAGAGACAAACAAACAGTGAGGGGAAGCAATGAGAAAAGGAAATAAGATCCGGTAGAGTGGAAGTTAGATGCAAAGTTACATCTTATCGATGACGTAATGGTTTACAAGGCCGGCAGTAAAGACAGAAAACACCAAAGAGAAACAAAAGTGAGTTGGTCACTCCAACTTCACTAATTAGTTCCCACTGCTATTTAGACGCGAGTAGGGCCGCGCCATTTACGTTATTTATTTATTTTTTTGCTGCGTTGTGCAAAAACCTTTTTAATCCCCGCGTTTACCGCATTAGGGAGGAGTATCATTTTTCATGATCCAGAAACCAGAAGGCTGATGCTCAGAGTATAACTTTACAAAGACTAAGGGCTGTAACGCCTTTCAGACAGCAAACACTAAAGCTCACCAATAAGTTCAAGTTCTGTTGGTCGGCTGTACGAGGCTCGACAGAATTGTTGTCCTACCGTAACGACAGAGATGACTTCTCTCGGATTCCGGCGTGAGCCTTGTCAAGGTCATCATGTTGTGTTCTCAGGGCTCACAAGGTGAGGCGGGCGAGCGAGAGAAAGAGGGAGAGGGGAGTCGTGCGGGAAAGCAGCTGCCAGGTGCCTGCAGACCCCCGAGGCACCTGGAACAGGCTGTTTGTTCGCCAAGGCCGGCGCTGCCCTAGAAGCCCAAAATCAATCACTCCGATAAATGATTACAAGCTAAGAAAGGCCGTACCTCACAAATGTTGAATTCTTTTCACGTTTACTCCAAAATACAATACCAGTTTGGAAAGAATTGGTGTCGCCTTCACCCCAAATGTCAACTAAATGAGACTCAAAATAGAAAAACGCCCCAAAAAAGCATAAATAGACTACAATATGTAGTCTATTTGTAGTCTACAAAGACAAGGCAACAAAGACAAAGAGGCACAAAACAGCTGCAAAAAACAGAGATCCTCAAAGAGAATTATGGGAAGAGGCAAAAACCACACAAAGGGGACACAAAAAGACACAAAGTGACGACAAAGAGATGAAAAATGACTAAGAACAGAAGCAAAATCACCACAAATAGTATGAAGCTAAAGGAGCAAAACGATTGCAAAATAACTACAGAGGGACGCAAAACACCAAGGAGCAAAATGCAAAACAGATGCAAAGAAGCCAATAGACCACAAAGACTTTGTATCTACTCTACATATGTCGTGTGTGCGTTTGCCTCCAGATGTACCAGCACGGCAGGGACCTCTGCGAGAGCCTGTGGGGGGACGCCTTCGTCGCCGTGGAGGATGAGCCGGAGTACGCGGGAGAGGCCGGTGAGGCCGGGTCCGAGGGCGGCGGCGGTCGCCCCTGCGGCTGCCTGACCCTCAGCCCCTCGGACAAGGACGTGATGGCGGCGCTCCGGGCCCAGCAGGACGACCCCGAGGAGCTGGACACCACCAAGGCCGGCCTGCCTCAGTACCGCGCCCCGTGCCAGACCAAGCTGCCCCCGCAGGCCAGGAGCGGCAGGAAGGGCAACTACGTGCTGCACAAGCGCTCGGTCATGGTGGAGGACGTGGAGGGGAGCGGGAGCGGCCTGTAGAGAGGAGTGGTAGGCGGCGATTTATGTAGAGATCATTGTCTAGGTCCTTATCTAAAAGGAAAAGGAGTTGTAACCTCGCTCCACTTACTAACCTTACCACAGACATAAACTGGCATTATCATTATCGTCACATTCTACGTGTGTGGTTTAGAAGACAATAGAACGAGAAGCTCTCGATAAACAGCTGCTTATTTATTGGAACAGCCTAAATAGTCTGGAAAAGAAAATACCACCGATAAGGGAAACATCCTCAATTCTGCCATGGCCGACTTCAATCATAAAGATAGTGATGTTTTATTTCAGGAGGCATCGTGTTGCTTTGTGAGGCTGCGTAAAGAACATTGACGTGTTGATGTTGATGCGAGGCTGTTAACGTCCTGACAGCGTCGGCGCTTGTGCATGAATCCCTGAATCCTTCCGGCGGCAGCGCTGTAGGCACGATGTACCCCCCCGCCGGCACCCCCCCCCCGACCCCTCTCCTCTCGTGATGCCGTCGAGGTGGCTTTAACTTGTGCGCTAGTCAGTTGTTCAAAGCAGATCTCACTGTCGTGATGCCGTTTCGTGCAGTCTACATGTCATAAGGTCTACGATAGCGGTGCCCCCTTCTCTTCCCCCCTCCCCTGCAGATTATAATAACAATGAATGTAGCTTTCTAACAGAGATTACTGGCCCTGGCCGCGGGGGGGGGTCGGGTATGCTTAATACCTGAGCGGAGGTTTAATACAAATCTGCCTGCTCCAGTAAATCCTCGTACCATGAAGGGTGCTGTGGTAGTTCGAACGCGTTGTATGTCGTCGACGTAACGTGGATGTTTCTTTTATGATTGCGGCGCGTATTTCCTTAGAGCGAGGCACTGTTAGATGTACATGTTTTGTAAAAAATAAAAAGGGCAACGGAGTTGTCAGATTTACGGTGATTTGTTTGTTGTGCTTTACGTTCTCAATAAAGACAATTTTTGTAAATGCCAACCGTGGGCCCGAGTCATAGTTCTTCTTGCAGATGCACTTTAATGGAGTGGCCTTTTATCGTCTGCAAGCCCACAACACTATTTATTGATCACATGCAGGTGGACTCAGAGACCACGGTGTAATACAGCGGATGTACCTCTTATTTCAGATTTACCCTCACAGGGTTGTGACGTTCCAAATATGTGCAACGCTATTACTCATATAAAGGTTAACATTATAATCTAATTGTGCCTGGTTTGGTTGATTACCTCAACTGAGTATCTATGACTTAATCCAACTATTTATTCATTGGTTTTACAACAATATCAGCTGGTCATCCAAAACTCACTGTTTCAACTGCTTCAGATGCTTTGAGGTGATTGTTTGAACTGGTGCACGCTGGGCTTCTTCAGCCGTGTGGTGAAACTGACTCAGCTTACATGAGGATGGACACACTCAACGCTCCTTTTGGCCGTCCTCTAACCCTAATTGGCTGTTTGTTGTATGGATATAACTAAAAGGTCAATAGGGGTCACCTTGGTTGCATTGGCCCTGTCAACCCGCTTCTTACGACTCCATTGTTGGTCATCACTGTGGCCTTTTGTATGTAAAGAGCTCGGGAATAAAGAAGAAGATTTCGTCGTTTCATGTTTCTTTCTCAGAGAAGCTGGATTTCTGCAAAGGAGTCGCCTGGGTTAGAAACGCAGCTGTTCATCAAGCACCAGAACCAACAGAACCCCCCACAGAGCGGAGACGTCCTCCATGCATCACAAACCCATCAACAACAATCTGCGTTAATATTCTTCTTGTTTCACAACTAATTAAATCAAACCCTGTAGCCCTGCGCTCTGTTGTCATCATGAAAAGCGTTTGACAGCGTCTTGAAACAACATGGCCTCCACCTGCGTTACCGGAGCAGACAGCGTCATGCGACGCCTTCTCACCACCGACACACCCGGCTTTACTAACGCAACGCGACAAGTGTGTTCACCAGCTGTCACTCAGTCCCGCCCTCCCTCCACCACTGCTGGAGGGGAGATATTCAGAGGCTCGTACACTAATTAGGAAATAGCTTTTAACACCGACAATGTCTGGCTTAATCAGAAGGGCCCGTTTATTAAAAGTTACTAATACTGTACCTCGACACTTTAGTCGTACGGTGGTGTTTTTCTCAGTGTTTGCTCTCTGCAGGTGAGACGGCAGTGAATGCTGATAACGCCACGCACCAATTGATTAGTTTTCTTTTTTAAAGGACAAGCAATTAGGAACTGTGTGTGTGTGTGTGTGTGTGTGTGGCTGTCTGTTTTGCAGCTTTTGCATTTCGATGTTAGTTAATAACGTGTCGTTCGAGCAGCCAGCGGCAGAGTGGACAGAGGGGCTCACAAATGAGTGTCGCTACACACACAGGCACTCATTTCACTATGCTGATGACTGCGCTTCATTAGTAGGACTAATTGTAACATGGAAGAGAATGAGTTCAAACAAAAAGGAAACATCATTTTGGATGGTACAATTCAATTCTATGCACCAGAAAAAAGTCAAATCCAACGCAATCATTTTAAGAACTGTATAATAATTACCCTTCAACTAAAATACGGATTAAATAAAAATATTAAACCAAAAACCCAGCCCAGCGTTGACAACTCTTACACTGGAAGCCGCCCCCCCTTATTACCGTCGTGACATTAACTTCACCCATAAAAGGAGCGCATTTCATTACCTCCCACACAAGAGGGAAACACAATTAATTGTACCTTGATCGGTATGGCCTGCTAGCACACAACAGATAAATGCCCGATGGGACGCAGTAGTGGCGGGTTAACGGTAAGATGAGATGGGTGCACGCGGGCAGCCAGACAGGCCTTTAACTCATTTCCTTTGTGCCGATGAAAACAAATACACAACCCTCCACGTTTTACTGATAATCTTCCGGCGGCCCCTTGGTTGTAAATAAGATACTGAATTGTGGCCGTGGAGGCTGCACATGCAGATGAAAAGGGTATGCTCTCTCCCTGTGTGAGGGAACTTGTATAAAAAGGAATGTTTGTTCAAAACAATATGAGGATTAATATAAACCACCACGTGTTATTGGCGCTGAAGCTCTGGCCTGTGGCTCGCGATTTTTACCTGCGGTTCCAGTGTTTTGCCACTAGATGGTGTTGTGCGCCTACAGGAACCCTTCAGACTGCACTTTGTCGCTGGCTAGTTCACCCTCATCAGAACTTCACGTGTTGATCTAAAGCCTGCTGTCCAGGCCACTGCACTGCTGTAGTATTAATACACCAACGTGTACGACAACCCGATGCTATTCCAACAAACGCTTCCTACGCGCCAGATCACTCAGTCACAGCCGACTGCTTTATTTTACCTCTCAGCCAAACCAATGGCGGAGATGCATTACTGCTGCTATGGGCGTAAGATTAGACAACGGGTCCGTGGGCACAGACATGCGAAAGGCTCCGACATCCCTCCTACTTCTGGGCCAGACGCACAGACCTCATTGTTGTTCAGCCTCCCATTGTTGTTTTATGTCTTTTCTTGGTAACTTTGTGTGTCTTTGTAGTCGTTTTGAGTTTCTCTTTAGTTGTTTGCCCCCTTTTCTTCGTAGTTGTGAATCTCTTTGGGTTCCTTTGCAACTGTTGTGTGTCTCTTTATAGTTGTTTTATCTCTTTGGCTGTTTTATTTTCCTTGTGGTCACTTTGGCTCACTTCCTGTTGGGTACACATTTCTTAGTGTTAATATTTTCTAGATAAAGTTCAGGGGGGGGCCCTGACACTCAACGGGCCTATAGCAGGGGCCCAACCCCTGCTACAGGCCCGATGAGTGATCCATTTTACTGGCAGCTTTGTGACGGGGACTTTTGATGAATGGATATAATAATGCGTCAAATTAAAGAGGTGGATGATTGTTGATTTGTGCGTAATTAAGTGTAAACCACTTCTATCGTCATACAGTAAAGAGTCATTCATATGAGCTTCCCACACTTGGGATTATGATCAAAGGGGAAACACATACATTGGCCCATTTCATGGCCTCAATACATACAGCAAACTGCTAATCATTTCTTATTTACTGTACACGGTTTAAAGATGTCTTTTTATGACTACCCCAAAGGTCTCGCGAAGGCAAACGTCCCGTTCCCGAATGAGTCCTCTGTTTGCCGTTTAAAACTTGTATTCCGACTTCTCGAAGAACCTCAGATGGCTGCGGCAAGGTGGGAGGAATATTCATGGCCTTCGAGAAGATAACAGAAGACCAGAGAGAGGGAGAGGATGAGCGAGAGAGAGCCAGGCCTGAGCACGTCTGTGGGAGGGGATGGGGGCTCGTGGAGAGGAAAATCAAACCCACCGAGAGCTCTTCATACGTCACGGTTCGCATCACAGATGTTCCCACAGACACTCAGTGTGGGTTGTGGGCCGAGGCGTGTGGAGAGCCAGTATGGCACCCATTGGCTTGTTCTGTGAGCGTGTGTGAGCACATAATAATATGTAGGCCTGCTGCGTGCGTAAATGGAGACTTGAACGCTCCAGTGATATTTAAAAAGTATTCCTTTGAGTAGGAGCTGTTCTGCTTGATGCTGTAAGTGCAGGATGTTATTGGGTTGAGGGCACATTCATGAATATTTAAGAGAAAATAAATCAATTGTACTTCAGTGCCACTGAAATTCATTACTATTAACTGTTGAAAAGGGCAAAAAAAACGACACACATAAACACGTCCAGAAATGTACATCCCCTGAAATCTATGTTTCTTGATGAAAAGGAGAAGTTGCGGGGGCGTCCCCCGGTTCAGTTTCCACATCCATGGCAGATTAATTGAATAGGCGTTGTTATTGATGGAAATGATGTTTTAGGCGAAAACAGCTTCAGGTGTGGGAGCGCAAGAAAAAGACCGCAGCCCTCATGTCTTCGCTCTTTTGAAGTGGTTTTCTCGAGTACTGAGAGAAAACGAGAGAGAGAGAGAGATAGAGAGCGATGTTCCAATCTAAATCCACGCCGGCTGTCTTGTTTGCTGTTTGCACGTCACAGACTGCTCTAAGACGACAGAAATCCCCCTCAGTTTTCCTGAGACCAGTTCTGCGCACGACTTCACAAAAGCATCGCGTTCCTTTTTATTGGCTTTCGCATATTTCCCTGAGTATGAGCTCCCCTGAGTAATTTCAGCGAACAACTAACCCTCACTTCCCCCCACCACACACTATCATTGTTGTCTGCGTCATGGGGGGCCCCGGGGAGGACGTGCAGTGACCCCTATGCCGACTAATTCACTTGCGCCCAACGCGGGACTTTCCCCTCCTCTCCATCCCTCAGTGTGTTCAGCGCCCCACAGCCGCGCATTTTTGGCCCATGACGCGTCCCACGAGGACTTTGTCCTTGGCAGCGCGCACATCTTCGTCCGTCCGCACGAAACGCCCCCGCCTGCTCCGAACGCCCACTCGCGCCTACCGGCACGGCATCGCGAGACGCCCCGGCATTCCTGGAGTCGCCGTCACTTCCCCCTTTTTCGTTTGTTTGTTTTACTACTCTGACGCCTAAATATGTGCTGCGGCATTGACGCGTGTGAGTGTCTCCCAACGGAATTTGAGGATGTGATTAAGGCTTAATATTTATGTATAATGTCACTCACTGCGCCCAGCAAATGATCTGTCTAAATAAATAAAACTACTTCTTAAGTCGAAAGTTGCATAATAAGAAAAGGAAATTCCACCACCCTCGCGGAGCTAACAGCCCTTATCGATGCAAAACAAGGAAGGGCAGATGGAACTCGTTCGCATTACCTGGGCGGGGGTTCCCAGAAACGCTACCATGTGACGCCATCTTCGCCGGCATACCCGTATATGGACATGCCCGTGCGTAACAAGGAAAGGTCTACGTGCGCGGGCTACGCTCTGTGCGTAAAAACGCGGAAACCCGAATGTGATTTTGTGAGCGCTCCTCGCCGGGAGTCATGGCAACTGTCACGGCCACAATATGGTAGTAAAGAGACGTTGTTGGTTCTTATCTCCCCACCCCGTATATGACTCGCGTGATATGCTGATTTAGAAACAAACACTCAAATCCACCATTTTCAGTTTCATTTCGAGACACTTTACTTAAATACACATCACAAATAAAAAATGAAAGACAGTGTAAACATTGGACGTCATTGGGTTGCCCGGGTCAACCGGACAAACAACAAATAATTTATACATTGAAATAATGCAGCGTGGCATGAAATTATCGGTTGCAAAAACATACAAAGAAATACAATAATAATCATTCCCACGACTCGTGGGTCTGTCTGTGCGCGCTGCCCGGCTCACTGTGCGCTCGGTCTGGATGCGGCCCCGGTGTCAGGGGTTGAATGGTGCTTTGAGCGATGTCCAGCATCCGGAAGTACCATTTTTTCACTCAGTCTTTTCACCCTAAATAACGTAAATAGTTGTCTCCGCACGGCCCGGCGGCCCTGTGCTGCTGCTGTCCGCGCTGACAACACACCAGCCCCGGTGTTCCCGGTGCTACGCGTGCAGAGCGCGGCTCCAGTGTTATTACTTCTCAGTCACTTAGTAGTCTCTGTCGTAATTTTTTTAAAACGCCTCCAACTTGCTCGTGAGCATCAGCTGACAGCCGCTGCTCACGTGCGTCAGGACCTTCTGCTTGAGCTGCGCCACCTGATCCCGAAGCACCGACGCCGTGTTGGAGAGCCCCACGTTGTCGTTCTTCAGACCTTTCACCTTATCCTCCAGCCGTGCGATGCGCTCCAACTTGCGCCGCCGGCATTTGGTTGCCGCCAAGCGGTTCCTCAGCCTCTTTCGCTCCGCCTTGATCTTCTCCTGGGTCTCCAGGTCGATCGGGGACATCGGGGGCGAGCCGTCGCTGCTAAGCAGGTCGGGAACGGTCTGGGGCTCCTCTTTCAGATTGAGGAGCCGGTGCGGATGGAGGCCAGAGCCCGGCAGCGCGTGTTGGAACGGGTGCGTCCCGTGCGTCGCGCCCTGGGGGTGGTTCTGCTGGTGCGGCGGCAGGTAGCTGATGGTGGCCGTTGGATAGCTGGAGGCGGAGGAGAGGCTTGTGTTCGGGCAGTAGGCGTTCAGTGTGGTGTAGATGGGAGGCTCCGGCTGCAGCGCTGAGCCGAAGACGCTAGGGGCCGCCGCCGAACACGCCGCAGCTCCGCCGGCTCCGATGGACACGTTAGGAGGGGGCATCTGGTTCATCTTGTGCAGCTCGTCCAGGGCTTTCACGAAGCCGTCTGCGAAGCCCTCTTGCTCATCGGTGATGCCCCGGTTGTAGAAGTACTGGCCCGGGGTGGGGGTAGTGATCACGCCGTTACTGTTTTGGATGATGAGCCTCTCCAGCTCCGGGGACGCGAGCCTTAGCGACCCGACGTCTTGGTGACCCCCATGGTACGGGTCTATCTCGGCCCTCAGCTGGGATTTCAGGCTGCGATAAGGTTCTGTCAGGTTCAAGTTCATATTCTGCTTCAGCAGCTTGTAGTCGTGCATGCCTGCGTCCGATTGGCCGTAATGCGACAGAAAAGAGTCGTCGTGGTAAAAGGGCTGTTCCATCTTTGTAGACATAAAGTCGGAAAAGGGGAATAAAGTGAGCTTACCAGCCGCTTCTTTTTAGAAACACAGCTTCTCGAGAATCAACAAATGTCAGTGTCAGCAGAGCGCGCAAACCGACGTCTGCCTCTGCCTCTCTCTCAACAGCGTCCCAAAAGAATCAAAGGAGACGGGGTGAAAGTCCAAAGTCCTCCAACGACGCAGTCACAAGGTCTTTCTCCAACGTCTCAGTGCGGCTTTTCTTCTTTGCGAACCCGCGGCGGAAAAAAAAGAGAGAGAAGTTTTGCTTTCCGTAATTCGCTATTGCCGAGGACTCGAGCGCTCCTTGAGGTGTGTTCAGGCGGCTGGAAACCGGGTCTTTTTATACAGGACTCCACACGCGCTTTCTGCCAGGCAGCGCTGCGTCGTGATTGGCCGCGCGGCTCAGACTCCGCCCCCCGCACCCCCCCGGCGAGGACTACGTCGACTGACGCTATTGCCGGGAAGAGGCGACTGTAAACAAGCCTGTAGGCATGACCGAAAGAGAGAGAGACACAGGGAGGGAGGGAGGGAGGGAGAGAGAGAGAGCGAGCGTGCACCGAGGAGGCTTCGCAGCGGAGACCGGCTTCAGAAATAGAAGAGTCCGCTTTTATTTATAAAGCCTCGTAGGTTGAAGAAGCGGCCCGTTGGAGGAGCGCAGAGGTGAGGCGCCTCCGTCAGATCGGACCGGGGCTCTTTAATTCCCCCATCCCCGCTGTTACATCGCAATAAATAGATCCGATACGAGTGCCATCATTGGTTTGAGGTGATGTACTTTTACAAACGTCACATCGACTACGCGTCGGCTCTTCTGCACGCGAGCTTTGCCCCCATTAGATATGAATTATGGCCTCTATAAAACAGCGAACCGCTGTGTTGTTTATTATGATCCCTGCGGAGGAGGAAGTCCCCCGGCCTTATATGGGCATGGTGACGTTTCGGTTCCTCTCCGGGAGAACCGAGAAGCCACGCCCAACTGGGCTTCACTCCACCAGCGGTCCTTCAGCCCCTGAATAAACTGTGTTTGCGGGTCGGGGGCTTTCTGTTTGGGTCGGGTGGACAAATAGACGTCTCAGATATCTGTGTGACTGACACTCCGACAAGTCTACTTTTCATTTTCATTTCTTAATTTGTCATTGATATCAAGTTAAAATTTCTGACTGGACTTCTCCAGTGTTTTGTGATGCTGCAAAGACACGCTTTAAGTGAAGCGCACATACCCGTGAGTGAACACACTCTGTCCAACCTCAGGAAAATTCATGTTTGGTCAATTTTCCCTTCTGGTCTCAAGAACCTGTTTCACACACAAAGAAAACCACCTTTCATTGGGTTTGGCTTTCAAGAGTTGCTGTTTCTTCTTTAAGAGTGCCGAGAAAGGAAACGTGAATCCTCACCTGTTTCAGTGAGAAGGAAACCTTTGTCTCTTGTTTGTAATTCTTCCAACACCCACGCCGACACCAGTGCCTCTGCCGATGTATCCCACTTAGCCACGCAGACAAAAACGAGTCAGGTAGGACGCTTCGGCTTCGGCAGGCGCTAAATCCTGAGGGATGACCACGAGTAACACCAACAATGAAGGACTTGTTTGCAGATGCCGGCTGGGGACAAGGCCGGAATCCAATCACAGGGAAATATGGAACCTGGAAACAGGTTTAAAGCAGTCCCCTATTAGTGGTTTACCTTTTCTGTGTCACATACGCACACAGCTCTGTTAGAGGAGCTTGAGGCGCCCTTCATCAACACTGTCGTGTGTGTCAAAAACATTGAAACGGTTACTGTTGTCATAACCCCACAGTAACTTTACAGTATAGTTAATAATCAAAATGTCTACCCCAGGTTGGGAACCACTGGCCGAAATGACAACAAATACAACTCAGCAAACTCCTAAATGAAACAAGAATATCATCGTACTCAAAAATATTACAAAACCAGTGCGCCCCCCCCTCCCTTTGATTGCTTACCATTTCCTGTTCTCATCCAATGTCAGTCAGCATGTGGGTGGGGGGTCTTTTCCCTCCACCCATGAACGCTTACAAGTCCCCTGGGATAACATGTACCCGCCGTAAAAAGCCGATTTGGAGATATTTGCTCTGACTGTCATCATGTCTAAAAGGGAGCGCTTCGTTACTTATCAACGTCTTTTTGAGACGTTACAGAGGGGAGAAGACAATTGCTCTCCACGACTCGGAAGTCGGCCTGAGAGTCTGGAATCACCACCTTTTGGGTCTGATAATGACCCACTGTCGAGTAATTCACCGGTATTCCGAGGCACTATTTTTATTCCATGCCTTCTTGTCAGTATCCATGGGAATATGAATAAACAGAGGAAAACAACAGTTCCTGGCAGTGTTATGCCTCCACTTTGCCACCTCCCCTATAAATTCTATTCTCTGTGCAGCTGGCTGCTGCGGCCCTGCGCCGTTCGGGTTTAGGTTTTTCTCAGCCTTGCGGCGGAGGCCGACCACGGTCCCAGTGACATTTTGGCAAAGCGCAACAGTATAGGGTCCACGTTGGTGGAGGTGGCACCGTGCCATCAAGACAAATGTTGGTCAAAAGCACTCGTGATCCACCGGGAGAGAAAACAGTGTGAGGGTTGTACAGTTGTTTTGCGATCTCTTGATCTTGATCCCCACGTTGTGGACAGTAATGCTGTGAACTCGGGGGGTCTTGTCTCTGAACAGCACCGTGGTGGTGATCCGTTGACCATTTCAGTTATCAGGTTTGAGCTTTTGTGGGGGGAAAAGAGGTGGCCGACGTCGTAGTCACATCTTGATTAGTCACGTCTCTGTTTAGTCTGTTTAGATTTAGAGTTGTTCTGTGTACTCAAGTACAGACATTCCTTCCTCTGAGTTCCCCTTTTTTCTCTTTAGAAGATGCCTAAAAACTGTGCCAGGCTTTTGTGTTTGGGTTCTTTATGCATATTTTTTTTGGGCAAACTTTCAAAGAGTTCCAGGGCAGGACAAGCTGCTTGGCAACAGACTCGGTTTTAACAGTCGGGATCACATGGACGAGTGCCAAAACCAACTGAGTGTTACCTGCTCTGCTTCCCTGGGTGAGTTTGGGAAAGGCAAGGCCGGAGGGTGGAAAGAAGCTGTTAACTGTAAGATTAAGTAAAGTGTGTGTGTGTGTGTGTGTGTGTGTGTGTGTGTGTGTGCGCGTGTGTGCGCGTGTGAACAAGCACATATATCAGTATTCATGAGTTTAGAATTTGTGTGACAATAATGTGAACATCTGCTTGAAGGAAAGAGATAAGTTTCAGTGGAAATATTTATCCACCATTTCCCACATCCCCTGGAAAATGATCAGTTCTCATGTAAGGGTGTGGCTTTAAGGGTGGTGGGTGTTCTGAGCCCCATGTCTGTAGAATGAACTCTTTGGACATTTTATGGCATTATTGGGCTGTTTGAAAGAAATGCAGCAGAGGTGCCCTCCTTGATGCCCTGCAGGGGGCCCTTCCAGTGGAGGACACTGAATAAAAGGCCCTTTATGGTGCCCGTCCAGGGGAGAAAACCTGATAAAGTTACCTTTTGTGTTCCCCTATTCGATGCCACTAGTGGATGCCCTTTAAATGTAGAAAACCCGCAGTGCCATACAAGCTGCCCTACATGCTAGGAACCGTTCTCGTGCCCTTTTTACTTATCATGTGTGCCACGGATCCTCAGCGGCCTGAATAATTCACAGTGCTTCTTTTAGTCCCCGAAATTCCTACACGCGGGAAATCCCCTTCGTTTTGTCACCCTATAGATTTTGTCTCTTGACACAGCAGGCTTTCACAATAAGGTGCTTATGGTGGGGATTGAGTTGTCCTCACCTCCTCCTCCTCAAACCGCCCCATTGTGCCTCACAACCTCTGCACAACTCTTCTTTTGTCAGCGCCGGACAGCAGCCTGATACTCGTCGTCTGCTGCTCCTCGACGCAGGACCCTCTCTGCCGCTCCGTCTCCGTGACTCAGAGCAGCCGGGACGCCCGGGGTCAATCAAAGGTCAAAGCCCCAAGCTCAGTGCTCGCTTCCGAGTCTTTCTCCTGACCTTCACAACTCCTCCAAACACCCACTCAGCAGAAAAGTGTTGGGCCTAGCACGGCGAGAGCGAGTGGGCAAGGGGAAAAAGAAAGACACGCTCAGTCAGATGAGGTTTGTTTGTTAAGTGCCCTCTTGACAGAGTGGCTGACTCCTTCATTTGGACATAATGGGGCCTCTCATCCATAGCGTCGCTGCTCTCCTTTGTGACTGCAGTCGCTGTATCGCCAGATCTATTAATAGTAGGATCCATCACCATTTACATCAGCAGCAGCAGCATCCTCGTCAACAGCACATGACCGCCCGATGGTGTTTACCTCCGTTCTCCTCCATTAATCCCAGACTGCCAATGTCGGTCTATTAACATTTGAGCTCGCTGATGTTAATGGCAGCTTCTGCTTAATTTTGCCGTTGTGTGCCAATAATTAGAAGGCTAAAGTTCATGAGCTTTCCAAAGAGAGATGCTTGATTGATTCTAAGCATGCATCAGTGCATCTAATAACGCGGCATCTTTGAGGCCTCGTATTCGGCCGCAGCATGAAACAGGAACTGTAGTTCTACATTGAAGGACCATTGATGTAACTGTACTGGAACAGGCCTCAGGAATAATGAATATCCTGTATAGTATAGAAGTAATCATGTTTTATGCGAAGCAGCCAGAAGAGATAATATCAGAGCGTTTCAATTTAGTGTAAAATATGAGATCATTTATACTGAGTAGGGGTGTAATGATTCATTTTAACAACAATTCAATTCGAATCGCGATTCATGGTTGCCGATTCGATTCATGGACGATCTGGGTTAATTTAGAACAATTCTATTCGATTCAGTGACTTGAAATCAATTCAGTAACTTTACTGGACAGTGCAGGCAAAGTTTCTGAGATCCCTGTTGTTTCTTGTAAGGAAATCCGGTTTAAATTAATTATGGATATTATAAACAAGCAAACAACAATTAATGGCAAATGTATTAACCTTTTATTTGAATCAAGTGCAATCATTTTCAATGTAAACATTACACAATAATTACACAATGTTTGGATCAATTCACAGAACCCCTGTCACGGTTTGGGTTAATGTCTGGTTTTATTTTGTAGTTTCTTGCCTCTGTTCTCCCTGGGTCATGTCACTTCCTGCCTTGTCCTGTCCTCCTCTGTGATTCTCTCTCATGTCATGATTGTTTCCACCTGTGTCCAATCACCTGCACCTCCCTAGTGTATTTAAGCCATGTGTGTCTGTTGTCACTTGTCGCGTCAATGTCTTTTGTCACGTATGTCCCTGTCTATCGTCCTGGATGTTCCTCGGTCCTGCCTGCC